ATTGACCCTGCCACTAATAATAATGTCTTAATGGTAAGAAAGCAATGGATAAGGGAGGGTAATGGAGGGGTCACAGCTCGGGAGGAGTTGAGCCAATTTTGAGCCGAGAGAAGTTAGCGTCGCCCCCTTGGGGGGCTCCAACTCCCCTTTGATAACAGGACGAAGGACTAATCTCCATCCGCCAGTAGGCGGGGCGGAATTTCGGAGAGGGTAGACACCACCATTGACCCAGGTCATCCATTAATCGGTTTATTTATTGTCCACAGGCAACACGAGGACTACGGCCTGTGCCAGGCGGGTACGTCGGGGGCGCTGCTGGACGATGACACGATGGTGCTGGGCTCCCCGGGGCCGTTCACGTGGCGCGGCTCCATCTGGGTGACGCAGATCGGGGGCGAGTACCTGCACCGGGACAAGACGACCTACTACAGCGACCACTCGGACGCCAGCTCGCCGGTGGATAAGTACAGCTACCTGGGCATGTCCGTCACTGGCGGACGCTTCTTCGGCTACAACATGTCCTATGCAGCGGGGGCGCCCCGCTCCAATGGGCACGGGCAGGTGGTGATCTTCGACAAGGCCAACACCAATCCGATACCCGTGCGCCTCATCATCGACGGGGAGCAGTTCGGGTCGAGCTTCGGCTACGAGCTGACCACCGCCGATGTCAACGGGGACAATCGACCGGACCTGATTGTGGCAGCTCCCGTCTTCTTCTCGAAGAACGAGGGCGGGGCCGTCTACGTCTACCAGAACGATCAGGACACGCTGCCCAGGCGGCACACCCTGCGGCTGACGGGGGCCCTGGAGAGCCGCTTCGGACTGGCGCTGGCCAATGTGGGGGACCTGAACAAGGACAACTGCGAAGACATCGCTGTGGGAGCGCCCTACGAGGGCCAGGGAGTGGTCTACATTTATCTGGGGTCGCGCCAGGGCCTCAACGACAAGCCCGCCCAGCGGATACAGGCCTCCGAGCTGGGCGCCACCGTGCCCCACGGCCAGCCCATCCGCACCTTCGGGATCTCGATAGCGGGCAACACCGACCTGGACGGCAACTCCTACCCCGATGTGGTGGTGGGGGCCTTCAACTCGTCGGCCACGGTGGTGCTGCTGGCCCGGCCCATCATCAACATCCAGACCAGCTACCGGAGCGAGGAGCTGCGCAACATCGACCCCAACAAGCCGAGCTGCCGGTCGGACGCCTTCAGCAACCTGACCTGCTTCACGTTCGAGGCCTGCTGCAGCATCGACCCGTACGACGATTCGACCAAGGAGCTCAGCCTGATGTACAGCGTGGAGGCGGAGACCTACGACCACCTCAAGAAGTTCTCGCGCGCCTTCTTCGACCGGGACAACAAGCGGAGCAACGTCATCAGCCGCGTGGTCAAAGTGCGCACCGATGGACGCGTGGCCTGCCAGATAGTCACCGGGTACATCAAGGCCAACACCCGCGACATCCAGACCCCCATCCGCTTCCGACTCAAGTACACGCTGGAGGAGCCCCCGCTGGCGGACTCCGCCCTCACCCGACTCAACCCCATGCTCGACCAGACGCAGGCCCACATCGACTTCGAGGGCACCTTCCAGAAGGACTGCGGCGATGATGATCTCTGCGAGAGTCATCTGGTCGTCCGAGCCGAGCCGAATATCACAGCCATAGGTGAGCAGCCCCTTCCTCTGCCTGAACCCCTTGTCGTCAACCCATCCTCTCTCTCGCTTTGCAGACAACAAGTACACCATGATCCTGGACGAAACGGAGCTGGAGGTGGAGATCAACGTGAGCAACCTGGCGGACTCCGCCTACGAGGCGCAGCTGCACATCAGCCATCAGGCGGGCGTCTCGTACGTGGCCACCAAAAAGCCGGTAAGTGCCCCGCACCCAAGCAGAGATCATCCATCATCCCCGATCCTCACGCGCCTCGATTCTACCCACCCGCAGACCAATGCCACTTGCAACAGCTTCAACACCACCTTGGTGGTCTGCAGCCTGGGCAATCCGATGCTACGCGGAACGACGACGTCCGTTACCATCCGGTTCCAGCCGAAGAGCCTGGAGCCCAGCGAGAAGTCGGTGCAGTTCCACATATTCGCCAACACCACCTCGAAGCTGGTGGGCAGCGAGCCGCCGGAGCAGAAGCTCAGCGTGGACGTGGTGCGGCAGGCCAAGCTGCACTTCCGGGGCTGGGCGATGCCCGAGCAGAGCTTCTACAGCGGGGCCAGCCAGGTGACGGACAACTCGCCCATGGAGATGGGCGACGTGGGCTCGCAGGTGAACCACAGCTTCACCATCTTCAACGACGGACCCTCGACGGCGCCCAAGGTGCGCATGGTCATCCACTGGCCGTGGTCCCTCTACAACGACCCGGAGCGCGGCCACAAGGACCAGTACCTGCTCTACTTGGAGCAGGTGCCCACCGTGGAGATCGGTGTGGGCGAGTGCGTTGTGGCGCCCGAGTATGTGAATCCCCTGAAGCTGGACAGCGGGTCGCAGGAGTCGGCCAGCGGCTACCTGGGCGCCCCGGCCACCCTCAAGATGTGGCCGATGCGTGGTCGGGCCCAGCTGAACAAGAACCAGACCGCGACCCACTCAAGGCAGCCGCGCAGCACCCTGGAGCGGGTGACCCGCCTGGAGCGGCTCATGTACGAGCCAGAGCTGGCGGGCATCGGGTCCGGCGGCAGCGGCAAGAAGCAGGACATCGTCGAGCTGGACTGCAACAAGGGCACGGCTCGGTGCATCCGGATCGAGTGCGACATCTACAACATGCCGGCCAGGTCGGAGGCCCAGGTGATGGTGAAGGCGCGCCTCTGGAACTCAACGCTCGTCAGCGAGTATCCGCGCGTCGACCGGGTGCGCATCATCTCCACGGCCACCGCCCAGATACCCGAGGACTTTGGCGTCGAGGTGATGGAGCAGATCGACATCGAGGTGAGTCGCTCGCCCCCCCCGGCCCACCCAGCCACAGCCACCCGCAGCAGTTCCTGATCTTTGATTATTCCTCTTCCAGGTGGAGACGCGCGCCTATCCGGAGCTTAGGAACCAGCAACGGGACACCGCCTTGCCCTGGCTGATCATCAGCCTAGCCATCCTTGCGGGCGTGGTGGTGCTGGCGGTGTTCACGTCCATCATGTGGAAGTGCGGATTCTTCAAGCGGAAACGGCCCACGGACCCCACGCTCAGTGGGAACCTCGAGAAGATGAACGAGGAGAAGCCCTTCCTGGCGGCCAAGAACACCCATCATGTTTTCTAACAAGAGGGCACCGTCGGCTGGGATCTGGCGCGCCGGATCGCCCCCAGGAAGAGGCGCCGCCGTCTCCAGCTTCCCCTCCTCACCAGACAGCGGGTGCACGGCCAGCGCTGGTGGCGTCACAAATCCTCGAACAACAACGAGCTGGACATCCTTTCGCTGACGCCGCCACCGCCGCCCCTAAGCGTTCTAAATTGGGGTAACGATGGATACTACCAGGCCAGTGCCACCTGGTGGGGACACATTTAATGTGGCTAGGGGTGTGGCGATTGGGGGTCGCGGGATCGCGCGAGGTTGTGGGTTGTGGGTTGTGGTTCAATGTGCCATTTCGTTTACTTAATGCAGCAAATCTGCTTAATTGATCAGATGGATCGAGGGCCCGGTTTGCTTGGGGTTTGTCCAGATAGCTTTCGGGGCTAACAGATATTTGTAAAGGGGATTTCCGACTCGGCCGGGCTGTGCCTTTAGGCCTAAAGATTAGCTAAGCCCAAAACGTTGATGACACCACTCGACAAAATCGAACTTATATTTTTCCTCAAGGAGCCAAACCGACTTTTTCTCATAGATACCGCACAAAAGTCATGATTTTTGCATTTGAAAGCCTAATATTTCCCAGACGATAAGCTATAATCAAAAAGTTTGTTTGGGTGTAGCTTATATGACAACGGTTATTACAACCAGATGTAAGATACGTAAGTTATGTGAAAACAATTTCAAGGCCCCAAATCTATCAGAAAACGTGGGTTTGGTTCCTTGCGGAGAAATCTTGTCGGGTAGTGTAATCCGTGTAAAAACTGTTCTTATTCGTATATGTAGCCTCTATGTGTGTGTTCGTTTGTATGTATGTGTAGGGTGGCACAGGCCCGAGCTAGGCTAAGCTTTAGCAGTCAGTAAGTAATTAGTTAAGAGAGAACAAATTCCGAATATATTCATACAATCGAAGCCTACTAAAACACTGCCAATAACGACACAAATATCCACTAAATCATCAGCAAATATTAATGGCTCGAAAGCACCAGCGGGGGGACGTTCGTTTTATTTCCAATGCACTGGATAGCTTAGCGAGTAGCGAGTAACGAGTAGCGAATCCACCACTGTAGTAGCGATAAGCACAAACGAAACGTAGTATGTAGGTAGGAGTTCTAAGAGAGGGAAGCCACGAAATTTTTCGATTGATTCCTGTTTGTTTGTATGTAAGGGCGAGAAATATACAAAGCTATTTTAGTTGTAAATAAAATTACTTTGACTTAAGTGCAACTGCGGTAACGCTATCTGTAAATATGAATTATTTTTCTTATGCATCTGTTTAATATACTATTATTTTTTTAAACCATACCCCCCACACACTTTTATTGATTTGAATTTTCATTTGGCGCATACTATGACCGGTGAACCATTCGGTTCAAGACTGAGATGTTCTGGGTGGTACATGCAACAAAATGAGTGAACCAGCTAATGAATCGCAAAATCGCATTTGACACTCCCTTTTCGTGCTCGTGTTTTTCCGTGCCTTCCAAGCCAGGCCCATGGCAAAATCCCATCTCTAGCTCTAGCGATGCCACAGCAGTGAGCCTTTGCGTGCAAGCTGTGTTTGGCTGTCATTGCTATGACACTCCAGAAACCAGGGCTGCAGCATCAAACACTTTTGGCGCGCGCCTTTAAGTGAGTCCACGTACGTACAAATCAATTAATAAGCAGACATTCGACCGATTCCGAGAAACTAAAAAAAAAAGTATGAAACAATACAATTGCTTATTCAGCCAAAAGTCACATAGGTTTTTATTACAGACTGAATGTTACAAAATTGTCAAGTGTAACAATAATTTGTGTGCTTCTTCGCTTGTTTTCGTTTTTTGTGTATCTTTACATCGCGATAGGCAACGCAACATTGGGTTTATTTATTACATGTATGTATAGCTATAGACATTTGTTGGAATCTATACATCTGCAGGTTCTTGCATGTTACTTCTCTCACGTTACTCTGGACATTCTACAAATGGTTGCAAATGAACTCCTCATCGCATTCAATCGCCTATGTCATTCGCCGCTTTTTTGTTTGCTGTCTAGTTGCTATTACCTTCACTTTTACTTTTACTGTTACTTTTACTGTTACTTTTACTGTTATTTTTACTGTTATTTGTATGTATAAGAATATGTGTAATCATAGTTGTTATTTCTTTATCTGTAATTCAAAATGGAAAAGCTTCGAGTATGATTTATACGTGCCAAAAGATTCTCGGTCTGTCTCGTCCGCCAGCGTCACTCTATGCTGGACGTTTCAAGGGGTCTTCTTGCTCGACCCTGCTCCGGGGCGCCTTGGAGCAGGATACATTGATAGGGGGAGGGTGGGGGTGGTTAAGGGAGAGAAAAAAAAGGTAGGTATTTATGGAGGATCACTAGTAGAGGCTCTCGGTGTTCGAGGACCGGGGCTTCTTAAGCTTCTCCAAGTTCTTAATGACTATGTCGTGGAGCGAGGAGTAGCGGTTGCGCACCTCGCAGACCACCAACCACAGACTGAGGTATTCTTTTTCATCCAGCTCGACGACAGCTCTTCGGTAGTCCTCGATGTGCGGATATTTCGCCACCTTTGACACGACCTTAGCCCGCGAGAGGAAGTATCGCGAGATCTGGTCGTAGAAGGCGGCCGCCTCCGACTCGACCGTCTGGATTTCGGCGAGGGTATCCTCCTGGATGGAGACGCCGAAGTTGTTTCCGTCCTCGATTTTCGGTATCATAAAAGAGATCCACATCTTCAAGAGATTGGCTGCAAGCAAATTATCAGCAATTAGTATTTGTGAATAATAGTCCACGCTGTTCACTCACAATGCTCTACCAGAGTACGGATGATCGGCTTGACGACTTTTATCATCTCGCAGAGCGGCTTGTTGCAAGACACTGAGCCGTTTGGCAGGGCCAGCATCGGGGACCCAGCCACGATGACGTCGTTTCGTGCACGCTTGTTCGGCGGATGATCATCGTTTCCGCTATCGTCATGGTTTTTGGCTAGCACCGGCGGCAGGACAGGAATGTTTACATCCTGGTGGACCTCCTCAAAATCGCGCTCATTGAACATGGGCGTTGCAAGCAGCTCGTTCAGCTGGACAATCTTCTCCGGGAAGCACTTGGTAATCAGCAGCTCCGCCTTCTGGATCAGAGTGTCTTTATACTCCTGCACCTTGATAACTGTATCTTTCGGCATTGTGGTCACAGTATCTGTTGCGAAATTTTCAAAAGGTAAAACCAAACGGCAACGTCGACGATAAAATTGCGACAGTCGGTGAACAAAACAGTTGAGACTTTATTTTCCTCAACTAGTGGCACTCTGATGCTGCAATTTTATATTGTCAGTGCTGGCTGTAGCTTAATTTTTGCGTTTCTGCCGGAAAACTTACCGAGAATTTCACTGATGCGGATTTATTCGGCAGCGTGCTCTAGGGATGTTAGATATATATTGATGTATCAATATATCGATATATACTTTTTGTTGATAATATATTTGTGGGTGATATTTTTTGATGATATGGCGAAAATGTATCATCAACGAAAGAACTATCTCAAGTTGGAGCAAATTTACGCTACTTTTTTGTTGTTTCACTTCGTTAGAACAAAACACCGACTTTTTATTCTACGCATCGCATCACAGGTAAAACTATCGGTATTTTTGTGCGATAAGCGGAATTTTTAGGAGTTTTATTTGAAAATCACAACTATGGTTGCAAATACCTGCATACATTCTAACAATAGTCGTATAGATCTAAAAATGTATGCATAGACATGCAGTTTCAATTTCCTCCTGTAGAGTCTCCACCATCATAATATGGAGCTAATTTTATGATTAATAATAATTTGGATTTGTTTATTTCCTATTGTTCACGATCTAGTGCGTATTCGAATCGATAGCTGGCTTATCGATATAAGCCAACAGCAATCCATCACGTATGAAGTCAATGGAGCGTAATTTTTTTTCGGTCCATTATTTGAAAATTGATGCATGAGCTTATGCGGATGGGTTCATAGAATAATTGCGTCACACTCGTTGCTATCGCACTACAGTATCGTATCAGACGACGTGCAGTGCTATGCGACCACTACTATTCAGTCAGCGATACTATCGGTTGACTCATTCTTCAGCTCAATTATCGATATTCGCATGTATACACGCCCCCGATGTAAGAGGACAAATAAATAATTAACTAACACAAATACTCAGCACATGAGAAGAGCGTGAAAAACACTGTTGTATGATGTACTGCGAATAGTTAATGATTGTACAGTACATACAAATTGGGAACATCCATTCCCTGCCACAGAACAGAGCTCGAGTGCGACTCCCTCCTGAATGGTGAAGGTGAATCTACATAGACATAGAGTGTCCAGGTACGAGCAGCAGTTCACTTCATTTGCATACATTGTTGGAGAAGACAGGCGGCGGCGGCGGAGATGGGCAACAAACAGATCAAACAGCACCTGGAGACGGCACAGAAGACGGGCATACTGAAGATCTCACTGCAGCGACTGCAGGAGTTTCCGCCACAGCTGAAGGCCTATCCCAATGTCCTAAAAACGCTCGATCTGTCCGAGAACCGCTTCGAGCACATGCCCGACGAGCTGGGGCGACTGACGCTGCTGAAGCATCTGAACCTGAGTGGCAATCGTCTGGTGGAGCTCAACACAGTGGTGGGCGAGCTGTTGAAGCTTGAGGTGCTGCTGCTAATGGACAATTATTTGACCAAGCTGCCCAAAACGTTGGTCAACTGCACCAATCTGAAGACGGTGAACCTGAGCAACAACCAGCTCAAGGAGTTCCCCTCGATGCTGTGCGGCCTGAGTAAACTGGATGTGCTCGATCTGTCCAGGAACAAGATCACCAAAGTCCCATCGGAGGTGGGCAGTCTCTGCGTCACCGAGCTGAACCTCAATCAGAATCAGATTTCTTCGCTGGCCGAAGATGTGGCCGACTGTCGCAAGCTGAAGACCCTGCGGCTCGAGGAGAACTGTCTGCAAGCGACCGCCTTCACGCCGCGCATTCTCAAGGAGTCAAAGATTTGCATTCTCGCCGTCGATGGAAATCTGTTCAACTCCAAGCAGTTCACCGACCTCGACGGCTACGACGTTTACATGGAGCGCTACACGGCGGTCAAGAAGAAGATGTTCTAGGCCCAGACGCCGCCGTCAAGCAATTACATGCATATGTATCTTCATGTCCCCCCCTATTTATGTTTCTAAACTAGTTTAATAGCTTAATTGTACGTATGCCTTCATTGTAAATCGTTGAGAATAAACAGAGAAAACCAATACAAAGATTCACAGGAAAGAACGTGTATGCGTATGTATATGAGAGTAAGGAAAGTACATGCGAAAATCTTATATGTATGTATATGCCTATGGGCCTATATGCCATTACAGCTTGCCCCGCATCATCGGCTGCAGGTGGCTGCGGAAGGTGGCATTGACTGGCTCCTGGTTGAGCGGATTGCGGCGTGCCTCCGCCATCAGGCGCTCGTACACGCGTCCATCGTAGCTGCCCAGAGTGGAGCCGAGCGTGCGATCATGGAAATCGAAGCCATCCACCAGGGCCACCGCATTGGGACGCAGCTCTGCAAGGAGTTGCTCGAATCTGCGCTCAACCAACAGCAGCTGCGTGCCGGTGATGCTGTTCCAGCGCAGCACGGAGCCGGCCTGCCGCAGGAAGGTGTCCAGCACGAACAGCTCCACCAGCTGGCCCAGCACTGCGGAGACTTGTGGACTCAGCGGGCCCCGCCTGAGACGATCCAGCTCCTGCAGCGAGTTCCGGGTGAGGAAGGCATGGGCATGGGCGACGGCGGCCGCTGTGAGCTGCCTGCCAGTCAGGTTGCTGGCCTGCTGCTCGCTCAGCTTCCTCTGGCGATGCATGCTCAGACTCTGCCAGGCCTGGCGGGTCTGCTCCAGGGCGGAGATCTCGAGGGCGCGCGCGGCATTCTCGGCCAAGTGCTTGCCCCAGCTAAGCCGAGCCGTGTTCCGCAGATAGGTCACACTGGCGGGCAGCACTCGCCGCTTCAGACTGTCCGAGTACTGGCGCACCAGGAAGCGGGCCGTCTGCAGCAGGAGGACGGTGTACTCGCCCTCGTACGTGTAGGCGGCTGTGGCCATGCCGTAGATGCTGTCGAAGTTCGCCGATGACAGGAAGCCGTGACCGCCGCAGGCCTTACGCAGCCGATCAATGCCCTCGCTGGCCTCGTCGGTGCCCACCGCCTTCAGGCAGCAGCTGAGGGCGTGTAGCTCGGGCAGGGCCTGCTGCCCGGATCCCCCCTCCAGCTGCTCCATGACGCGAGCGTAAAAATTCCAGAGCCAGTCGGCGGCCAGGCGGTAGCAGACTCCGCGCGCAATCTGCGGCAGGACCTTCGCCTGCTGCGTTAGGTGGTCGAGAATCTGGACCTCCGCCTGATTTTCATCAATGGGGCTCTGGCGCCGAACGACAGAGTATCTGGGGAGGGAAGCGAGTGGATATTGAGGCAAGGAGCGTCGACTGGGGTTCATCTCATCCCCGACTGGTCTCGGGCTCGGTCTCACCTGGTGGCTATGGTGGCCGCCTGGAGGAGGCCGTGCAGCACATCCCTGAGGGTGATGACCCTCACGTACACCATGGTGCCGTAGAGCAGCAGCGGCGGCCGGCCCTGCACGAAGGTGCCGTCGGACAGCACCTGGGCATTCTTCATGAGCATCTGGTCGCGCGGTATCCGGACATTGCGCAGTCCCAGAAAGCCGTTGTTCACACCGTTGCCGCCCAGCTTCGGCCCAATGTCGCCCACATCCACGCCGGGCAGCGGCTGGTGTGTCTCCTCGTCGCGGATGCGGACCAGGAACGGCTGCAGGCCGTGGTGTCGACCCTTTACGTACAGCTGGGCCAGCACGATGGTCATGTTGGCGGTGTTGCCCAGGCCGCCGGGCCACCACTTGTAGGCACTCAAGCTGGGGGTGTTGAGCACGAACTCCTCGCTCGCCGCATCGTAGTCGGCGCGCGTCTCCAGGCCGCGTATGTAGGTGCCGTGGCCGAGCTCCGTCTGGGCATAGGTGCCGACGATGCCGTCCATGTGCCAGGCGCGGCTCAGCCACTTGTGCAGCTGCTCCTCGGTGCCCTGGCTGAGCAGCGTCGTGAGGAACATGGAGAAGTGCAGCCGCAGGGGGAAGCTCTGCTGGAAGAGGGCGGTGCCCAGCTGGCCGGAGAGCAGCACGCGAAATTCACGCAGCGAGTCGACGCTGAGGCTGAACTGCGGCTGGCTGGTGCTGTGCCACTGCCGCAGCTTGGCCAGGAACTTGGTGGATCTGGCAATGGTCTGCTCGTAGCGCTCCTTGTACGACAAGCAGCTGGGATGCACTGCCTCCTCCAGCTCGGTGTCCTCAAACACAAAGCGCTCCAGCTTGCGCCGCTCCTCCAGCCTATCGCTGCCGCCCGCCCACCATCGGGCAAAGTCCTCGCTCTCAATGCTGGCCCCCAGCCGCTCTCGCTCCAGATCAACGTTCACCGACGACATCTCCACTAACAAAGCTCTGCACTGCGCAAACAGCGAAAGTACACTGAACCACGGGTGGCTGCAAAAAAAAGCCAAAGAGAAGCAGCACCGACCGCCCGCCCGCCCGCTCTGACTCCCTCTGCCAGTGTGCGTGAGCAAACGAAGCTGCTTAAGCTGCTTTGTGCGTCTGGTTTTTGCCTGCACAGCACTGCAACTTGTTGTGTTTACCGTTTGATTTGTGGGTCATCCATCAAGAAGCGGAGATAACCGATATACATACATATACATATGTATGTATGTATGTATGTATTTTTTCTATGTTTTCTCCGCAAAGAATACTCGCGAATAAGTTCTCTTGAATTTTCATTTTATTTCTTTTAGAAAAAGCGACACAGACATTTGGTTTTATATTATGATTATTCTTAATTGTTTGCCCTTTCGGTTCTTTGACTTATTTGTGCAACATTCAACAAAATATATATATATATATATGTATATGTATGTATAAATACTTGATTCTCTCTCTCTCTCTCTCTTTTACTATCTCCGATGTTCGTTTTAAAATATGTACCTTCATTCTGCTCTCTTCATCTTATGTTCTTAATGTGGTGCTGGAATTCATTCTCTGCCGCTGCTCAAATCTATTTGTATTATTTTATTTCAGATTCTGAAGTTGTTTACAAGTCTCGCTATCAGCTCAAAGACGAGTAGGCAATAACAAGTCCGCTCGGGGATCGGGATGATGGTCGTGTTTGTTCGTTCCATTGCCAAAAATAGCCACAGATAACCTTGCACCAGAGGGACAACTGAAAGCGTACCAAAAATCGTATAGTCGAGTGTTCCGACTATGGTATACCCGCTACTCGTATCTTATATTCCACCAACCGATTTCGCCCCCGTTGTAAAATATGTGAATCTACGCCAAGTTGGTGGCCCACTTTTTCTGTTTTTGTTTCAAAACATTTTCACGAAAAGTTACTGACCAAGAGCAACGTCTTATATTGCTCAGTATTTCAGCCATAATAATTAATTAATTAATTAATTGTTTGAATGGATTTGTGCATATTTAAAATATGTATTAAAAGACTGACATTTCGTGTGCCTAACATTAGCTTTTGTCTCGTTCTGTATGTTTCTCTCTACGAATTAAAAGACGAATGAATGTTGATACCACAGCCTTATCTTGGCCTATAAAGATTTGCTTGATTTTTCATGGATAGGTGTATAATAAGTCCACAAGCAATTAAGCAGCAGATGGCTCATCATAAGAGAGAATTAATAGCATACTTTGGACTACACATGGGGAGGTCATATGGGCGGGCACATTGTACTTCCCTAACTCTGTGAGTCTTGTAGAGTATTTAGTGCTGAAATGCGCGGACAGACAAGAGTTACATAGACTCGTAATATTGAATAGTTCTACGAGTATCGGGCATAAATAGACATGGGGACTCAACACCAAGCCCTAACTCTGGCAATGGAACCGATTTGTTGTTTTTGCTTTTGCTCTTTCGATTTGTTAACAATTATTTCCACCAGTTGGAAATGGATATCTCGTTGTGCTCTATGAAACGGCTCTCTCACCTCTCATCGCTTTGTGCCACTGCAACTGCTGTTGCTGTTGCTGCTGCTGCTTCTGGGGCTTTTAGTACATGGGTGGGCGGGCCACAGACTAAGCCAGACTAAGAGGGGAGATTATGGTACAAGCGAAGTTGTAGATTACAGATTACAGTTACAGTGTCTGGCGGATGGAACGGATATTCGCGATCTCCAGTTCAGGATCATCGACAGGGTTTTTGCCATTTGTTTTGTTTGTTTTTTATTAAAGTTTTTGTTTTTCAATTTTTGTATGTATGTGTGTGTGTGTGTGTGTGTGTGTTTTATGTACATACATACATGTACATATAATAATAGTTTTACTTCATTTCAGACATTTGTTGAACATCGTTATCGTTATGCACACGCATACAAAATACAAATGCATTGTCGAGTATATACATATACATATGTATGTGTGTGCATGTGTAATGTGTGTATAAGGGTTATTATTATTTTTATTTATTATTATTATTGTAACAGTTATTAGGTATACATACGTATATAAGATCTCGGCAACATTTAACAACAATTATTCTCTTATTTCGGTTTAGTTTAGTTTTTAGTTTAGGTTTTTCTTAGTTTTTTGTGTGTGTTTGTGTTTTGTGTTTTGTTTTTGCTCTGCACTCGATTTTCATTTTCTCACATTTATTGCACAATATATGTATGTATATATATATTTAGTTATACATATAAACAATATACACACAATACATATAGATATACACGTATGTATATATATACATATAGGATTTGTTTAAAATAATATTATGTTGTACTTGAAACTTGCACTAAACTATAAATTGTACAAAAAGATTTAGATCTCTCTCTCATCTTCTACCTTCCGTTTCTTTTCTTTTCTTTCGTTTCGTTTTGTTAAGGTTTGTGTGTGTGTGTGTTTACCTTCTTCTTGTTCTATTAGATCTACTATTACCAACTAAAGCATTTTACATAACACATAATCATCTCCCTGAGGAGGGGGCCTAATAAGGAGAGGGCTAGGGTTCTAGGCATCTAGGCTTCTACGATTCTACGATTCTACGGTTCTACGGTTCTAGGGTGAGGTCTCTGCGGATAGAGGGGCCCTGGGGCTGTGGTTTTTTTTGTTATATTCTGAAGGATGGGGTCGCGGTTGAACCTACCCCACACCCACATCCACACACACACACACACCCCCAGCCCCCATCGGAAAACCCCCCTGCTGTTCCCTCTTTTAAGTTTATAGTGTACTTGTTTACCGTTAGGTTAGTTGAAACTTCCTTTCTCTCTCTCTCTCTCTTTCACACATACATAAATACCTACATATACATTTAGTTGCGTGCGTGCGTGCGTGTGTGTGTGTGTGTGTGTGTGTGTGTGTGCCTACCCTCGACGCACCCTCCGCACTCTAATTTAAAGAAAAAAAAATCATCTAAAAAAAAAATGCAAAAAAAATATAGGAATAGGAATAGGTTCTCTCTCTCGCTCTCTCTCTTTCGTCCTTCAAACTAAAAGTAACAATAACTAAGAAATCTACTAAACTAAATTCAATATTCAATATGCTTTCTACACACATATATTTTTCATCCCTCAGATTTACATGTTTTATGGTTTGCTTTTCCTTTTCACATTCTTTTTTGTTTGTTTGTTTTGGGTGGCACAGCCACCATTTTGAACTTTAGGCCTTATTTCCGCTTCCGCTTTCCTGCATTCTTCTCACATTTAGCTCACATTCGTTGATCAATTCTTTGCTTTTTCTTTCCTACGCTATCGGGTGTTGGGTATCGGGTGCTGGGTGCTGGGTGCTGGGGGATGGGAGGGGTGTGCTGTGGCGGTAAACCTACGGCTTGTTGCGTTGCCTTGTGCTTTCGGTTCTTTTTACTAGAGGGAGAGGGATGTCGTTCTAACTTAGAGAGAGATAGAGTTACGGGGCGTGACTTAGACAGAGACAGAGACACTGCTGGCCACAACGAGAAGCGCTACAACAATTCAACAACAGCAACAACAATCAATTCAACTACAACAAATAACTAAATGTGCATTGAGCAGCATGTTGCAGCAGCCATGCCCACGCCGTCCACATCCAAGTATCCGCATCCAAGTATCCACGTCCACGACTCCGCCGCTGACTATTTTGTTTCATCCTGATCCATCGGCTCTTCGGAGTCATCGCGCGACAGGGTTCTAAAGACAAACAAAACAGATACAAAAACACATAGCAAATAAGTGAAGGAGTCAATTGGAATACAAAACTATATTTAAATACGAGTATATATTGCGTGTATTTATGAGGGGTTCTCATTCGATAGATGTCTTTGAGCTAAATGTTAAATTATTGCATGAATTTATGGAATGAGTGTAGGTCATGGCACACACTTTATAAAATGCAATCTTAATATTAATAATTATTCTCCTGTTCAATTGGTTGCATTTAAGTTTATTGCTACGCGATACACAGGACCATAATGACTTCGTTCCATTCTATTTCCTGATAGAATTAGTTTTAGAGTTCTAAACTGAATATGACCCCCAGGTATATAAAGTAAAAAAAAATTAAAATTAAAGTGGAACTAATTTAGTGAAACATTCGCATACATATGTTGTTTGTGTGGCTAAATGTTGTATTAATCACCCAACATATGCACTCAACTGCAGAATTTTAGTTTTAGTTCCAATAAATAAATAGTTTCGAATGGAATTTCCGTTTTGATACGGATTCATATATCACATTGATTCAGTACTGTGTGCTACACATACATATGTACATATGTTTGTACCTATGTGCATTTATAAGAATAAATAATGCGACTATTCAACTAAACTAATCCCAACAGACACTCTCTGGTTCTGGTGAGAGAACCGATGCACTATACAGACACGAACCTGTGCATCGATTGCATGGAGAGGCCGGCCATGGCGTTGATCGTCTCAGATTCATCGTGCTCCACCTTGAGCGTCTCTAGCGCAGACAGGCCGACGGTATGCTCCAGCAACCTCACGCAGGGCCAATGCGTTTGCTACATTCGAACAAAGAGACAAAGAGATGGCCGCAGGAGATCAGTGAGTGGCCGAGAGGGTGAGATGGCACAGCTGTGGATTAGGTACCTGTATGGCTATCGTTTTCTGGAGCGTATTGATGGCATTCTGGCAGGGCGGTCGTTCCAGCTCGGACTGGGAAATTGGCGCGGCGGGATCGCCGAGCAGAGCTCGGACGCACTCTTGGGCGGAATCACAGATGGCGGCCAGGTCGTAGCCACCCTCGAGGGCCAGTACCACCTTGCCGTTGGCCAGCTGGAGGAGCTCGCGGGTCATGAAGCCGAAGCAGGCGGGCGACACGTGGTAACCGCCCAGAGGTGCCGGGTGGCCGGTGGCCGCATCGAAGCCGGACGAGACGAGCACAATGTCCGGGTTGAAGGACTTGGCGATGGGCATCACAACGGTACGGAATGCAGCGATATACTCGGCATCGCCCAGCGGCGGGTTCAAAGCCCCGGACCACGAGATGTTCACATTGAAGCCGAGACCAGCACCGGAGCCGCACTAAACAAATGGAGACACAGCGATTAGTCGTGAATGTCCTCATTGGTGCTGTACACACTCACCTCTGTGGGTCCGCCTGTGCCGGGAAAGAAGTTACCGTCATCGTGTCGATGTATGGAAAGATATAGAATGTCGGGACTTTGGTAGAATGCTTGCTGAGTGCCATTGCCGTGGTGTACATCCTGAAATAAATACCAAAATCCGTTTAGTTGTGCATCGTTCAGAGGACTTCCATGCAGGGAATTCAAGGAACCCTTTCCACCCATTCCCAGACTGCTGTATATTAAATATATCCTATCTGCACTTTTTAAGCTTCAAAAGAAGAGCTATCAACTATTGAATTCACAAACAGGAACCGAATAAATGAAATAACAGCCTGAAGGCCTTGTTGCTCCGGCAATTAATAGCCGGATTAATGGACTAATTCCAGGCTACTATTCTGTAAGTAAATCATAAATAAATTAAATACACTCGAGTAGTTTTCAAGACCCAAATGCCCTGGTATGTAAAATAAAGAAGAGATTTTTGCAGACACCTGCGGTAGGGAATGCAGACACTGCTAGATCTATGGCAGGCAAACAAGAATGGCTTTCGTGGTGCGCGGAAGAACTCACATAAGCATACACAGACAACACAAATGTCAGACAACTTGAAGGAATTCTCATTCACATTCACATTCAATTCATTTGCGCTTCAATTATCTGGGATTCAATTTGTGGGAGGAACTGGGAGCAACCCTTGGGGGCTAATTATCGATAATTTCCTATCGAATGGTTAGGGTAGGGGAGCGACCGACCTTCGTGGCCAATCGGACTCACCCAATCGACAATGAGAATGCGCCGCATCTCGGGCATCTGCTGGCGCAGCCGTTTCGCTGCGATGGCGATCGAGTTGAAGAAGCAGAAGCCCATGGCCAGATTGGCCTCCGCGTGGTGGCCGGGCGGACGGACGACGGCGAAGCCGTTGCGCAGATCTCCCTTGGCCGTCTTGAAGGCCAGATCGATGACACAGCCAGCGGCCATGCGGGCGGCGGTGGCCGTGTGATGCTCATTCCACGTGGTGTCCAGATCCACGCCCAGCCCCCCGCACGAGAGGCGGACGAAGCTGGCGGCCAGCGTGGTTTCCAGCTTGGGTCGCGTCAGCTGGCACTGGTTGGAGCCGAAGAGCATGGCATGCGCCTCCGTATGCACTGTCTGAAGCTCCTCCTGGGTGGCCTTGCGGGCCCGCAGCCGATCGCAGCGCTTCACCAGATCCGTCTCGTTCAGCCGGGCCCACACGCTCTGCAGCCGACCGCTGTGCTCCGGATGCTGGGCGTTGTCGCCGCAGATGCACGAGTGCTTCAGCATCAGCGGGTCGTAGGCCAGGCCTGTGGTGATTTTGTGCGGGGGCAATGAGGCGGACGGCGGCGTCTGTTGCAGGTGCTGTTGCTGCTTGCTGCTGCTGCTGCTGCTGTTGCTGCTGGTGGTGCAGCTGGGCGGCGTAGAATTGTCCCATGAACTGTCGGTGCTGACGATGGGGCAGCGTCAGGTTGACTGGCGGTATGTGGTCCGCCGACGAGGAGGTGGCTATCGGCGGCGGATGCTGCCCATGCCCCTGCCCCGTGTCTGCCAGCTGGCTAAGGCCGTGCGGACCGAGTGGCACCAGCGGACTGCTCAGCGTCCGAGAGAGGGGCCGCATCAGGCCCTTGCCCATCTCCTCCTCCTGCAGCAGGAGCAGCTCCCGCTGCTGCTGCAGGTACTCCTGGTCCCGCTGTAGTTTGTTGCCCTTCGTCCCGGTCCCGGTCCCGGTCCCGTTCCCGCTGCCGTTTCCGCTTCCGTTCCCGCCTGCCACCGCTGCTGAGGACGCAGTGGCGGCTGAGGGGGCCGTGCGATAGACTGCGGCTGCCGCTGCTGCGGCCAGAGCCTCGGGCAGACTCTGTGAGGTGCTGGTGGCTATGGTGCTGGTCAGCACCGTTTTGGGCGGCTTCTTCTTATCGGTCAGGTCCATCACCTCCGCAGCGGAGTCGTCCTCCTCCTCCTTCAGCTGGGACTCGCGCACTCCGGCGGCCGCTGCCGCCCCGCTGCGGGTGAGCACGGTCTGGCGCAGCTTCTGGGTGAGCACCTGATGCTGGTACGCCTGCCGCTCCGCCTGGGCAAAAAGCAGTCAATTAATCCATCTACAAAGTGGAAGAGGCAGGGGGAGGGGAAGGGGGACACGTTTACTCACCTCGCTGTTCTCGTAGTGCGTTTGGGCCACATTCAGCTGCCCGGCGCCCGTCAGCATCGGATGTCCCAGGGGCAAGGGGGCCGACTGTGTCCTGCCCAAGGGCCGGTGGCCCTGCTTGTGCAGATGCACCTGGGCCACCTGCGCATCCGTGATGGGCGTATTGTGCTGGTGTCCGCCGTACAGGGCATGTCCAGCATGTCCATGTGCATGCCCATGGCCGTGACCGTGCCCATAGCCATGCCCGTGGCCGTGGCTGTTGGTGGGGGGCAGGGAGCCGGCTGCTGCTGCCGCTGCCGCAGCCGCTGCTGCAGCCACGGCGGCGGCATGCAGATTGACCGCAGAGCCGGCGTTCACGCCGCCCAGCTGCTGCATGTAGGACGAGGACGAGGGCAGAATGGTGGAGGCGGCGTGCGCCTGCGGCGGAGCCACATCCCCCACCAGGGAGGCCTGGGACGAGGACGTGGACGTCGCCGAAGCGGACCTAACCACCGGCGAGGGCTGCTGGGGCGCGATGCCCGTGGCCGGCATCATGGCCAGCGACCCAGTCGGCTGCCGTCCCACAAAGGACATGCCCAGCGGATTGTAGTAGTTCTGGTGCAGTGCCGCGAACATCGCCTGCGCAGTGGCCTGTGCCTGCGCCTGGGCCTGTGCACTCGCCTGCGCCTGGGCCTGGGCCTGCGCCTGCACCTGGGCGGAGTTTGGTAAATGCGGTCGTCCCAGGGATATGTTGGGCAGGGAGGGCGAGCTGAACAGGGGCAGGTCGTTGATGCTGCTCCTCTGCCCCGGCTGGTACTGGCTCCCCTCCTCGTTCTCCTCCTGGATGGGTGCACTCGTCGGGGAGCCCCTGCTCCCGACCACGCCCACCGGCAGCCCTGTGGACGAGGGCGGAGAATTAGGACCAGAATCCGGAGTGCTGTTGCAGTCTGTTTTTGGGGGGGATTCAGAAGAGAAAGCTTCGATTATTAATTGTTCGGCGCAGGGGAGGGGTAGGGGAAGGGGTAGGGGGTCCTGGGTATCGGGGGATCAGAAACAGTTTAGAAGGCAGTCAGGCAGCAGTTAGTGGACTGAGCGTAGCTGGAGTTGGAGTTGGAGCTGGAGCTGGAGCTGATCAATGGTTGGATCATCGTGGATAACAGTGGTTAGATAACAGTACAGTAATTACAGTAGCATTAACGATAACAGCGATGACAACGATAACAGCGATAACAACGATAACAGCGATAACAGCGTTTGCAAAGATTACAACAACAAAAACGCATTAAATATTTTATAATAATATAAACCAAGAATATACAAATTAAAATATGCAAATAGCTACTCTGTGGAGTGTCCAACGCGGGATCCAGCGATCGATCATTAATCTGGGATCTGGGATCTTGGATCTTTTGGATGAATTTATATATGTATTTACCATGTACCCGCAGGGTCCGTGTGTGTTAATGTACTTTTTGTGTGTGTTTTGTGTGTGTGTGAAAGATGCCTTTGTGGTTATTGAGGGGAGAACTTTTATTTGGGATCAACGATCAACGAATCTTTCATAATTTTCGTGTACTTTCATTTGTGGGTGAGGTGATCTCCCTAAAGCTGAGATAGTTGATGCGAAACTATGCTGAAAAGATCTCACTATATTCCTGTTTTGTAGCAACAGTACAGTGCGCGGCAAACACACAAATTTAAACGACGAGTTAAAAGAAGAAAAACCAAACTGAAAACGAATAAATACCGTCGATGTGCTGCTGCCTTAATTCGTTTGCTTCCTTTGGGTATGTGGATCCATTGTAGATCCACCAATAGACTCAACTCAGTTCCGCCTAACGCAGCGTTGCAGCGTGCAGCCAGCGACGCATTGCCTACTCCGATCTGTACCGTTTTGTGATGGGTGGGTGGGTGCTGTTTTGTGTGTGTGTGTGTTTGTGTGTGTGCTGTCTATACGTACTTGTAAGAACGGAGTTCTTCTGCTGTCTACGCTGGGCCGCCTGCAGGAGTCGCTCGTGGCGACGGGCACCTGCCGGGCCCACGATGCGGGCCTTGCGCTCGATGACACTCTGTTTCAGCCGGATCTTCAGCAGGTTCGGTTCGGAGGCTGTTTGGATTTGGTTCACACACATTTGCTTGGTTAGTTCGGAAGGGGTTAGAGCACTTAGCTTACAGCATACATAATCAATCATATTGTAATGTGGGGGGGGAGCGAGGCGGGGCGGGTATCTGATCTGCACAGCTTAAAAATCTCCTTGCAACTTGGAAACTTTCGGTTAGTAATTTTTGCCATGCATTCCTAACATCCCTCCTATTGAATAGCTCAAACTGATTCCCAATTGGGCATCTCAAACTGTACGTTATTTTAATGAACTCAGCGGACCCAACGCACGAGCCTGTTGCCAGAGTCTTTCACTGAAACAAACTGAACATTTATGAGCCTATGAATCACATTTGAATCTTTTTGGTTCCAAATGCGAGAGTTCTGTGGGATAAAGTCTCGCATTTGCCTTGCGAGCGTTTGGTTCGCTGGGCTCTTCGCTTCGACAAATGTGTCCTAGTGGCAGTCCTCTTAAGGAGCATTTGGGGGGGGTTGTGTGGCTCGACAATAATTTGGGGACAGAAAGCAGACGGAGGCAGCCAAAACGGATTTTAGTATAAACAACACTCAAGGCAGAGCAGAGCAGAGCAGGGCAGGGCAGAGAGCAGTTCCTGCGGTGGGAATTTCTTCCAAATCGGTTATCTGGCAAGGAGAGCACGGAGGGCGCGGAGGGAGAGTGGCTGCTAAGCGGTAGCTTACCTGTTTTCCTGAGCGGAAAATCAGATTCGTATTTGAGCAGTGAGGAGGGCGGCTGAGGTATTTTGTAGGGATGCGCACTGGTCACGGTCCCGGCTGGCAGGGATTCACCCGAGGAGCTTTTCACCACACCTCTGTAAATGTAAATATTATATATTATTTATATACTATGTATTTTTATATAGTTTTGATCGGTTTATCGATCGATAGGCTGGCAACAATTTAGGCCCAGTTAAAGCCCAGATAAAGCCCACTCTCAAACCTCTCTTCTTACCGATTGCGATAGGGCGACGTTGTCGTTGTTCCATTGGAGGCTGCTGCCTGCGACTTGCGGCTCATAATGAAGCACTGCAACGGGAATGGCAAACGGAAAATAGAAAGGAGGATTAGGAGGATGGTCAGAGCGACAGAGAAGGGCGGTTGCCATTACATTGAGGATCTGTTTGACCTCCGGGCTGGCATTGGCGCTGCAGATCTCCTTGCGCTTCATCACCTCCCGCTCGCGTCGCTCCCGCTGCTGCTGCTGCTCGCGCTGCTGCTGCTGCTGCTGCTGCTGATGATGATGTTGCTGTTGTTGCTGCTGCTGTTGTTGTTGTTGTTGCTGCTGCTGCTGTTGCTGCTGCTGCTGTTGTTGGTGATGGTGGTGCTGCTGCTGCTGGTGCTGCTGCTGCTGCTGCTGGCGGTGGTGCTCTTCGGCAAATGCGGCAGCAGCAGCAGCGGCGACCGTTAACGTGCTCTGTTCCCGCAATTCCTGGAAGGCTCCATGGGAGTGCACCGCAAACTGGATAATTTCGAATAGGTAAGAGGAGGAAAGAAAGAAGGAGAGAGAGGGATTGCTTTTTGATTATTCGGTTTCAGGTGGTGGGCCATTTTTTAGAATAGTTCGTACTTTGTCTGCTCTCTTAATAATAATAATGATGGTGATAATAATGATGATGATGATGATGATGATGATGGCGCCGCCTTGGCCTTAGTCATACGCCCCATCGAAGCACTTCCGGCCCAGACGACGGCATGATAATATGTTTTTTATATTTTATTTTCATTTATTTCATTTCAATTCCTCTTTCCACTTGTTTTGTTTTGCATTTCTGTTTTCAGTTTTCTGCCCACACATCCCCATTCACATCATCATTCCGATGATTCCCTCCCCCACCCCATCATTCCCATCATCATCATCATCATCGTCATCGTCACATCATTATCATCTCTGCATGAAAAGCAGCCACAACAACCGCGACACAGCGGACAACGGACAACAACAGCGGACAACAACAACGGACAGGCGACATTGGTCAAGGTGTATTTGTATGAGGTGAAGCACTCCGGACACTTGTGCTCTCCGCTCTCTTAACCTGACAGACATTTCACTTTCGGTGCCTGTACACAGGTGTGCAGATCTAGTTAAAAATTATACATATGTATATGCATGTACATATGTGCGTGTAACATCAACTCTAGTGTCACAGGCAACTCTTGAGCATGCCTCACCCTACCGATAATGCACCTTGAAAGAGACATTGACATCGTCGCCGTAGCCGTCGCCGTCGCCGCTGTCAGCTTGCCCCTCATCTACTCACTTGATACTTGTGCTCCAATTGCAGTTTATGCTCCAATTCCATTTGCTTCGATTGCTCCTGAAACGTGTGGATCAGACGTTGCTTCTGCAGTTCCTGATTCTTTTTGAGCTGCAAGAAACGGGAAAAGACACACAAAAAAAGGCTCATTCAGAGATAATCGTTCAGGCAGGTTTTAGATAGCTGACGATAAACAAAGTTTGGGCTCCACCAAAGGCAGTGGAGTATGTATTTGAGTATTTGAGATTTGAATAACTGAACAGAATTAAATATTCTTCCTTTATTTTCCAGAGTAGTTCCAGTGCCAGCTCTACCTACCATACATACATACATATTTATATATATGGGGGAATAATAATAAATAAATAAATAGAGTTCCTTGACAAGTGCATTACTTTCGGCCAAACTTTCCATCGATACGAGTTTGTCACTTTTCCTTTGGACTTCTTCTTTGATAGATACTGTTTACACGTGTATTTACATATGTACATACATATGTAGTAAACAGACAAATGTATGTACGTATGGAGATACTTATGTACATATGGAATTCTGTGAAAATTCTGAATTATATGCATATGTACATATGTACTTGCTGGACCCCTTAGCAATAAGAATTCTAAAATTTGGCCAACGAAGGAAAAGGTTCTCCAATTGCGAGTGACCACTGTGTTGTTTTTGTTGTGTTTTGTTCTTCTTCTTCTTCCCCCGCACTTCGTCGTCATTATCTATGTTTGTATGTACCATGTGTATCTAGGTACATACATATGTACATATGTATGTATACACCTACATCGAGATGCTTCTGCTGATAGGTTTCCATGACCTTAGAGCGCGGCACGAGGCATCGCGCCGTTTCTGCGTTCATTCTTTGGCCTCCACCTTCGCTTGGACACGACTGTTGTTACTATTGCTGTTGTTGGGGGATGTCACGCCTCCGTATCCCTCTCTATCTCTTTCTCTCACTCTCTGGCACACACACACTCACAAGCAGAAACATCGAAATGGAACGCCAAAAAAACAAAAACAAAAAACAAATGTATCGCGAAAGTAACGGTTCGGTTGATCTCATCTTTTCTTGAACGAACAAAGCTTTAGTTTCAGCTAAACTATATATAAAAGATGGCTCTTTAAGAGTATTAAATGTGCGAATGTGTCTTACCTTCTTGAATTTGCTTGGGCTACTGCTTATTGCTTACTGGTACTTATTGCTTACTGGTACACTTACATACATACAGATATGTATATGATTTGTGCACTTGTCAATGGAGGTTGGGGAAGGGGCATGGTGAGGGGTACATTATTCACATTTCTTCCCGTCTCCGCACCGCAATCGCACTTACAGTTCACTCAATAGATAATTATCTGTTCTCCCTCCACTGTTTTTTCTTTGGATTTTCTAGTTGACCGACTGCTTCGTCTCAATCTCCTGCTCAACGGGCACTGCTTCGACTGCTTGCTCCGCTTCTTCTTGCTGTGTTTTCTATTTATCTTTGTCTTTTCGCTGTAGTTATTTTGTGCACATTAGTTTTTGTTATAAACTTTTTGTTATGCGAAAGAATTTTCATGGACTTTCGACTATTTGCCGATGAGTTTACGAATTTTCAAAAGAGAAACCGACGGCGACACGATGGACGTGGGGAGGCGCTGAAAACTCTGTCCGATTTAGTTTCCATTCGCTCTTCCTGTTTCTGTTTCTGTTTCAGATTCTGCTTCTGATTCTGTTTTTGGACTTTCGTTTTGATTTTAGCATTCGCTGGGATATGGACGACGCGCTTTCATTTCAGTTTCACGCGGGCGACTGGCCCAACTGGCGAAAAACTCAAATATAAACACAAAATTTCGAAACATTTACGATTGCTGCTGGGTGAATGAGAGAAGGAGAGGGGAAAGGAGAGACGAGACGAGACGGTGGGAGAGTGGGCAACCAGAGAGAGCCCCCTCTCGCTGGCTAGACCAGACAGACATAGGGGCGGGACTCAAGCGATAGACAGAGAGCTAACCATTAAAATCATCTCTATCTACCCCATATATCCCCATCCCATCCCATCCCATCCCATAAGCCACATGAGTTCCTAGAAAACTGCACCTGACCCGACACCAAACCAAACCAAATCACACCGCACCGCACCGCACCTTCCTCCCCGAACCTGTAGCTCTGGCCAGAGGCACCTCCTGCTGCTTGCACAACATTCGCCAGTTGCTATGGCCTGTGCTATAATTATAAATGCCTGTGCTATAATTATAGCGGGCAGAAGACAGCACACAGGCACGCCCATATAAATAGAAACCGAACTGAAACAGAATTGGATTGGATTGGATTGGGAACAAAAAGAAAACGAAAATGCAATCTGCTTTATAAGTGATCATGATGCTGATGATGATGATGATGAAGGTATTTCCGGAAAAAAAGGAATGGAAATAACACATTTCTGACGAATCGCTTGCGAATCAATCACTGCTTCAATTAGACATATTAAATCTGATTTATTCTAGTATTATAGTTATAGTTCAATGGAATGCACTGCTTATAACATACCTAAATATACACAATTAAATATGTACATAATTATACAAGAAGATATTTTCATACAATTCTACCCCATAACCTTTGAAACACCCAAATTTATAATTTAAGAACACCAAAATTAAAATCATATAAATAGTGACACTAAAGGGGATCCTTGAACCTCAAAATATCAAAAAAAATGTTTGTTTTATATGGGAATTGCAAGGAGGATCAGATTTGTTCGATAGAGAACTCTCCATACCATCAGAGACACTGACACATTGAATTATGATAAAGAGAATCGCTTTTATGGACCACTCCGCATACTAAAGAGATATTTGGTTAAGTCATTTGAATCATTGGATCATTAAATCCAAGTTCCAACGAAAAAAGAGATTCAAATACGAGTATGCTAGATATAATAGCAAGTTTTTCTAATGCCATCATGAATGTTCTTTAATTCTTAGATCATCGATCTTGTGGTGTTCGATCGAAGCGATGGGAAGATTCAAATTCTATAATTTGTGGGCGAAGATCAAGAGATCAATGATCGTGTTCATTAAGATCTTGTCAACCCTCTCTAGCCACCCCACATGGCTCACCCCGCCATCATGCGCACCATCAATTTTTGCTAATTTACATTTTGCTCGTGCCACCGAAAATAACGGAACACAAAGAAGAACGAAGAGATGAAGGAGGACGCAGAAAGGCAGAGGAGCGGGAGAGGGAGAAATGAGGAATTCTATCAAGCATTTTCACTGATTAGCATTTGTTTTAGTGTGCGTGTAATCCACGTGTGTGTGTGCGTGTGTGTTTGTGTGTATATTTGTTAAAAATAAAACCCGCAGAGTTTATAAAGAATATAAATAAATTCAAAGGAAAACCCAAAAATAACAAAAACGGCAAACGCGTTGCTGAAAGTAAGAAAAACCGAAGGCGGTGTCGGTGGCGGTGGCAGCCCGTGGCAGCGGTGGGGTGTGGCCGGGCGGGGGAGGCAACTGTGGCAGGGCATATGTATGTGCATTTAAAACACTTTTTAACCCTAAAAATAAAACATTTCTAACGAAAAAAGAAACAAAAGAGGACTCAAAATGAAATGCAGCCAAAAATTGAGGCATAAATAAATCCCCCAGACTATAAATTAAATACAAGCCGAGTAGCAGTGGCAGTGGCAGCGGCAGCATCAAAAGAGGCAAAAGAAAACTATCCTTAGAGGATTCTCTGGGAATACCTCACCTTGCATTAATGCACCTTGAGAAGAAGAAGCATCATAAGGCATCACAGACTGAATAAGCAGTGCAAGCAGAGAACCAGAAGACAGGGAGGCTGCTGTTGCACATGCTGCCCCATGCGCCCAGCCACCAGTAGCTGATAGAGAGAGATAGAGAGAGAGAACGGAAGAGGAAGAGATATGCCCACACAGTAAAAACCCGTCAAGTGGACTGAGCGCACTCCCATTGGCATGCGTCCGTCAGAGGCCTGGCCCCTCTGTCTTTCTTCTTCGCTCTCTCGCTGACGGCTCTCTTGGCTTGGTTTTCTCGGCTATTTATAGAGAATTTTATTTAAAAAATGCGCAAAAACTCATACATATTTTCGTAGTGAAAACAATAAATATAGAATCATTAAGTTGTACACGCGTTTATATTTAGACTCCCAACGAGGAGCGCAAGGCAAGCCATTCGAAGAAGCAGGCAGGCAGCGCTACTGCTTCCAAAGCCCAACAGAGCAGAAGGAAACGCACAACCCCACACACACACACACATACGAATACGAACACACGCACGCACGAGAACATGCACATGCTCATGTAACAAAGCGACTAAAAGCATAGCATATAAATATAAAACAAAACAAAAATACGAAATCGGGGAAAAGGAAAAGCGGTGGCGGAGGCGAATAATTATACATATCTACGTACAAATGTATGTACGTAGCTGCTGGATCAAAATTACACCAAAACAAAGGGAAGTACGAGTAGTGGGTGTTATTGGAATGTGGTCTAGGGAGTTCTCCCACCCCTTAGGTTTTTTTTGCTACGCTTTTAGTCCTCAAAGAAGGTTTTTTTAAACAGTATAAAATATTCCAAACTTTTTCAAACGATTAGGAGGTTTAGGCAGAGACCTCTTCGGGTCCTTTACAGCATCCAACCTTATTTCTTGTCGCGCGTGTATTTTGTTTTTGCATTCTTGCGACCGAGCCTCGGTCACGCACACCTTTCTTAACTCTCGCAGGAATGAGAGCAGTTGGGGAGCAAGGGCGTGCCCCTCCGCTGCGCTAGAGAGAACCAAAATAAAGCAAGGCAAAAGCACACTTACCTCCATGATCTGCTGATCGATATCCACCGCTGGATGGGGCTTGAAATCCAATGTTAATGGGACCGGCCCTATATGCAGCAATCGTTCATCGCTTCCGGCTTCTGGTGGCAGATCTGCAAATTGAGAATGTAAACAAAAATTAGAGAGTGAGAGAGCGAAATTCAAGCATCAGTTTGGGCGAAATCGAGAGCCTGATCAATGTACATATGTATATTTAAAACACAAGTTGGGGGCTCTTTCCTAAGAGTTCTCAATGGATAGTCGAAGCAATTAAACAGTTTTGAAGAGAGTTTTATTTCCTATAACTAGTACACATTTATGTAGATTAACTGTTCGATACATTCTATTATTGCCGATACATATTATTTGAAATATTTCAACGTACATTCAGTTTTTACCGCTGCGATTCACAAAGAGAAAGACAGAAAGGAGCGGCCAAGAAAATGCTTTGGAATGCCTCACCTCGTTTAAATACACCTTGAGGAGGGAGAGGCGTTTTTTCGTGCTCTCTATTATTCTGTGCTTGTCTCTTATTCGAATATGTGTGCACGTATATACATATGTATGTGTGTCGCTCTATTGGCTGATTATATAGATAAGGCCGCGCTTATCGGACGCTTTTAAAAATAAATCTAATACGTATTTAGCATGCCAGCAAAACGACACAACTTGGACACCCTCTCTTTCGCTCGCTCTCTCTGTCTCTCAGTCCCGTACTATATACATATGTATATGTATATGTACATTTGTATATGAAACGAGTATAGGGTATATATTTAAACATTTAAACGTGTTGACTATTTTTAGTAACCTTGTACAGCAAAAGTTAACAGCGATTACAACGACCAAACATACCCACATACATATGAGTATGTATGTATGTATGTATGTACATCTTTATGTACTCTCGGCCCAATATATTATTCGTACACCCTTCCTCAACAGAACCGTTTTTTGTCCGTAGGTTATGTTAAGCTGCGACCATAGACAGGCAAGGCAGGCTTCGGCTCATTACGAGTCTATTTTTAGTGCCTTGTCCCAAAGGTGACGTGGTGTAAGTGGTGTAGAGTGCCCTGGACATATCATATGGTCACTCTGAGGTCCTGCAGCCATTAATTACATACATACATATATGCACATATGTACGTATTTGAATATATATGAAAACAAAAGGAGGAGAAGAGGTGTTTTACCGTCTTATCTTTAACCCGTCTCGATTTCGTGCAGTATGCCCAGCAGCTTAAAGTTATAGACGGAGCGACTGTTGTTTTGGATAGTTTACAAATACACCGACCGACTCTGAGTGTATGAATGTTTCTCCCTCTTCGTCTGCTTCTTCTCTTTACCGCGCACGTGACGATAGGCAGCAGCAGCAGCAGACCTGTTTCGTTGTCTCTCGCTCTTTCGCTCGTTCCCTTTTTAACACCGATCAACTAATTTGATTTGCTGCGACACCACAAGCAAAAAAAATGATGAAAAATTCCGCCATAACTGAACATCTGACAGCACTGCCAGCACTACTACGGCTGTGGCTCCGGCTAGAAAAGTGCAGTCGCCAAATGTTTCATTGATAAATATTGCTGTCGGCGTCGCCGTCGATGTCGATGTCGCGGTCGACGCGGGAGCGACAGAGCAGCGGAATGGTAAGAGCAGTTAGCCGCTAGCCATTTCCTTGTGCTCATTTACTCTCTCCCACTCTAAGTATTTGCCCTCGCACACTCACTACACTCTGCTGCTGGACTAATTGCGCGCAAAACAAATATGACTAACCGAAAAGTCCAATTGGTGATGCTGTCTCCCTCTAGCTCTAGCTCTCGCTCTCGCTCTGTGCATCCCCGTCCCCACGCCAACAACATCTGGCTGATCTAATCAGCAAAGTCGAGTTTTGGGCAGGCAGCGACAGAGAGAGAGAGAGGGGCTATAAATAGAGCAACAAAAGCCAAAAGCATCAGCAGCCAAAAGCAATATCACGAAAGGAAGACAGACGTCAGATGCCGAAGCTTTTGATACCCTTGCAGATCGATAGCAGATCAATCAGATGCAGGTTGTTGCGTCTTCTGAATAGCTGATCTATGTGCAAGACGACAGGAAAATGGACGAAAGAGATGCCAATATTTATTTATTAATTGCAGCCATTTCTCTGTAAAGTTTGTGGAAGCTCGTCTTCACACCATGAAAATCGTCGATGTTCTACTTCCACATATCCAGCAGTGTCTTTATGGCCCCAAGGGGTTCACAAATGACAATGATTTGTGCTAATTGGCAGGAAAGTGCAAAATTCGCAAAAGCAATCGAATATTTCAAATAGACGCTCGTGCGTCCGAAAAGGACGCAATTTTTGTCAACACTAGGACACACTAGTACTGCGTCTCCGGCAAGACGCAAAGACGAATGATACAGCCCCAGTGTAAACAGCCTATAAAACACACTAAAATCTGTTAAATTACCCAACAAAAAAATCAAAAAAATATTAATAACCGATCCTTTTTTTTTATAGCTTTAACTATGACCCCTACAATTCTATATACTAAGTCGGCATCGATTTTAAAAGGCTTTGTAATGTTTGATGAAGTTTAAACTTAATGAATTTATAAAAATAAAACGTAGATAAGAATTCGTGTCGGACGGTGCTCGGAAAATTTTTAGCCGTGCGTGTGGACATTTTCATTTTCAAGCCGTATCGGGTCGGATTTAAAAATTGCATACCATGATCATCTCTAGTTCCGACTATGTATTTATGTACGTACAGAAAATATGTCCAGAAAACGTTTTCAGCATGGCAAACATATGTTCCAAAAAATCATAATACTCTCTCTACCAGCGTATACAAAAAAAAAAGCACAATAGCATGCTCCCAAGTCGGTTATGTGCATGAGAATGTGTGGGAGCGTGTGTGTGTGTGTGTGTGTGTGTGTGCATATCTAACCGAACAGGCCGTGACCTGCTGCGGGCTGCGCTTGCTCTGCTCTGCTCCGTTGTGCTGTTCTGCTGCTGTTCTGTTCTATTTTTAGAAGCATTTATAAATCGTGCATGGCTGTGGGGAGTATATTTAGAAGTGGCAACACTGCAAAAGCAGCAAAAACATCATTATCATCATCACATATTGCACAAAGTAGAGAAGAACATGGGGAATATACTCATACAAGGTGCATGTGAAAGAATACAATTTATATACATACATACTTATGTACATATGTAAATGCATATGTATATATACAGCTGCAGTCTGCTGCGAAGTACATAGATACCCTCTATGGGATATTTATTTGGTAACAATAAAATAAATTGTTTTTTTTTGTTGCGGTGTTTGTGCTCAAAATGGAAATATGTAGCTCAAACAGCAAAAATAAAAATGATCCATTGAAACCCCATGGTTTCCATTCTAGAGTACCCGCATGTCGACTTGGGTAAACTTGGGCAAATGCAAAACAGAAGAGGCAGAGGAACGAGAGTGGGCTCTCTCTTTCGCTCTTGGTGGTGCACTTGCCGCTGCAGGTGGAAAACTTTTGCATGCCAAATGCTAAAGGCGCAGAGAGGGGAAGGGGGAGCGAGCAAGCTAGTTAGTGTTGTGTGCGAGAGAGCGCGGTGGTGGGTGGGAGTGGGTGCTGCTGTCCCGCAGTCATCTGTTTTTATTTCTTCAAACGAAGAATTAAGAAAAAGTGTATGCGTATTCCATTCCTTGTATCTCTCTATCCATCCGGTGCTGCTTTGCTTTGCTCTGCGCTGCTCTGCTCCCTTTTTCCCTTCAAGGTCAACTTCTGTGTTGTGTTGTGTTGTGTTGACATAGAAACCAACGGTACAACAAAGGCAATTCCAGGGAGCACGTGTTGTAAAAATACATATGTACATAGATACAAGATACATACATACATATGCATGCAAAGAATTACGTCGAAAGTCGATGATTTTGATACCCTTGCAGATCCAATAAAACGATTTTCTCCTAATAACATGATGATTGACCAATCGATCGGCTACATGTGTCCATATGCACCTGACTATGATTGTAATTATATGTACATATGTACATACATATGTATTATTTGTATATGATAAGTTGTCTGATCTTTTGCGTGCATCCATAAAAAGCTTTATGGGGCTATGGGGCATGGGTGGGTATTCGATTTGGTTTTTGAAGCTGATCAGGAATATACAAACATATACATGTACATACGTACATACCTACTTTATTAAGCATTTCAATATCTGGTTAAAATAATAATACCTTCTGCAAGGCTATTGAAAGCGCTAGAAAACTTTATGAGAGCGATGTCGATGGTGATGGGGATCTGGGGTCTCGTCATTGAAATCGAAACTGAAATTCAATTGGAAGTTGATACGAATGCTGCAGAGATACAAACATACATATGTATGTATGCACATACATACATATGTATGTAGATATTGAGAACGGGAGAGGAGAGAAGACTGAAGCTTTAGCTTGAGCCCACAAAAATGTTCTGCTCTCATTCTCTGTCTCTCTTCTTTCCGTCTTCCTTCCTCAATAAGTTTGTTTTGAGTGATAGGCGGCAGGCCGGCAGCGTTCCCATGTACATGCATGCATACATATGTATGTATGTATGTATGTATGCATGTGTGCGTGTCTCTCTCTCTCTCTCTCTCTTTCCCACTCTTTCAGTATGGGTGTGTGTGTGTGGGTAAATTTCCAGCGCGCGCATTCTAAAAATAGACACAACGACAACGTCGGCGGCAGCGAAACGTTTTGTTTTGGGCCTGGATCTGCGGGGGCGTGTGGGCGTGGCGAGCAATGAAGTTCTAGGCTGTGGCCTCCCCCACCCACCAAACACTAGAGGGAAAGAGCTTGTGTTGGTGGGGTGGAGGGGTTTACCTTGACAAATGTAAAGCCAAAGTAGAACCAAAAACAAATGAATGAATTAATAAACGCAGCAGCAACAGCAGCAACAGAAACAGCAACGCTTCGATATTATTTTATTGTTCAGAGAGAGGGGGGGTGTAGAGGGGCAGTAGGTTAAACTGCCAATACATACTCGTACATACATATGTACAAATATATGTACATCCATTTGTAAGCCTAACGGTTTTATATAACAGCTGACATACACTTGCACACACACAGAGAGCGAGAGAGAGAGCGAGAGAGAGCGAGGGAGAAGCAGGCAAAGTTCAGTTTTATTCTTGGAATTCCATTACAATACACGTAACTGTTCTCAAGAGCAGGCGGGGGGAGGAGACGCAGGCGGAGATGGGTTTGAAACGGAAAGGTGTAGAAAGAGGCAGAAGGACCCCAGGGAAAGGGAAGAAGGTCGGATCGAAAGAGGCAAAGGAGGCAAAAGAGCTGTAGAAGGCGGATGAAAATACAAATACAATAAATACAAAAAAGCCGAATATGAGAAAGAAAAAAAGGCGGGAAAAGAGAAGGTAAACCAACCCAGGAACAGGTAAAGGCGAGGGAGGGGCGAGAAAAATGGGCTTTAGGGGGAGCCAAAGGAGCCAAAAGAGAAATCGCTAAAATAGAATAAATACAATCACTAGAAATACATTGGATAGGAGTCGGCGATGCAGAGGCAGAGGCAGAGGGACACCCTCGGTCGACCTTCGAGCAGGTGGAACATGCTCCATGCCCCATGCGTGCTTCAAATGGAACAGAAAACCAACAAAGCCGAACAGCAAAAGAAAAGAAAAACTTTTCACTTATTGCGTCTTAGACAAACAATTCCATTATACAAGGGGGGGGTGGTGGTGGTGGTGGCGGTGGTGTTCGGGAGTAGAAAGTCAGGGTATCGAGGGGGGTGACAATTAGTTGGCTCTTTCCCCAGACGGTCACTGTCAGTATCAGTTGCCCTTGGGCGAGGACAACCTCCTTAAGCTGGACAAATATCTCACTCCCTCTCTATAGATGCACACAGTTCCGGACTTATTTCCAAACAATCACTTCAAAACATAGCTCCATTGATCATGTACATAAACAAGTACATACATACATACATATTTACATATGTACTACGCTCTTGGACCCTCCACCCAAGGTGTACGCTGGGTCCAACAAGTTCCGCAAACTTGTATCAAAACACCATTTATGTACAGTGGAAGCTTACATACAAAATGTATGTACATATGTAGATGATATGTTTCAGATAACTATTGTGCAGGTTGTAGGAAGTGAGGGGGGAGGGGTCGATTACTTAGGGCACTCCCCTCTCATCAGCCCACCCACCTATTATCGTCCTTGACAGCACTTAGGTAAGGCCACGGGGCCACGGGGCCACGCGGTCATGGACCATCGACCATGGGTCATGGTCTCATTGTAACAGCTTACGAAGACAAATCCCTGGAAATGGCTGTGTTGTGGCTTGCACGTGTCGTTGTCGTTCTCCTTTCTCTGGAGGAGCAGGAGGAGTAGCACCACCCCACCAGCAAGAAGAAGAAGAAGAAGACCAAAGAAGAAAAGAAAGCCCAGGTCTGACCGCACATACACACACACACACACTCGCACTTATTTGAATGGCAAGTAAGTTTTTGTGTCTAAAAATAGACGAAAATCGATAAACGAATGCTTTTCTTTTTGGTTGTGGGTCCCCCGTCCCCCCGTTTCACGGCGTCCATCATACTACCTCAAGCAAAACAGACACGGAGCGAGAACGAGTGAGAGAGAGAGAGAGAGAGAGGGAGAAGGAATCCCCATAGAGAAAGAGCAGCTGGGCATACCAGCAAGAGAAAGAGAGATAGAGCGTGAGCGAGAGGGGGGAATGGGAGGAAACATAGCATAAGAAGAAGGAAGGAGATTACGCCAAGGGCCAGGCCAGGCCATGGATTTCACATCCACGTGCTTGGCATTGACAGTGGTATTGTTGGCCAAAAGAAACAGGAACAACCACTCCCAACCCAACCCAACCCACCCCACTCCCAACCCACACCCCACAGAATAAACTTTCATCTGTCATGGCTCTGACAACAACACAGCCATGCCGACAGAGCGGAGGCGCTTACGCGACCATGGACAATGTGCTTGTTGTTGTTCCCTCTGCCCTGCCTGGGGACGACACGGCAGTAGGTAGCGGCAGCAGGGCGCTTGGCGTCCATCCTGGAGCAGAGAGAGAGAGCACAGCGACGCTGGCTGCTGGCTGCTGGCTGGTGGCAGCAAAAGCAGGAATGGGCAAAAGGCTGTAACAGTTAGTAGTTGTGGAAGCAGGAAAGCGCTAGGAGCGGGCTTATTAGAAGCTGTGAAAAAGCAAAGACCGAGGACGCCAACAGCCCGTGCACAGTGGGCTGTACAGGGTGGCTATTCATAGCTGTCGCACTTGCTTAAAGCGATACTACTTCAAATCAAACATCCTCAGACTTGCAGCCATTATGAATTCCTATCCTTACGTTTATTGTGAATTGATTCCACATATGTAGTTATTATTTTGACCAGTTGATATTTAAAGCTTTAGCTTTAGCCTTTGTTCAGAATTTATATTTGCAAAGAAATAAAGAAAACAAAAATATCGTAATTTTGAATTCCCTAAAATATGTGGGCGCTATTCGTAGGATTGTGTGATGCATCTCGGTTTAAGGCAACTAGAAGAGTTGAAATATATTTTGAAAAAAAGCCAAATGTGAGCCGTATGACCTTTAAAAACGTAATTCAAAATTAGTTTAGTACGAAAGCTTACAAAAAAAAAACGTATTCGCAGTCTCATTTGAGGGTCAACGAAAAACACATTTTTGCATGATTTTCAAAATCTTCTCCCTTTCTGTTGGATGAACTGGACTCTATCCATTCGGGATCTAAATCAATTGAACTTCTGCAAATGGGGTTTCATGCTGGGAATATTCATTCCATAGTCTAAAAAAACATGAGTTGCAGTAATTTAACCGCCATGAATCTTTTTAAGCGCCTAAAGTTATTACGCCTAGCTAACGGTGAAATATCAAAAATAAAAACCAAATTTTAACAAAAGAATATTGATTTAAATACAAATAAAATGACTTTTTAGCGTTCATTTCCCAATAGTTTTTTTATTTATCATTAAAAGTTAGGTTGCGTCAGTTATTCGTAGCCACCCTGTACATGCATATATACATACATATGTACATATCTAAATATGCACGTAAAAATATCTGTTGGACGGACATCTATCTTGGCACGACACTACTTTGAAGCTCTTGTCTTAGTTTCCCATTCTTCGGTTCTTTTTTTGGGGAAAAAACCTTTGGGGGAAGTACTGAGATATGCAAAAACACAAACCTATTACAAAACTATATTGAACATCTTAAAACATCTTTAATACATATGTACATATATTGGCTGAGAATCGTAAAAGGAGCAGCAAAATAAACTGTTGCAGGAGAATGATGATCTCTTAGACGGAAGTAAAACTGTTTGGAATCATTTGAAGTTTCTTTAGTTTGAAATTAACAGCAGATGTGTTACGTTTGGTTATTATGGGGACTATAGGGGGCAGAGGCTGCAGTCAAAATCCCAAAATATGACTGAATTTGTTGTGATAGCGATGCAATGAAAATCACAAAATTACAAACTGCAAACTGCTTTCGGAGCACTGTGCCTCATCGACACAGCTTGATTTTGTTGTGTACATATATGTACATACATACATATGTATGTATGATTATTACAGTTATTTTTGGAAGGCAATCGCCCATTCCTGTGCCTGTTCCTGTGTCTGTATGTGTGTGTAAGCTCTTGTTTGCACATGTGTGCGTATCTGTATGCAGTATGTGTATATGGTGCTCTCTCTGTGTACTTTTAGTGTTATGTACATACATATGTATGTATATTCCCGAATGTGGTTAATGTTTATGTTACATTTGTATGTACATTATGTACATAGCCCAGAAAAAAGAAAAAAAAATCGCCAGGGGAGGAAGCCTAAAAGCTTCGAGCCAAAAGCCCCCACCCTACTCACCCCCCTCCCCCCACGAAGAGTGAGTGAGGTGGTGGTAAAAGGATGCATAGAGAGAGAGAGAGAGAGAGAGAGATTGAGAGACAGACATTCTTACCCACTTACCGTGTATTGGTATTCTATCGTCAGGACTAGACATTTTGCATATGGAGCTGTTTAGGGGGGAGGGCGGAACCTGCAACAAATCAGAATGAAACAAATGAAACAAAATGTATAACAAAACATCCATTACTACTACTATACTATACTATACTATCTATTAGATACACTAAGCTCGCTGCACCCGTCGCAAACTTATGCCCCTTGACATTCCACTGAAGCACATTCATCCCTGCACAAATTTCCCATAAACGAACGGACAATATCCTCCGCGGAGGAATACAATACAATACAATAGAAGCGAAACTTTGGGCCACAAATGCGAGATCCATCGATGAGGTACAAAATTTGTTTGGTGAGACAAACTGATTGATCTACCGTAGAATAAAGGCATAGTTCAGTGGCATTCTTTTTTAGCATTATAATTTTGCATTTCCCTTCGCCCAAAGGGAGCTGCTTTCTTCTAATATATGTATGTATTACATTTCACTCTATATACAGTATATAAATATCTGTCGTTTTTTATCTGGGACTTGGGTCGCAGAGGAAATGAGTCTCGTCTCACATTCATTGCAAATGCATTGAATCTGACGCTTGGGAATTTGCCCAAGCTTCACCATTCCCCAAAGAAACAAAATTACAATGTGGGGTATTTATGTACATATGTACATATGTATGTGCATATCCGAAGTGAATGATTCTTTCGGAGCTCACGATATCATTAAAGAGAAACAAATGAAAGCAGATTAAAGCGAAGACAAGGGGAAGCGGAAGTTGAGAGGCTTTGGATAGATACCCTTTAGAAGCTTTCAGAAAGGTTATGCTCGTGCACATCTCAGCCACAGAAAACGTCCTTTTGAATCCCGAACCCAAGTGATGTGAAGTTTCTAGTATTCGGAGCGATTGTTTTTCCTAATTTGCTGTGTTTATAGCTCTATAGATCAACGCAACGATGGGTCAGGTCAATCAACAACAATCTGGCAAAGCCATCAAGTATGATTTTTACCCTCTACAGAACCTTTGTACCCCTCCCCCTTCTTTATAACTTTATAACTAATACTACCACGAGTAGCATCTGATGATCCTGAGTACCCATAAAATATGCTGTTCATTGAAATTCAAGTGCGGGGGTAAAGTAGTTTGAAAAATATTTAAAAACGAAACAAACAAATTTTCCAAAATTACAATCAAACTCAATTCAATTTGGTTATTGAATATTTTGATCAAAGGTGATGAGGTAGATCCTAAACTAGTCTAGAAATAAATGTCTTATATAACGAGTTTGGAATGTTGCAAGGTGCGGCATTACTACTACTACTACTATGTGTAATATCCGTTGATATTTTAGATCCTGCCGACTCTCATCTTTTAGGTGCGGGCGTTATACCTCGATACCCATTGACCTTCGCATATACACACACTCACGAACACATAAAGGCATATATATAGAGAGAGACAGAGAGAGAGAGAGAGACATGCATACATAAATGACGCACAAAACAATTTCCGTTCACTAATTACACAAGAAAATAGAAGAACAAAAGGAGACGAACAACAATAATAGAAGAAACCAACAACAAAACGAAACGAAACCAAAGTCAAAGTCAAGACTGATGGATAGCGACGAAGAGGGGGGAAAGGGATAGTAAGAAGGAGCGGGAGAGGTAAGGAATATTGCATTGTAAATAACCGTTGAATGACACTCTAGAGCTCGCAATTATTAATGAATAATTCAAGAAGAATTCCAATCAATAAACCCTCCATTTTAATCCCAGCAGCAACAACTATGTATGATATTGTACAAGCGGGAAAGACTGAACCTGAACCCTGAACCCAAAAGAAAGCACATCAAGAATGTAGAAAGGTCACACTGGAAGCAAGCAGTGCAAAGCAGTGTCGTGTCGGATGCTTGCTTGTGTGTGAAAGAGACCCATTTAAACCCATTAAAATAAACTATAGATGATGCGAAAGAGAGAGAGAGAGAGAGAGAAAATAGCTTTGTAGTAAGCACAAATGAATCACAAATGGGGGCCATGAATCGGGGGAAATCCGACGACACGGATAGAGTACACATAGTGTACATACATATGTATGTTATGGCTGTGAAGAGAGGGGCTCAACTAATGGGAATACCACAAGGTCTATGCCTAGGCATGCATATCCTCCTGTTCACATTCCTGCCCTTGATTTGATCTCTTAAATCAGTTCCTGGTCCACCAAAATATGGGGGAACTTTATTACAATTTAATAGGACATTTTTTTCAACAGGTGCTTTCCATTCCACGTGTTGCTTTAGCGTCAAAAAGGGTACCCCCTTTCGGGATGGGATTACACGCACATACACATGTTAATACACATGTAAATATGTACATATTCTATACCTTTTATTGTGTTTAAAAATATTCTCCAGAATGATGGATATCCACTGGGCAAAATGTTGAAGCAATTATTGACTCTATCCTGGTCCACTTAATGCCCAAAGATGCATACATGCATACCTACATATATGTAGTTTTTATTTCATTCAAGAGTGAAATAATGCAATTTATTCACGTAAAGGTAAACACTTTTTCGTGAATTACTGAGGATTTTTTAACGAAGATCCCATGCCCCTCTATACGACATCTCTAGCGTTAATTTCCACTCACGAAATGAACGCACTTGAGTGCCCTCTCATGGAAATACACATAAAGTGTTTCCTGTAATTCTGTAATTTCACAGAAAATCCAATTGAATACAATTGTTTCTGTTCTAATTAATTCTAATTTTTAGCCCATCGACAAAATGAGTACTTTTTACGTGTACTAGTAAAAAGTACATGAAAGTACACGAAATGGGCTAAGCAGCACAAGAAACTTTTGGTTAAATTTGTTCACCAAATATTAATGGAATTATAGGATTCATAATTTCCATTGTAATTGCCTGAATACATATGTACATATCCGATTTTTATTATTACTATTAATATGTACTTTTGTACGATAATCTGTCATGTGAGGAATGTGGCATGCATTCGCCCTGCGGTGCATTTGTCTTCTATTGTGATCAGCGAATACGGATCAAGCATTCGCTAGAAATTAAACAAGTAATTTGAGGAAAAAACAGTGCAGAGTGTCGGGCTACACTAAGAACAAAAACTGCCATTACCTTGGAATGCAATAGTTCTGGGTAACTTTCACAATGTGCAGAAAAGATGAGGCTATCCAAAAATCCCTAGTCTGGGTGTCATGATTCGATCTGGTTGCCTCCATCTGAATCTACCAACAGTCGCTGAGATCTACTTTCTTCGGGGGGACTCTGCCCTGCCTGTTACATCCATCTCTACGATAAGAATGAACCCCCCCTTTGTTCTTTACTAACGCCGCCCGCACGACGCCCCGCAGATTCAGAGCTCTGCTTTGGCTCTGCTCTGCTCGCTGCCATGCTGCTGCTGGCATCATTGTCAATGCTGATAGCCAAGTGGAAGAAGAAGCGACAGCAGCAGAGAGCATAAACCAGTTCAATGCGCTTTGCGTTATAGCTTTTTTGGGGTGGCAGCTGCTGCTGGGCTGCGAACAGCACTTACAAAATTAAGAGGGTGGGGGAGATCAGTGGGGAGAGAAAACCAACAATCAAATACACAGAGAAGCGAGAGGCAAAGGCAGAGAGAGGCAAGGAGCGTAAGAGAGAGAGCAACACTTCATTTAGCACGCACACACTTGTTACATAAATAACGGCGAATCGAGTGAGAAGCAACAAGAAGCAGCAAAAAAAAAAGAAGTCGTCAGCTGCTCTGCTCTTTGAAATTATTGCGGCATGGCAGCTGAGCTTAGTGGAACAAAAACATATAAAATACATACGGTACCTCTGTCAAGTGGTGCAAAAACTGCTTGCTTGCTTGATGGTTTCTCTGCTTGTTGTTGTTGTTTTAATGTTTTTGGTTTTGTTGAAGAAAAAAAAAAAATTTTTCACAGTGCGAAAAAAATATTAAAATAAAACAGACACGAGCTCTCCTCTCTCTAAGCACTAACACACCTGCACAGACTCTAGGTAGGCGCTTTTGTGTGCGTGCGTGTGTTTGGGTATACGGATTCACAGTTTTTGTTTTTTAAGTTAATTTTGGTGTTGTTTTTGTTGATATATTTTTGTTTCTGCTGCTTTTTGCGCTCTTTTTATGACATTTTTTGTATCATATATTGTATTTATTTATGTTTTTTTTATGTGTGAATTTCTTGTTGCTGCTGTTGTTTTTGTTGTTGTCACTTCACAAGCAGTTTTTGCAGTTTTTTTACTGCTTCCACTGCTTTTTCTCCTCATCATCGCTCATTCTTCTTTCCTTGTTGATTCGCCCACAATTTTTGCTCTCTCTCTCTTTCTCACTATATTTCTACGTTTTCTCGTTTCCCCGCGCACGCACTATTATTTCTCTCAAATTTTGCGCTTCCGAAAAACAGAAAAAAAATTATAACAGCAAAAAAATTTGTTATATTTGAACTGGAAAGAAGGAATTTCAGAAAAAATTCGACACGGAGGCGTTGTTTACGGTTCGCGTCAAATTTTGATTGCGCCGCAAGGTGTGTGACGTATGACGTCACAAAATTCAGAGCTTTCAAGAAAAATACCCACCTCACCACATAACTCACCGTGCGGGATTTTGTGCTTTCGCGCAAACATGGTATATTTATTCCGTCCGGGCTAGGGTGAGGTCCTTACGAGGCCCTTAAAAAAGTTTGGCCGTCTTAGTACTGGGGCCATACCTTGCCATGACCCAGTCGAAAGAGAGCACTCAAAACGCTCTCCGGACTCATTTCTGCGTTTAAATTGTGAGCCACTATCGATGGTATCGATGTTTTGCTGCTAGCCTCTACTATCGACAGTTTTGCGACTATCATGATAATATCGAACTACAGTTGTTGCGCTTTTGATATGTTTGGATTGGCTGCTATAAAATACGAAGACACATTTGTAAAAAAATCGACAGGTGGCATCTAATTTTTACAATGGACAAGTTCCTAAAAGGTTTCAATGGTTTTTTAATAAATATTTGAGCCCGATACTATTGCGATAGTATCGATTGTTTTTTTCAAAACATTCAACGTTGATATTCCTCGATTTTGATATTCCGTTTAATATTACTAGCTAGTTGGCCCTCTGAGCCCTAAACAAATAATTTTATCCGATAGATACATAAATTTTCTACAAGACTGGCAACTTTTCAGAAGTCTTTTTTATTGCATTGTTTACATAAAAAGGTTCAAACAAAAACGGCCAAAGCATAAAACGTAAATGTTGACTAAATGTGACGTCAGTGTTGCTGGTCAACCAAGTTTCTTCTATGCGTATGTACCTTTTGTATACCTTATTTCTTTTAATTGATGTTAAATGTTTTCTTCCAAGCTCCATTGAAACATTGTTTATGATTTTATCCTAGATTGACATGTTTTTTGCCTATTAATGCACATGTTTGTGTATTATATATACATTTATCGTGGTTCTGATAACTTTAATTGGAACCCATGAGCTGCAAAATTTCGTTAATATCTTTAAAACAGAGACTGAGTAGCTTCTGCATTAATTGGAGCCTGAAATTACAAACAATATCTCAAGTCAATAATATCCATTTTCCCAAGGGATGCAGATTGTTGCTCATTTTGTGCCAAAGTTGCAGAACAATGCTGCTAATTTATTTCCCCATGCTGCTGAAATTTTTCCCATACAAATCAAATGTATCTAACGGGAACCGTATGGAATGACGCAACAATGAAGCTTCATTCCATACGCAAAACATGTGGCTCACACCACGAAAAGGAGGGGAAAGTCACCACGAAAGCGCTCTCTCACCTCGGAAAAGAGAGAAAATTTTGAAAAACCACCACGAATTGAGAGCGAACGAGAAGGAACGTGCGAGTCGCTTCTGGGGACGCGACTCTACTTATACCCGTACTCAGTCAGTATATACATTTTTATCTTATGATTTTTAGAATTTTAGAAAAAAAAAATTTTACATGGCTACATCTGATATCACATCTACAATGTATATTCTACATCTAACATGTAGATTGTACAATGTACATGTTCCATTAGATCACACTCCTCCGCTAGGGGTTGATCGCGCACTGAACGCGGCAGAGTGTGCGAGCGAGAAGGAAAATGAGTTGTGTTGTCGTTTGCTGGAGGGGGACAGGGGAAGCAACTGAAAATTAATTTCTTCATTCTGGCTATAATTATGATCCGATCTGATTTAGATTCGGCAATCTGGTAGATATGGGCATTCTCTACGATACTGCGTTTTTAGTTTTATCGTATCTTTAAAAATGTGCCTGCGACAGATTTTCGTTCTTGCAGGGCGGAAGGGGCGGGGCGAAATTTTGAAATACACTTGTAGCAGTGTGATATCACATGAGCCTGGAAACCAAATTTGGTTGCCCTAGCCTTATGGTCTCTAGATCAGGCGCTCAACAAGACGGACAGACAGACAGACGGACAGACAGACATGGCTCATCGACTCGGCTATTGATGCTGATCAAGAATATATATACTTTATGGGGTCGGAAACGTTTCCTCTCTGCGTTACACACATCCATTTACCACAAATCTAATATACCCCTTAACTCTTTTTTGAGTACGGGTATAAAAAAGTCAGTATTTTGGCGGTCATTTTCAAAAGTACATATGTATATTAATATATGGAAAAATAAATATTTCACTTGATTTGTTTTGTCGAGTGTGACTGGAACCTCAGAAACGTCATTTTCAAAATATGCCGTAAATATACCGAGAAAAAAAATAGCTTAGCCCCGTTCTATTTAATCAGGTAAACAACTTGAATTAAACCGCTGTACATAGCTCGATATGTAAGTTATTTTTATAGACTTATATTTTTTTTTTAATAAGAAACAAAAATGACCACGATATCTTTCACCTGAACTGCGTCAAACTTGTTAAAGTTTTCCAATATAAGTGCGTAGATTTAATGCACTGACAAATCCAGTGTTTGTGGACATCTAAAGCAACTGTTTCTGCTGTAATAATTGCCAGTGGAACAGCTAGAGGCCATCTACTGAACCGATCGATAATAATGAGGCAATAACGCAGGTTGTTGACACTTGGTAGCTCTATTAGATCCAGGTTGTATATAATCAAGCCGACATGGAAATCATTGACGTGATCAAGGTATCACTTGTTCAATTTAAAAGACTGTTAGTGCCTCAAATATAGTTTTGAAAGTGTTGAGGTACTACTATTTCGATTTCTGCAGCTGTATATTTAACTCAAGAATGGAGTAAAACGATGAAATAAGTAAAAACAATGATCTTTGACATTTATATCCAAAGGAGCTGCGAAAATGCGGTGAAGAGCTTTTCTTAATTGCATTTCTGCTGATCCAGTGCCTGCCTCTACAGTTATGGCATCTATAAATATAAAATTCAAATACATACCAATGTATATTTAATGGGCAGCAAATTAAAATTAGAAAGAAAACAAATATGCATACCAAGCAACATTTCATACAAATTCTTCAGATCTTTCCGCGTCGACTTGCCTTGCGCTCCATCCACGTCAAAGGCTAGAGAACATTTTTACAATTTTTGAAAACTCCGCTCGGCAGGAGAATCGTATAAATATTTGTTTATGCTGTTGATTTGTTCATCCATCTGGATCAGTCTGACATTCCGTTCTGACATTACCGGGAACGATTGTAATACTGTTTTCCCATGTCCCTGTTGCCCCACCAGACTTTTCAAGGCGCCAGCTTGCTCTGCGACGGCTTCGCCCAACACTAGCATTTGGCCATGTAATTTATTATGGTCAGCTGAAAAAAAAATGTACAATTTAATTAAATTTAAATAATTGCATATAGAAATCATACCCCGTAAGCGCGTATCTCAGCCAGAAGGACAGTCATGGATCCCTCTAAGCGCTCCACAGCAGTTGCGACCGATTCCTCAAGGCGCTCCACAGCAGTTGTGACCGATCCCTCGATGCGCTCCACAGCAGCAGTCACAATTGCAGCACAATTGCAATTGGTTTTGTTCTCTGAAATGTAAAAATTTAATAATTTCGGGCTGCTAAAACTATTTGGAAATATATTTTAGAACTTACCACGTGTGGTCACAGCGCAGCAGTCCATTTTCATTTGCATTTAATTTGCAGTGCCTCCGATTTGCACTTCCTTTACAGTCCTCAACCTTTTCTATTTCACTGGACGACCCCGCCTCTGCCCTCACGCGTTTTAGTTTGTTTGCATATTTGTCGTTCATTTCCTTCCTAAGTCTGCGTATATGCCGATTGCTGTACATATTTAACTTTAAGTGGCTTTGTTTAAATGATTGTATTGTTTGATATTCTCTTTTTTCGAGCTCGCTCCAAACGCGTGTCAAAAAGTGCAGCCAAAAGCAATAGAACATTCCAGCAATAAAAAAAGACAGAGAAACCCCTCTGTCTATGGGGCGTAACGAAAAACCCCATCTTGGGGTTTCACCTATTCAGGGCCGGATCAACCCTCAACCGGGCCCTGGGCAACCATCAACCTGGGGGCCATCCTTTATTTTGTGGCTATTATATTTTTTATTCATTATTTGGAATTTTGTTTTTTAAACAAAATTTTTCTGTTATCCCTAGGGGGCCCTAGGCAACTGCTAATGCGGCCCTGGACCTATTCCCGTAGTAAGACTTCATATTTTGTTGGTGTATTCTGTCACTCGACTCGACACGGGCCGAGGTATTTACGAAGGCAAACAATTGTAGAGCCCACACACAAGCACAGTATGTGTGAATACATGGCACACACACATTTACGTAACCTGGTAACGAAGCTCAAAACAAACTCAAAACGGTTTCGGAAAATAAGAATTGATACAAAATTTTGTCGTGTCTGTTTACATTTGCAATTCTCAGCTTGCTTTCGCTTCCCGACATGAGTCATACATGCCGAACGGCCCAGCTCCCCACCCGAATGGCCTGGCTTCGGACCTGAATGTCTCAGCCTCACAGAGGCGAAGCGCCTGGTAGCTGGAACACAAAACTTAGCTGCGCCCCTTTCGTTGTATGAACTGGCACATCTATATACTGTATGGTTAGTGGTGGTACGGATCAACAGATCAACAAAAAAAAAAGGTTTATACTGGAAAAGTATCCGAAGTATTTGCTTGTTTTTTTGGTGTATTTCGATCCACCTCGAAAATTATACAAAAAACCAAATGAAATATATAATAATGAAGAAAAATAGAGTCTAGTTAATGCAGTATTATATGAATGACAATAATATGGATATTTTAATTTATTATTTTTATTAATTTCATTAATATACAACAAATATAGTTTTCAAAACATTTTTTCTTCATGGTGTCCGGCACGTGAGGCGTCGCCATCTGCTGCTGCTGATAGTCAGACACATTGCCTTGCCAATAAAATATTGGGGAGCCCAGGATATGGCTGGGGAAGAGCGGCCCCAGCCGAAGAAGCGCATTTTGTTAACTTTAAACAAAACCAAGCAGCGGTCTGAGCAGTGTAACCGTTCGGAATGCAGTGCACACCTCTGGTCACACCACTGTCCGCTCGAAGAATATATGACATTTGTTTGCTGTCAAACTGTTTTTGGATCAGTTTATTCCATATCTTCGCCCTCTCCCACTTGAATGCCGCCTTCACTTTTGTTCATTTGGATACCTTGGAGTTGTTGTCGCTGTAAGTGCTCTGGCGTCGCAGCAGGTACGGACGCGAGGAGGAAGAAAAACTCTTCATTGGACGCTGGCCGAGATGATGGGAGACGGCGTAGATCATGTACATATATACTTGTATATATGTACGTATATCTGTATCCGCATCTCTGTCTGTTTGTATATACTTCTTTCCCATTGCTTTCACTAGGCGTATACATAAGGACGAGCATATTTTTGAGTCCGTGCCACTCGGTCGAACAGAAATGAGAAATGTTTCTTGTACGTTTCGGAAAAGTTGGAAAATATGTGAGATTTGATATATTTGTGAACATAAAACACTTATTTGCAATACTAGTTAACAAAATAATAGCTTCATTGGCTTATTTAAAATGTAGTGTTCTTAAAATATAGTAATATGTATTAGAGTTGGGTTGCTCATGAGTGAGTGAACAAAAATGAGCTGTTCACTTCACTGAGTGAACTGAACATGTTCACTCAATTTTTGTTCAGTTGTTCACTTGTTCAGTTGTTCACTCAGTTGTTCACTTGTTCAATTGTTCACTCAGTTGTTCACTTGTTCAGTTGCTCACTCAGTTGTTCAGTTGTTCCCTGTTGACTCACTTGTTCAGTTGTTCCCTGTTCAAGATTACTCTGCGATACACAAGACAAAATTACTTTTAGCCATATGACATTAGACTTAGACAATTTTGCTGCGTAGAGAGGGATATCACTAGAGACAAAATGCAACATTATTGTTCGTAGCAGTCTCTAGAAACGTCTAATGGCTTTTAGTAGAACAACTAAGGCACTACTTGACACACAATGATGTTTTCCAGCAGAACACAGACACCAAGCCAGCATAATTGTATCCGCAAAGTAAAATTTTCGATAAATTCTGCCGCAGCGCTTCTCCCAGCTCAACTGGACAGCCAGCTTGACGCATATAGTTCTCTCGCTCTGACTGAAGGCATTTCCCATAAGGCCATCTTTATTTTTTCAGCTAGTCAGTTAGCAAGTCTAATGTCATATGGCTATTTGCAGATGTTACACTTGGCCTTTTGGTCGTCCAAATGCTCAAAATTATCCCAAATCGAACTTAAACTGCGTTTTAGATACAAATTCTGTTCACTTAACGGCTAAATTTTGTATTTTTATTTTTTATTAAATATTCCTACCGTATTGAAATACATGAATAAACTTTTTTTTTGCCTTTTCTTTTTCTTAATAAAATATTCTTACTTTTATGTATTGTTATCCGATATTCTTTAATATTTGGGTGGGGGGGTTTTGCTAAACATACTTATTCATACATATCTACATCTATTTGTATGTATTTCGAATGAACCACAAAAATAAACTGGGGAAAATTAACAAATGTTTGAAAAACAAAGCATTGAACTGAGTGAACCACTGAACAACTGAACAAATGAACAACTGAACAAGTGAACAACTGAGTGAACAACTGAACAAGTGAACAACTGAGTGAGCAAGTGAACAACTGAGTGAACAAATGAGCAACTGAGCAAAGTGAGCGAGTTGTTCACTCACTTAAAAGTGAACACTCTTTACCCAACTCTAACATGTATGTATATGTAAGGTTTATTGTTCGATTTCATTACATTTGCATTCGTTGTACAAAATATTCGTTTCGCTGGAAAAAAGTAAAATTAGATTGTATGTGAGTGGATGAAAGGTAAATACTTACAATATATCTTTACTCAAAAAGCAATAATAGCAAATCATATTATTGCAGTTGGAGCATGATTTGCTGCATTCAATGCATACGTTTTCCTTTCGGCAGTCCTTGCTTTGGCATGTTTCACCGTTGCAGCAAATTGACTTGGTTGCTATCGCGTCTTTTTCTGCTTCTGTAGTGGGAGTTTTTTGTTTGGTTTTTGTGGGCGTCTTTGTTTTCCTTCTATTTTTATCATACTGGGCTCTGAGGTATGCTTCGTAAAATGTAGGGGTTTTCCTTTTTTTTTTTATGTCCAAGTGCTCCTTAATTCTCCAGGGAATAGTTTAATAAGATCGTCTAGCAGTTTCTCTGCTTGTATTTTTGTTAATATTATTAATATAATATAATATAATTAATATAATTATTAATTATGTTTGCATAATATTTCGTTATTGACTTTCTTATATTTTTACGATCTAAGTCTGTAAGTGGCGTATTGTCTTTCCGTTTGTTTAGTATTTTCGTTTGTGAGTTCTTTAAGAGTATGCCCATAGCTGTCACAACAACCGAAGTATGTGCCACTGGGGAAACACTCGCGGTTTTGTTAAATTTATTGGTTTTGCGTCCCAATTTTCGTCCAATTCCGACTCCGATTCAAAATACAGGCGTCTACCCAGTAGCGTTGATGTTCGTGGCTCCGCAGGAGGTGGCGGTGACGATCGTGCCTGCGCCGGTTCCTGTGATGACTGTGGTGACGGAGGTGGCGATGGCGTGGATGGCCGGCATTGTGGTGATGTTGATTGTTTTCTGTTTTTTGCGTCAGAGACGCTACCGAATGCCCGTACCATGCTGGGCTCTGACATTATATACAAAGAGATAAGCAAAGTACTGAAGAGGATCGAAGACATGGACATGGAAAAATATTTGTTGGCAATTATTTGCGATGGCTGCATGGCCAACCACTTAGCCGCATGCCTTGTCAGCCTGAAGTATCCTGTCCTGTGGGACATAACCCACCTGACAAGATTATTCTCTGAAAACAAGATTTCGCCATTCACAGATCGAATTCTTAAACAATTGTACGACTCAACCTTCACGGTTGAAAACTGGAAGGACATATTCAGTAACTTGCCAAGCTTGGACACAGTTCCTATGAAGTTTCAAACGCACTACCCGTCAGAACTGACGAATCTGCAAAAATTGGTGGAAAGATACTTTTCATGTCCTCGTGAAACTGGAATGGCATTGCAATTAAACAAGACTAACTGTAACCATTTAGAGACAACTGGTTCAGTTATAAAAATACTTGCAAGGAATATTATAAATTTCGCATTTCACATGGGAGAACAAACTGAATTTCAAGAGGATGCCCTCCCTTATACAACCCGGCTTGGGGAGCTCTGGCACTGCTTGGAGAGCACTAGCATTGAAGAGAAAGAGCATAACATAACATAACATAACCATAAAATAACATAACATAACCATAATATAACCATAAAATAACATTAGTCGAATTCGAAGTCGAAACGCGAAAGCAATAAAAGTAAAATACATAATGATGCATATATCGATACACAGCCAACACGCTATCGATAGGCTGGACAGCTGTTGGTTATTGTTGCCGTTTCCATATTTCTCTGCGTCAATTTTTTGTTTGTTTGCCTTGCAGCCCTTATACCCCCCTGACAAAGTGGGGTATACAAAAACGCGCGACGTGGACGTGTTGGAGCAGCAGCTCTGCCGCTGGCGGCAGAACGCGGCATTTACGTTAGCGCTCTAAATTGTCTGCTTCTTCATTTTGGCCAGGTGGATTGTTGTTGGCTTAGCTGCTGTTGGTGCTGCTGTTCTCGAGTCAAAGGCAAACAAAAGAGCCACAAACACAGCCTCAGCGACAGCCACAGCCACAGATAGGGGTACAGATACAGATACAGACACAGCCAGAGATACTGATACAGATACAGCAGCAAAGATATTGGTGATCTGGCAGTGCCCGGCCGCTGTTAGTCGCTGGTCCGCTGCTCCGCTGGTATTACCTGCCGCCGACCTCTCACCTCTCACCGATGAGCTTCACCAGCAGCGAGAACAGCAGTAAGATGAACGGACGCTCCATACGCATCAATCGGGTGCCGGCCACCATTTGCGCCATCCTGCTGACCATTGTGCTGGTCTACTTTCTCAACTTCCACCAGGAGGAGCGGCCGGCCATATATGGCAAGCTGCGCAGCGACAATCCCAACCGGGTGAACCTGCGCAAGATGCTGATCGCCGCCATCCAGGCCTCGCAGCGCGGCGGTCTCGAGGTGCTCGATGTGGCCCGCTCCCGGCAGCTGAAAGAGCGCAGCAAGGGCCAGACGGACGAGGGCGTCAACGATCCGTTTACCGATGCCGACGGTCGTTCGCACTGCGTCATGAAGCAGGGCCTCCAGCGCATATTTCCACGTGTCCGCATATTCTCCGAGGAGGACAAGGAGCACTGCAAGGAGTCGCACAGCTACGATCTGGATCCCACCGTACTGCACGAGACCGCCCAGGTGCCGGACGTGCTTGTCAATGCCCAGGATGTCACTGTCTGGGTGGATCCTTTGGATGCCACCAAGGAGTTTACAGGTAAATTAGCTGGAATCTCTTGCCCTTAATTTGCCCTAATAAACGGAATCATCTCTCCGGTCTGCAGAGGAGCTGTACGAGTATGTCACCACCATGGTGTGCGTGGCCGTGGCCGGTCGTCCGGTGATTGGGGTTATCCACAGCCCCTTCAATGGCCAGACGGCATGGGCCTGGGTGGGTAACTCCATGTCCGAGTATCTCGCAGGACTCCATCCGCCGCATACCCAGGAGAATGAGTCGCCCATCATCACCGTTTCGCGCTCGCACACCGCCGGGGCCAAGGATCTGGCCCGCGGCATCTTCGGGGAGCAGGTCAATCTGCTGACGGCCGCCGGGGCCGGGTACAAGGTGCTCCAGGTGGTGGCCAACAATGCCACCGCCTATCTGCACACCTCCAAGATCAAGAAGTGGGATATCTGTGCAGGGGATGCCATACTGCACGCCCTGGGCGGCACCATGACCACTCTCAACGACCAACAGATCCACTACGGGCCGAACGAGTCGCCGGTGAACACGGAGGGGCTGCTGGCCACTCTGGAGAAGCACGACGAGTACATGGACCAGCTGGCCAAGTATCGCACTGCGCACAACGGCCAGCTAACGTAGTAGTTGTAGTTTCTATGGAAGGTGCCCCCTCCCCACACTCGTGGGCTCCCACTCTGCCATGTGCTACTGCTCCATGTGATCCTGCACTACTCAAGGTACTCCTACTTTCATTTCTCAAGGGTCGAAGCCGAAGCCGAAGCCATCGACCATCGATCGATCTGTTCATTGTTTAGGCAGCTCAACAGCACACGAGAATAGTTCTAAGTTCTAAAATAAAAACCAGTTTTTTTTTTCCCCCGTAATTCTCGCCAAATTATTTGTTGTTGTCTGTCTGGTGGGGCTGGGTCGTGAACCCCGACCAAAACCGCTCCACAAAAAGTTGTTTTCAATTGCGAGCACTTTGGGGCGATTTTTCGAATTGGGCGCGCACACGGCTGCCTTCGATTGCGATAGCAGCTGCCTGCAATCGATTGCACTTAAAGTTCGCTCTGGTAGCTTTTTGTTGTTGTTTTTTGTGCGCTATTGCTTGTTCTTTTGCGCATCATCATCTATCGTCTGGTCTGGCCTGGTCTGCAGATTTTGTGTGTGTGCCTGTGTGTGTGTGTGGGTGTTTTTTTTGTGCGGACGCCGGCTGGATAAGTCGATGGAATCTGTGGAGGAGAGAAATGAATAGCAGCGTCACAGGCTGCAAGCGCATCCACAGCATCGAGGTCGAGCAACTACAGGACGCTGCGGAGGTGCAGCACAGTTTTCTGCTGATAAAGGGTCGGCTGCAGCCCAAGTGTGCCGCGGCCAAGCAACTGAAAGCGACCCTCGAGCTGCGCGACGAGTCGCTTGAACAGCTGACTCAGTTATCCAGCGCTGGTGAGTTCAAGCTTCTCTTCGACCTGCACCGCAAAGAAGAGGAGGAGGAGGAGGAGGAGGAGCCTGCAGCGACCCCTAGAGCCTGTCTCCTGCAGCTGCGCTCTTGCAGCGGCTCAAGGCTGATTCGATTCACCTACAAGCCCCGCAGCAGCCCCTTTCGCGTGCAGCCCCTCTACATAGTGGGCCAGGACGAAAAGGAGGAGCAGGAGCAGCAGCAGCAGCAGCAGAAAAAGGAAATTTCACAACACGCATCCCGCTGCTCGCTCATCGATCTCAATCTGCGACTGGTGCAGTGCATTTACGCGCACAAGTTGCACGCGGCGGGCTTTGCCAATCGCACCTTCACCCTCAACGGACCCTGCCGCCTCTTCCGCAGCCAGTTGACCACCGCAGAGACCCTCGCCAAGAGCGAGGACGAGCTGTGGCAGCACTTTGCCGGCGAGATCCTCGCCTGTGAGCAGTGGGGCCAGCAGCTGCACCTCAAGTTCGTCGCGTTCGTGGCCTGCACACGGTACGACGGCGCCGCTGTAGCGGCCAGCGGGGACCTCTCCTACGCCAACATCCGACGTCACCTGCGCGGTCACGCCGCATTGGGTGGCGGTGGATTGGCCCTGTTCGGGAGCGCCCACTTCTATTCGTGGCCGCGAACATTCGCGGAGATCGGCGACTGTGTGCGCAGTGCGGAGCGGGTGGACGTCGCGCGACTGCCGGACGAAAGCAACTACCGACGCACCTACGGTGGCGTCTACGCCAGCACCCTGGGCGCCGTCTGCCACGAGCTGGGCCACTGCTTTGATCTGGGCCACACTCTGGACGGTGTGATGGGCCAGGGCTTCGACTACCTCAACCGCGTACTCACCGTTGACCAGGCCACCGAGCATCTGCCGCAGCGAATAGTCGACCAGTCGTCCTCAGCAGCAGCAGCAGCAGCAGCAGGGACTCACACCCACACCCACACCCACACTCACACCCGCAGCCGCATCACCCAGCTCAAGCTAAGGCAGCCGAGCAGCCAGTTGCTGGACAATTACCACGGCCAGCGGCGCAACGATAGCTTCTACTTTGCCCGCAACTGTGCCGTGATCCTGGCCCACCACCGCTGGCTGAGACCGAACCCTACCGAACCCCCTACCACTGAGGCGGCGGCGGCGGCCATCCACCTGTCCAGGGCCAGCCGCGAAATCGTATCCGCCACGCCGCTGCGGCTCGTCGAGCTGCGCTGCAACCTCAACAGCCTGGTGGCCCATTACGAGGAGTTGAGCGCCGCCGACCAGCAGCGGCAGGAGCACCGCTTCCAGCTACCCGCCGCCCTGTGGCACCTCCTGGCCGAGCAGCAGACGCACTACGTCTTCGTGCTGACCACGTCCGGAGACACCAAGAGATTGGCCTGCGACAACGCCGACGCCCACTAGGTGAGTACTCCCCAGTATCCCAGTATCCCAGTACGAGCATTCAGTGACCACCAGTTGAACGGAGTCTGGTTGGGGCTGCAGAATAGAGCGATGGGCAGGGCAGAAATAGGAAGAAAGGAGAAAATTTGCCAGGAGGGAAGCCAATAATATGGGAACCACACCGCTGGCGGCTGCCATTTAAGGACAGCCAACGCGGGTATCCCTGTGCCCTTCTGGGCGAAGGAGCCATATGGGCACCATATGTAATGTATTTCACAAGGGGAGGCCGCGCGTCAAATTATGAATTAATTTTTAATCCTCTTCTGCTATTAAATGTAATTATAATAAGGACCGCAGAACTGCAGGATAGCAGCGCCCAAACTGCCTTTGCAGCCAGGGTTCTAAATATAAAAAAATATATTCACCGATGCAATTACATGCATAAATCAGTGGGGTGGGTGGGGGGTACAGCCGGAGAGAAAGAGAGAGAGTGCGAAAAGTATCTACGAAGGCTGCAAAGGGCCGCCTGCTGCACGGGCAGAGGAACTTCCGATTGGAAGGCAAAGTCTCTGCCGAGTTATGGGCTACTACCCAGTACCCAGTAGATCTCGAATGATCAATGGCTGCTGCAGAAGCCCTATCCAAACGGATCTTATGCGTAGATTCGTAGACCCACCACATGATGTCCTATAATCTGTATAGTTGCCATGGAAAAGCGTCTCTGCTTGTCCCGATCGAACGACAGCCCACGCAGCCCAGCACATTGAAAGAGTCACAGTGGGGCGGAGGCCCAAAATACCAATGGCTTGAATCTGTTGGGATCCAGCTGCAGTTGTTCTCTAGCTCAGGCCATTGACAGCCCATGGAGAAGGGGCCTTAGAAGCCAACAGACGACACACATCGAAGAACAACTGTCAGAAGAAGTTGCGCGAAATAACTTAAATACTTAAACTTAAATATTTATATTTAATCTGATAATTGGAGGAAGTGCGTGATGGGTTCGGGGATTAAGTGGACATTGCACGTCCGCATGGGAACCACAGCAATGCCACCAGGTGGTGCCATTGCGGGGCAGGACTAATAGACTTTCCTTATGCCCAACTGATCGCATCTCTTGATGCCGGACCAGGCAGGGATTAGGTCGCCCGATCACCGGCAGATCCTGTGCATAGGTCAGACATGTAGCGCGTATCGAGAGCGAGGAGTGAGGCAGGGTTGAGGGGGGTAATTGGGACTTGAGGTGGGAATTTAACCAACAATTGCCTCTCCACAGAATGTCTGAGTCGCAGCGCAAAGTACGCCGCGCCGAGGAGGCCCAGGAGGCACAGGCCATCGACGCCGGAGACGAGGACGTCCGCATGAGGACCCATGCCGGGCATGGGGACGACATGCCGAATGCCGCAGACCGCGGCAGAGCCGCTGGTCACAACGCCGGACATCCGAGACACCCCATTCCGGGACTGGCGGACCCGCTGCCGAGTGCGGAGCATCTCTGGGCCGCCCTGGCCATTCCCGAGCCAGACGAGGCACTGGGCGACTGTGTGCCGCCACCGCCAGCAGAAAAGGAAGCCAGCAGCGAGAACAAGCCGGCACGCAAGGCGCCGCGCTTCCCGATGCTGCTGCCCTGGGACGAGCAGAGCTGGTCGACGGGCTCCAATCCGGACAACGAGGCGGAGGAGCTGACGCCACCCCGGCCCCCCACACCGATGCCGTGGGAGGAGGAGAGCGTGTCGACCGACCCAAATCTGGAGCACAACTGGGCCTTCGTCGAGGACCTGGCGGATCTCGAGGAGCTCGAGGAGCCCGCCGAGCCCACAGGCTCCTTGGCCCTGACACCGGAGTCCCAGCCGCCGACTCCGCCGGCCGCTGCCAGATCCCCCGACGATCACATAATGCAGGATATCGACACACCCAGCGTCACCCCCTGCCCGTCGCCGGAGCCAGAGAGTCCCCTGGACGCGACGGCTTGGGACGAGAGCGAGACGAGCAGCGGGGGAGGCTCCAGCCACGAGCACACGCAGTCCATTTCCATCGGGCCCAGGTCAGTGGTGGCCAAGGCCGGAAGCGCAACCGGAACCGGCAGCTATCCGGACCAAGGGGAGCGGCCGAGCACCTCCGCCGCTGTGCGGCAGTGGCTGCGATACCAGAGCGAGACGAGCAGCTCCGCCTCCACCCCAGAGCGCGCGTTGGCCCTTGCCATCGCCATTCCCATCCCCATCCCGACAGCGTACCCTGCCCTGGACGAGGGTCCGAGCACTTCCGCCGCGGCGCGGGCGTGGCTGCAGCAGCAGCGCGGCACCAGCCCCAGCACACGCTACATTCCGCACGTCACCTACCACATGCCCAGCCTCTCGCCCACCCAGGAGGACCCCATGCAGCCACTGGTCGTCATGGTGGACCCAGAGGAGACGGGCACCCTGTCGCGGCCACTGGCCTCGCCACTGGCGGGATGGGAGGAGGCGCCTGACCATTGGCGGGTGCGCAACGACAACCGCCACCTGCCCCATCGACTGATCCAGCACGTGGAGGGGCAGGAGCGAGAGGGCCGCAACTCGCACAGGAGCTTCCTGTACAGCGCGTCGGGCATCCTGTTCCGGGTGCGCTTCAACAAGCGAAATGAGGTGACCATTACTCTGCGTTCCCCCAAATAGGGAGACGATGTGAGACGGGCACAAGAACATCACCTCACAGGCTCTCCCACCAGGGGAGCATGCAACAGGCATTTTCGGCCACCCCTGCGACGGCAGCAGAGGGACAAAACAATCCAAAAGCAAAAGCAAAAGCGAAACCAAAACCAAAGGTCGAATGAAGCCATCGCCGCAGCGAGAGAAGAGCTCATCCATCGGGGCATAAGAGGTTGGAAGTGTGGATAGTGGAAATGGAAGTTGCGAGTGGAAGTGGAAGTGGACTGTGAGTGAAAGCGGAAGTGAAAGCGGAAGTGCAAGTGGAATTATAACATGAAACACAGGGGGAATATGCCCCCAAAGGAGATTTTCATAGGCAGAAGAACCTTCGGGACAAGGACAATCTCACCCAGCAGGCCTGGCAGCAACACTCGCGTGTGGATGAGGATTGTCAGGTGAGCAGGCCAAGGGCCAGGAGACACCTACACGTACACTACCACTACCACACATTGAGCGTATTTTGTTCGTTGGGCAATCGTCGTTACACCCTCGACACTCCCTCTATACAGATAAAACTCTCGATATGGCGTTGCCCCCTGCCCAGACACAATTCAAAATCCACACAAACATACAAAAACACAGACAACAGACAACAGAAACCAATGAATATTCAAATCAGCAACGCCCTGTCCCTTGCCCGCAGCTAGATCCTGGCACCCATGCGTACCCCTGGTCTGGTTCTATGATCAGGCATTAAGGCATTAGGCAGCCTCCATCTCCATAATTCTCTGTAAAGTGATGTCGCTACTGTTGGCAACTATTGTCAGTAGGATCAGGTACAATGGGCTCCTGTACTCCGTACACCTTAGGGGAGCAAATCGAACCGTAATGCAGGCAAAAAATCTGAAATTTGCCACTTGCAATGCCACTTGTTGAAGCCGCGGGGCATCCCTCAGCCAAATAAGGCTAAGATATCCCTTTGAAGGATCCTTTGCGGCTGCCATTTCAGATATATTACGTAGACATATGTGCTGCGAGGGCTGCCTTGGCTATATTTATTATGACCAGGAAAAGGTCGACTCTGCCCTTTAAAATTTTGTCATATTTTGGCCAAATCACGCTTTAAACATTTCCTTTTGCGGTCGCATTTTATTTCATTTAACGATTTCGTTGGCGAAAAATTAAAAAAAAAATTCGTGTCATAATTTTCTGCGATTTTTGACGTGGATTTTCAGGACAAGAATGCTTCGACCAATTTGGTCCAACTTGCGGTGATGAGGCAGCATGCATTGCCACTGCGAAAGACTGGCAAAACGAATTCAGTCGTGCACGTGCTTCGCTGCAGAGCGAGTCCTGTGGCGGTCATCCTGCAACGGTTGTTGTACCGGAGAAAAGTAGATGCTGTGCGGGATTTTATCATATGACATACCATGAAATGGAGACATCTTTGGGGATCAAAGGGACAAAGATTCATTTCATGTTGAATCCCAAGTTGGCCGTCATGACGAATTTTTCTCGTGAGATACAGCTTCATTTGACATTGGCCCCATAAAAAGGGACAAGCTCTAGGCTCCAAAAAAACTGTGCAAAATATTCACTTCAGCATATGGGACCATCTTTTAAAGAAATTAAAAATCAACATGTTTTTTTAGTGGCAGATACGAAGAGCTTCTATAACTATGTTTCCGAGGGTCCAAGGGTGCAGTTGGTCCCTCATTCAATCCCGAATTTACTGTTTAACTATCGCCCGTGGAACTTCCTTGAACCTGAAATTCGAAGACTTCCATAAATGACGCAGAAAATCTGTCACAACAAGTGGCGAAATTTGGCCTGCATATCTAATCCGATAATTGGAAAAAGTGCTTGGCATTACGTCCCCACATGGGAACCACACCCGCTGCCAATCAAAACAAATGCAATGCCAAGTGCACTTGCAGAGGGGGGCAATTTCGCTCGCACTTGGCATGAGAGTGGGGCACAGCACGGAGAGAAAAAGAGAGCAGCCAGGACCGCTGGTTATATTCTAATGCTAATTCCTGCACTTCGCTTATACCCTTTCCACCTAGGGACCTATTCGATTCGAACTTTAAAATATTTTTATTGGTACTGTTTTTTATTTCGCTATAGAGAACAGAGAAGATAGATAGATAGCGAAGATTCTCGCTCTTCTCACACCAACACCAGCCGTTATATCTCCCTGCTGCAAATCGATTTGATACTTCTGGCTTGAAGTATCCGATCTCACCCAGAATCTGCAATCTGGTAGATATGATATGATCATGCTTTATAATTCTGAGTTTTCTATTTTTCGTTTCTTCAACATTGTGAATTGATGCCACAGATTTTTGCGCTTTGTGGGGCCGCCCCGTAAATTGAATTCCGTGTAATATCACAGGAGTCGGCACACAAAATTTGGTTGCTCTAGTTTTTATTGTCTTGGAATGGACAGACATGCATAGCTATATGGACTCGGCTATTGATGCTGATCAAGAATATATTTGCATAGGATACTTTAGGTGGTCAAACACGCTTCCTTCTGGCTGTTACCCAAACTTCGAGTGCCGGGTATAAAACCCAATGATGGACCGCGACTTATCAAGAATTTACGTGCTATTTACTTTACCATTTAGCGGGTAGACATGGTTATTTTTGAATTGAATTTTCGTTTTAATTTTTGCCCATACTAAATGTAAACATAATCAAGTATTTGAATAAAATGCCAAAATTTGACCAAATTGTTGTGTTTATTGCTTTCTTCTCACCATCCATCTCCTGCTTGATTAATTTTTATTTATAATTTGCTTATGAATTTATTTTAATTTTTTATTTAGTAATTGATTAATTTTAAAATGTATTAAAATTTTTATTTATTTATTAATTCATTTAAATTTTTATATTTTTTGCTTTAATTAATTTTATTTGTTTTAATATTTCTAGCTTTCTGTAAAAACCAAAATATGTCTTTTATTTTTGAAAGTAGAGCTATCTGGATTTTTTTTTTGTTCAATTTGTTACAAGAAAAATAAACTTTTTGATTACAAAGTTCCCTTCAGTTTCTTCCAATGCTTCCCAAGCCGCTTTGCTTTCTATAAATGCTCCAAAACTGTATTCAACGCACTGCTTTAAAACTGCTTTGCTGATGGTAACACACGCACCAAACACACATACACAGCTGGTGACTTTGAGGCAGGTTTTCTGTGCTTGTGCTTGTGCTTCGGGTGCTTTGGGTGCCTTCGGCTGATCGCCGTCGTCAGTTGAGCCCGAGGTTACTCTCTGGGCCGACGGACGCCCGTCTGACTGGTTGTATTGCGCAAGGTGCTGGTGTGAGGAAGGTGAGGCACTTCCAGAAACCGCTCACTTGTTGGGTTGTCACCTATTTTGATACAGTTGCGCGGTTAAGCGCGCGTGACACAGAAATTTGCAACTCGAAGAGCGGCAGAGAGTGTGGCACCTTCTGTAGAAGTAAACAGGCAAGCCTGGGTCATGGCCGCATCTTAAAAAAGGGTTGCGGCGTCTAACTGAGAGCCCACTCTCCCACAGCGTCACTAGAACTGGCACTGCCAGCGTCTTCATATAAGTCTTAGCCTACGCGGCAAACTTGTATTCTATTCGTTCGCACTATCGACGACGCAGCAGAGCAGCGGACACCAGCAGCGCACAGCGCAGCGGGAACCGAACGGCAGCACCGAACGGGGTTCAATAGTGAAAACTGAACTGATTCGTCAGAGCAGAGTTGAAATATTCGTAGTTGGAGGCAGATAGAGCGCAGGGCAGGTGCGCTGCTAGCTGATAAGATAACCAATTGATGTCCAGAAAGCAAACACTGCTTGAGCATTGATTCATTATTTTCATGTTCACTTTCAATTTCCATTTCATTTGCCGTGCAGACGCAGACCCAGACGGAGCAAACTCAACTCAACTCAACCCAAAACCAAGAACTAAAGAAGTCTAGGACCATGAACCCATCATCGGCACGCATACAATTCAAGGCGCTGAAGGGATTTCCGGGCAATGCCGCCGATAAGATCGAAACTCGAGCGTTCCTCGACGCCGCCCTAGAGATAGTGACAGTTATAGGTGATAGTAACAGACGCACTCCACTCAATTACGCGCACAGCATTTAACCAGTTTTTTTTACGATAATTATTTTTCCGTTTCTTTTCGTTACTTCTTTGGTTTTTTGCTGGCAGAAAGCTTTGGCAAACTTTTTACGCCCGTGATTAACGACATGAATGGAAATATAAATGTAAGAGAAACACAAGACCAAGACCCACCCACTTTTGGCTGCAAGTACCATATCCATATCCATATCCATACCATATTTATTTTGTGTATCTTTTATCCAGAAATTAAGCAAAGTCTACGGGGAGAATGTGCTCAAGCATCACTATCTGGAGGATATGATCATCCTCAATATGCAGAGTGAGAACGTGGCCCCCAATGCCCTGCTCTGGCTGAAGCGCGGCCTCCTGCTGATCTGCATCTTCTTCGAGAACATCTACAACGACGCCCAGAAGCAGGAGGCACTCAAGCAGCATCTGCAGAATGCGTACGAGCGCACCCTGAAGCCCTACCACGGCTTTCTCGTGCAGAGTACCATTAGGGTAAGCGGGAGAGGAGGTGGCGGTGGGGGAGAACTCTATGACGCACCATCTAATATTACAATGCTAATCCAATGCTCTCCTTCCAGATCATATACGCCTGGGTGCCCACACGCAGCCAGCTTCTCGGCCAGGGCGAGCATCAGGAGGAGAACCTCGTTGTGATGTCCGACTATTTGCCCACCATGCGGGCCCAGATGAACAAGATCGATGCCCTGCTTAAGGCTCACAATCTAGACGAAGTCCCCCGCTAGGTGCCTGCTTTCGGTGCCCCATTTGGATGGATGGATGGATGCCTGAATTCTTGCTTGCCGCTCAGACGCGCACTCACTCTTCACAGCATATCAGTCAATAGTCAATAGCGTAGTAGATGCATCTAGCTTGTAGCTAAAAGTAGCTTATCTTTATTTTATTTTATTTTATTTTACTTAATTTTATTAGAGAGGGTCGTTGCTGCCAGCAACACAATAAACCTCAGAGCTTTAGTCCACGCGAGCCGCCCTCCGATTCTCATTTCGAAGGGCAGGGCTATGATGCGTCCTGAAATCCGCCAGCTGCTGATTTGTCTCATCCAGTTCGTTCCTTATATTGTTTCCCAGGATCGCAATCACCTCCAGGCCGATCAGAAAGAGCACCGCATACGAGATATAGTGCGGCCAGAGGCGGGCGTTCGTTGCCAAGGATAGCCGGAGGTAGACCATGGACGGGAACAGGACACACGGCGTCACTGTCAACAGCAGCCACATTGAGGCATTCTCTGGGCGCAGATTCACCGCAAAGGCGCCATAAAGGCGCACTGCCTCGGAGCCCACGGCCAGCACATAGGCCAACAGGAGGGCCGCGGTATCGAAGCTCCATAGCTCGTCCATCTGGAAGAGAAGTCCGAACAGTGGGATGCGGTTGCATGATGGATCCTCGCCACAACTTACGTGTACGACTATGTGGAACAAATAGTTGAGGGCCCACAATGCGGACACATAGACATTCGTCTCCAGCAGTATCTGGAGCACCAGACAGGACCGCAGCTCAGTCGCCTGGAACATGTTTCGCCTCTGGAACAAGCAGCAAACTATCTACGATATATTCAGGCTCGGGCCTTGTCAACTGTCAAATGTGCTTTGAGCTCCGTTCTTCGACTTTATGGAGCTTTATAGAGCTGCTACTCCGTCCGAGTGCCGGGTAGAACGTTATTTTCGTGCGTGCACTTTGCGTTTGTTGTCGTTTTGTAGAGTTGCCAGGGCTACCAGGGCTCTGGCCAGAAGCCGCCTGCTGCAGCACTCTGCTGAGTCATCGACAAGAGTATGGCTCAAAGCGGGCGAAGAAACTCCACAAGAAATTAATCTGGTTCCCAAGCCACGTCGGCAAACTGAAAGACAAGGCAGCCAAAGGACGTGGCCAAAATTTCCACATATGCACCTACACGCCCAACAACGACTGCAACGATACTCGTATTACAACAGCCCCGAAGGGACACCTCCACAATAACAACAACAACATCAAAAAACACTTAACTACTAGACTAAGCATTAGCCAGCCAGAAAGCGTCATAATCGTCCGGATCACGCCATTACTGACGCATCGCATGGCCGCTATGCTGCCACGCTTCGACATCGACCACAAACACAACCAGCCCATTTCCGCTGGGCCATTGGCAAACAAATCCACAATGCTACTGATCTCAAACCCATCCTCATCATCAGACCTACATCCAAAATCTCTAATCGAATTTGTACACAGATCCCAGCTGATACAGAACATAAGGTATTGCTCTTAAGCCACATGCAGATAGGTTATACTTAGTCTTATGCTGTAAGTGTAAGTCATTGCTGTCGTAAGTCATAATAAATAAATTATTTGTTCCTAGCCAAACTGTCTCGTATCCATTTTGGGACCCAAAACACTCCTCAATCAAAGAAACACTCCCCAAGGAGCTGTCCATCATTTGTAAACTTGTAATCAGTGGGGAAGCTTAAGAACTTAGGAGTTTCAACAATTTCGGTTTCGGTTTCAATTTCAATTCAGTTTTAGTTTTAAAAGGAATAAAATTCCTCGAGGGCAGAGATTCAATCCATTCTCATGACAGTCGGATATCCGGCGATTAAGGGGAAGAAGATTCTATGAAGATTCCATTCCATTAGTAGGGTACACTTGTGTTAATAGCCGACTCCAACGCGGTCACTGCAGAGAGCGAGAGAGAGAGAGAGAGAGATGGGGAGGAAATAAGTAAGTAGAAGAACCATTCAAACCATCGTTCGTTCGTTAATTTACTTACGGAAATTATGATCATGCTTGTAGACCAAATTGTTGAGAATCTCGGCCAGTGTCTGATGGCAACGTATGTAGGTCATCTCAATCTCCGTCACTTGGTTGAGGGCCAAGTACTGCAGGCCCTTGGCGATGCCTTCGTCATCGTCGTTGGCATCGCTGGACACATCCAGGGCGAGTGGATGGGAGTCGGCCAGGTAGCTGGAGCAACTGGTCCATTCCATGTCCAGAACGAATATCAAATGGAAGAGCTGCTCGAGGGCAATGCGAAAAGCAGCCGTCTCCTCGGTGAGCAGGCAGTGGCTGGACAGCAGCAGCATATACTGCTCATGCAGAGAGCTCAGCTCCCGGATGTTGTGGCACTTGTCGATCTGCGGCTCGAACTGGTGGCCCACGACCTGCATAATGTGCGTGTGCAGACTGTTGATCAGATACATGAGCCAGAAACGCAGAATCTCCAGTCGGCGAACGATCAGGCCGACCATGTCCAGCGGCTCGTACATGTCCCTGCGCGGACGCCGAATGAAGACCATATTCTCCAGCTTCCAGGCGGCCCACTTCACTTTCAGCATCAGGCGCCACACCGAATTGTACGTCTGCAGGTTCGACGGCGTCACGATCCTCTGCACGTGCTCAAACGAATCGAACACCATCTCGATGGCCTCCACAGCCTCGTACACCTTGGTGGAGGTGGAGCGCACCTGCGATATGATCCTGACCGAGGCGCGACCAGCCATCTGCGCATATTGGGGCGCGAGCAGGTCGTACAGCTCCATGTTCATCACCGAGACTTGAGCCCAGCTCAGACCCGCCTCGATATCGCGAAAGAGCTTCGTGTAATATGGACGCAGCAGATGGTCGGCCTCCAGCAGCAGCACGTGGCGCAGGAATCGCACACTCTCGCCCAGCTGCAGGTCAACGTTTATGGTCTTGATCGCAAACTTATTGGCCAGCGACTGGCGGCGCAGCAGTATCTCCCTGAGGGCCTCTGAAAGCACGTCCTTTACCCGCATTCGCGTGGCGCCCTCCAGTCGTTCCAGCACTGCCCCCGCCTGAGCCGGTGGCTGCCGTCGCTGCTGCCCCTGCTGCTTATCTCGTTCCTGCTGCTTCTTCCTGACCGACTGGGTGAGCACTGCCAGCAGATCCGGATTCTCAATGTCCCCGACGCTGCTGAGAAGCTTCTGCTCAAAGGCATGCTGCTCCGACTGCTCTTCCCCTGTGTGTTCCCGACTGCTCCCCATCTGTGTGTCCCCATCTGTGCCTGGGGACTGCTGCGTCGCCCCGCCGTAAACGCGCAGCTGCACGAAGAGTTGGGAGTGGAGCTCGTCGTAGAGGGAGCGGGAACGGATCTCGTTGGTGGTGGCCAGCATGTCGCCCAGCAGATTGACGCTTGCCAGCAGCTCCTGTGTCTCACTGGACGTGAGGGAATGCTCGAGGAGCAGCAGGTAGAAGGGACAGCTTTGCAGTTTCTTAAAAATCTGGCGGTTCTCTTCGCTTTCATCCTCCGCTAGCCGCCGCTGGCGGACAAGCACCCTCGCGTCCCACTCCGCGCCCGCATCCTCGCACTCAGGTATCCTACATAAACACAAGTATGGAGTATGGATATAGGAAATAGTCTCGAAAGAACTTTTGCCTCACCATCGCTCCACAATGAACTGGGCCTGCCGGTCCTCCAGCTTGGCCCGGCGCCACCAGCCATCGAAGATGTTGCAGTAGGTGTTTAGCGAGACCAGCAGCAGGGCGATGGCCAGCTTCTGGTGCGGCACATGCAGCCGCGTCTGCTGGTAGAGCTGCGACAGGAGATGGGCGCACATCAGGTGCGGCGGCCCCGACGGCAGGACGGCCTTGCTGCACATTAGGCGGAGCAGCTGGAGCATCCGAAAGTGCTTGTTCATGTGCCGGATGAAGTGGATGAGCGAGACGGGCTCCTCGCTGAGCACGCGTTCCTCGTAGGCAAGCAGCGCCTCCTTGATCGGGCGCACCAGATCGCGCAGGCCATTGGCAAAGCACTCCAGAGTGCCGATAATGTTCTGCCCGTTGTGGCGCAGTGTCAGCTTGTCTATGGTCTGACGCAGCTGCTTCATATCCTCCATGGCAGGCACCAGGTGCGTGTCCAGCGTTTCTTTCAGGCCCTCCTACATGCAAATAGAAAGAGAGAGGCGATTGAGGAAAAGAGAGGGATCTTCCGATGGAAGAGGGATGCAATGCGATGCGATGCCCTTACCGCTGTCACACTGCAGATGCTGGTATTCTGGCGCACGCTGATGCGTCGCTCCTCATCCACCACAAAGAAGCAACAGCTGACGGGACTGATAAACATGAAGAGGATCTCCCGCAGCAGACAGCGCTCCGTGCTGGTGTTGGGCAGCGGATACTGTACGAGGCCCAAGGACTGCTTGTTGAGGAACTGCACATAGGTGATGGCAAAGTTGGACAGGGGATCGCTGTCAGGGGGCTTGGTGTGGATTGCGATGTCTTGGCGCCACCAATGGGCGTGGATCTGCTGCGGCAGCAGATTCTCGTCGCATACGCACTGGGTGTGCTGCGTGAAATGCTTGGGCAGCTGGAGCGGCGGCAGGGGGACAATATTGCTGCTCCTGATCTCCTTAAGTGGAGATAACAGAGTGATTTCGACAGGTTCATTTATGTGGAAGGATGGCACAGAATTTCCGGTTCTCGCAGACTTTGGCAGGTAGGATTTTTCAACACAGGGCTTAATATTGTCCATGGCGTTCTTATAGACAGTGGCCATATCCTTCGGCTTCAGCGTGGTCTTTGCCTCCTCTGGCGAAACGGAGCCACTAATCTCTTGGTCATCGCTCTCCTCGGACGGTTCCTGAACAGCAAGAGCTACTTCAAGTGGATTTATCATGGGATACAGTGGCTGCATCTTACCTCCTCAGTGTCCGAGCTGTCGACAGGCGTTGGATTCTCCAGAAAATCCTCGCTGAGCAGGCTCACCCAGTCGGTGTCCGCCTCAGAGATGTTGGGTGCGACGGCCTTGGAGGTGGAGGCCGCCTCAACAGCGGCCAGTGCCGAGAGGCGGCACTGATCCATCTGCTGGCGGTTCCGGCGCACATTTTGTATCGGCGCGTTGGTCATGCTAAGCATAAAGTCGAGCAGAGACCACTGTACGTCCGTCTGGGGGTGATCCTGCCAGACGGGATCTTCGACCAGTTTTGTGCTCAGCTCCTTAATGGCTTGCCCAAAGGGTGCCATGTTTTCCTCCTGGAAACGCTTCACCACAGCGTTGAGCGTCTGCGTCACTTCATGACTACTCGTGAGTAGGAAGTTAGTGTGGCGTATATGTTTCCTGGCCATCTGCTCCAGATTTCGCTGCTGCCTTGGAGTGACCTGCCAATGGGAAATAAGCTATTGTTATTGGCCACTTTGGGCAGGCGATGACGACGCTTCAGACTTACGTTGGGGCCTGTCACGCTCTTGATCAGTTTCTGCAGATGATCGGCAATGAGTGCATGGCGCGCATCTGCGGACATATGTGCCGTTGTCATCCTGTCGCACATTTTGTCTCCGAAATCGAAAAAACAGAAAAAAGTGGAAGTTGGAAGAGAAGAGAACCAGCTGGTTCTTTTTTCCCCCTCAAGCCGTTATCGATTGCAGCATGTGCGCACGTTCATTGAATATAATGCTTAATTGCTTGTATTTTTCCTGCACGTATATAATTGATTGTATATTTGCAGTTGGCCAGTTCTGTTTATTAAATAAACATCTATTTCTCTCAGAATTTAGCGGCTCTGTTTGAAAACAGCTGGCTGCAAAGATTCAACTATCGATACCTCTTATAACGATTATTGCAACAGTCAAATAATATTATTCTGTTTTTTCTTATTTTAAATAGAATTTCAGTGCAGTGCAAATGAAAAAGATGGCAAATCTCATGCCTTTAATTAATGCTGAATGCAGATGCTCCACACCTCCTATGTGAAAAGGTTTATTATTTATTTATACTGACCTATGGATAGATTGCTAGATAGATTGGAAGGATCAGTGTGACCATACAGACAGCTACATACTAGAGCTGTCAAACGATTGATAGTTGAGCCATCGATAGTTTTTAATGTTTTGAAAAAAAAACAAACAAAAAACGCGTCGGTTATCACCTCGAGGCTCGAGGGAGTCCATAATTCTATGATTCGCTTTGGTGTCGCCCAGCGCCTCACGCACCTGCATACCAGCAATACAATTAATACCCAAATATACCATGCCACTATCAAAATATACCGTAAATATACTGACGGACACGACAAGACGTTGAACATCCCCGATTTTGATATTCCATTTAATATTACTAGCTAGTTGGCCATCTCAGCCCTAAACAAATAATTTTATTCAATTCCTTAATAAATTTTGTTTAGGATTGGCTAATGACGATTTATCGTAAGCTGGACGGTTGCATGGTGTGTTAGATAAACGTCTTGCAACTGTCAATTAATTCCAAACATACAAGAAGACCGCGCTGGATTTGAATGACTTCATTTTACTTTTATTGAATTTGCATAAAACTGACGCATCTCCTGTGTGTGGGGACAATGGAGGATGCGCTCTTTACAATGCATATGCACTGTATAATTTACATACAAAGGGATTAAACGTATTAATTGTAAACGTTATAATAGGCAATAATCGTACATACATATGTATATAATAGCAATAGTTGTTTTGTGTGTTTAGCATTCCGTATTACTGCTGGCTTTTGTGTAGTTAATTAATTAAGTACCACAGCGTAAAGTAGGATAAACAAAAATCTTACTTTTCTTTCATTCCTTCTGGTTGCTCTTTTGTTGTTGTTGTTTTTGGTGTATGTTTTGCTCGGTGGCGCCACTAGCTGGCCTAAGGGATGGGATCGGGGTATTGGGCTTGGTGTAAACCAGCTACGCGTAATACAGGTGAGAGATATCCATTAACACATTCACATACATTTACATTTAGATTCAATTGGTTTGCAGGTGGCAGGTGGCTCCTGCACCACCCGCCTCCACACTGCTAGCTCAACACACATTTAGTTAACGTTTTTGTTTTGTTTTTGTTTAATGCTACATCTATGGGATCCGTGGACTAAGTTGTGCTATTTAACTGATTAACTAGAGAAAACACTAACCCAGAATAAGTTCGCATCGATATTGGTTTTGGGGTGTGTGTGTGTGTTATGCGCTGAAGGACTGATCGGATTAGGATTAGGATAAGGATTAGGCTTTTCGGAAGGATGGTTGGGGTCATACGCAACGTCTGCCTCTCCTGGGACGCCGATTCCAAACTTCTTGCTCTTGCTACCTCTCTCTCTCTCTCTGTCTTCGTATATCTAACGTATTTACATGGCAACCGCGACAGGCGACGCACCTAGTAGAAGAATAGCAACCGTTCCTGGGCCGAGGCCGAGAGGAGGCGCCACGACCGCTTGATGGCCACATACTGGATGAGGGCGCGTATGCTAATCAGAAAGCCAAAGGCGCAGATCAACCACCACAGCCAGGAGTTCTCGTGGGAGGCCAGATCCGTCGAGTGCTTTACAATCAACGTCCATTTGGCCAGCGACAGGCCGAAGCCGGAGAGGGCGCCATACCGGGCGGCGATTGTGTGACAGAAACAGGTGAGCATCAGGAAGCCGATCCAGTTGAACAGAAAGGCCACAATGAAGGCCGTAATGAACATGATGTCCGTGCCCAGCCAGTTGTCGGTGGTCGAGAGACTGTTCTCCGGATCACTGGCATCGATGGCGATGAACGTCAACGCCGGCTGGGCGGCACGCACTGCAGCCGCACCATCACGCAGCGGATTGGGCGGCAGCAGTGGATTAGGCGGTGGCGACAACTGTTGGTTCGAGGGTAGCGTCAGAAAGGCAGGCGGCAGCTCTCCATTTAGCGACTTCTCCATCTGAACCTCCTCGTATGTGGGCAACTGTCCCACCAACTCGCCGCCCTGCAGCTGCATCTGGGCACCCATCTCATGCCCGCTGACATGCGTGGTCAGCGACAGTGAATGCATCTGAGTCGGCAGCGTGCCGTGTGGTCCCACATTAGCCTCGTATGGCGGCGGTGCACTGAAATCGGCCTTGGGTGGTCCCAGCTGATCATCGTCGGAATTTTGATTGTTGTGCGGCATGACTGGAAGATGCAACAGAAATATGGATGGCTGGGATTAGTATGGTGATTCAATTAGTGATAGCTGCATGCCTTTTAACTCTCCCATTTATAATTTACTTAACAATTAAGAAATAACAACGTTTTTGTTTAGTTAAAAGTTAGGCTCTTTCGTTTCGTTTCGCTTTGTTCTCGCTTTTATTAACGTTAATAGTTTACGCGTGTGGCGGGCGTTAAATCAAGTTAAATTAAAAATAAAAATTAGACATTCAGAAAAATAAATGTTAAATGTTGCATTAATTGCAGTGCCTAGGGCGGTGATTGGAGACCAGCGCCTGGTAGTGGGCCTCCTCCAGCGAGAGGATCCGGCATGGTGCGAACGGAAGTCAGGCTGATCACAACGGCTTGCGGCCATCCACCTCGTCCATGCCATCGTTCTGACAGCCAGGTGGCATCGTTCAGGCAGTACCAGGCCGCATATGTGTGCGGGCACTTGAAGGTGGGAAAGGTGATGTTCGGCCGCGGCGTCGTTATGGCCACATTATCCGGTGGCAGTGTTGGCACGGCTCCAGATTCACCTCCGGGTCCCTCTGTGCTGGGCGGCGCCTCCGGACGGTGCCTGGGCATGGGACGCGAGGAGCAGGCGGCACAAAGCGCCAAGCAGCAGGCGCTGATTAGAGCATAGGCAAGCAGCAAGCCAGGGGCTCTCATCTTTACGGGGGATTCGGAATCGGATTCGCTCTTATATCTAACGCATTTCTGGTTTACTTGGCTGGAGTGTGTGTATTATCCGCCCGTGGTCCCTGCCAAGTAGATATCCATGGCCGCCTTATTCAGGTGAAGCAACGGGCGTCGCCTGGGTATCGGCTGGATGTGTGGCGACCGCGTCCCATTCACAGCATTCAAGCTCAGGTTCGAGTTGGGATCATCGTCAACGCTCAAATATATGATTTGCGATGACTGTGTGACAGGCTGTGCCGCTGGCGGTGGTTTGGAGCGCTTCCGTTTTTCCGCCGACGCCGCGCTAGTTGTGGGCATGGCATCCTTGCTAAGAGTTGCTGGGTGTGTGCCATGTGGTCCGCGAGCGATACCCGTTCAAGCTGCGCACGTGTAAGGATTGACGCAGTTCTGGATTTATGGTCACACTTGTGAGCATAAATCCAGAACTGCGCCCTATATGCCACTCTGTAAGGATTGCTACGACCAACTCCCGTGACCATCCTGGCAACTCTTAGCGAGGATGACATGCCTACAACTAACGCCGCGGCGGCGGAAAAACGGAAGCGCTCCAGGAGACATGCTGCACTTAAAGTTGAAAACGGAAATGCAAAACATATCCCGTAGAGCTGTCAAACGATTGATAGTTGAGCCATCGATAGTTTTGAATGTTTTGAAAAAAAAAATCGATACTATCGTAATAGTATCGGGCTCAAATAATTATTAAAAAACCATTGAAATCTTTTAGAGCTTGTCCATTGTAAAAATTAGATGCCACCTGTCGATTTGTTTACAAATTTGTCTTCGTATTTTAGAGCAGCCAATCCAAACATATCAGAAGCGCAACAACTGTAGCTCGATATTATCATGATAGTCGCAAAACCGTCGATAGTATCGGATAGCTACTCGATGGTTCGACAGCTCTACTACATACCATTGTTTGGATTAGGGCTTGGCTTTGAATTCACGAGAAGATTATGTCCACAAAAGAAGCCGTGCATCCCACTTATGTGATACTTGGCTCTGGTGGCCACACGGCCGAGATGTGCAAGATCACCAAGGCCCTCCTCCTCCAGAGTGACGAGTACCAACCAATTCGATTCATTGTTGCCAACAATGATGAGAACTCGGATCGTCAACTGCATGCCGCTCTGGGGCAATCCGGCACTGATAACTTCCTGCGGGTGCCACGGAGTCGCAGCGTAGGCCAAAGCTGGCTGAGCAGCGTATTCACCATCTTTTACGCCCTGCTTTGGAGCTGCTGGCTCATCTGGCGGGACCGCCCCCAGCTGGTGCTCTGCAACGGTCCTGGCACATGTGTGCCCTACTGCTATGCTGCCTACATGTGGCGCCTACTTGGCCGCCTGCCCGCCAACAGCCGCATCGTGTTCGTGGAAAGCTTCTGCCGGGTGGAGACGCTCTCGATGAGCGGGCGTCTCCTGCTGCCATTTGTGGACATGTTCGTAGTGCATTGGCCGGGCCTGGCAAAGCGCTACGAGGACCGGCCCAACCTGCGCTACTTTGGACGACTCTTTTAACCACTTTTAATGCTTGTGATGATTTATTTAACGTAGGTAGAAAAAAAAAAAAAAAAAAGGATGGGTACAAACAAAATGAGAGGGCTTAACATTCAATGTATGTATACAAATGTAAATATTATATGTGTTTGTCGAATATTTGGAATAATAATAGGTAACAATATATTCTAGCGGCGGCGCTTCTCGGCGCAGAGGCTGCGATGGGCCTCCATTTGGTGGCCGAGCAACTCCTGGCCGCACTTGGGGCACGAAACGGTCTTTTTGAATAGACTGCGCTGACGCATCTGGCGCGGTGTTAGTTCCTCATCGCTGGTAACGTTATGGGCCGAATCGCTGGATGTGCTCAGGTTGAGCGGGGCTATCTCAGCATCGGTGTAGCCAGCGTTGCGCAACAATTGCTTTGAGGAGACTCGTTTTGTACCTGTCGATGGCTTGCCGCGAGGCTTAGGCTGCTTCGGCTTGAAGGAGGGCGGCTCCACTGTGTTGGTGATGAAGCACCCTTCGAAATGATTCGACAATTGCGAGCGTTTAATTCTTCCAAAGCAGATGGGGCAGGCCACAATATCGTTGTTTAAATTGTTCTTGACCCGCGATCCAGTCGGCACGACATCGTTCTGCAGCTGGAACTCTGCCAGCAGGGTATCCACCCCGAACAAGTCGTCTATGACGGACTGGTCGGCCAACTCGGTGGCCGCCACCAGACTGCTATCAAGGTTGTCTGTCTGCTGCTCGTCATCGTATTCATCGTCAATGAGCACGATTTCATCATCGTCAAAGTTCCGCGACTCGTCGGACATCACCTCCTCCTTGATCTTGCGCGTCCTCTCCTGGCTGCTTATGCCACTTGCAAATAAAGTTGAGTTGCTGACCTTTGCGTGTTCATTGCCATCCGCTTCGTCATCGCTGCTCAGGATCAGGACTGTGGGCGTAATATCCTCCGCCACCATCACGTCTTCATCATAGGACTCCCAGGACAGCATAGGACTATCATCCACGTAGCTATGGGGACGCTTTCCAGTGGTATTCTCGGTTTCGGTCTCGCTCTCCTTCTCCTTAGGATTTTTCATAGTTGACTCATTATTAAAGCGCTTCTGCCAAATGTTGCGCACAAAGGCTGAATCGCTGGTCGAGGATCCTCCCGCAGTTGGAGGCGCAGCCGTCTCCCCCGACAGAGTGTTGCCTTCGCCAGTCAAGAAGTTTTCTTTGAAAATTGCGGTATTGTTCTTCTTCTCGTCCCCGCTGTTGTTGAGATCCGCCATGCCCCAGATATTGGACTTGGTCGGCAGCTTGCTGCTGGCGGGCATTGAAAACGGATTGTGACTCTGTCCCGGGTATGAAGTGGGCGGAACTGAGCCGACCAAGTTGGACACGTTTGACTCGATTGCCTGCCTCTTGGCGGGCGGATTGACGATATAGTTGCGTATATCCCCACTGAGAGACGGATCCTTTTTGGCAGTGGGCTTGCGCATTGGTTTCTCAGCTTTAGACTTCACCGGCTTGGATTTTTCTGGCTCGCTAACCTTGTGAAAGGTTCCGCCGCATTCGATTGTGTGCTTCTCCCACCACTGATCATTGGGCCCTGGGGCGCGGTTCGAGGTGCGCTTAACCCAGCCACGGAACGGATGGCGGTTCTGGCAAATGCCCGAGCAGCGCCACACGTGAGTTTTATACATCTCCACCTCATCGTGGAAGGTGTGATAGACAGAGATGTTGGTGCCGGCCACCTGGTTGATGGTGTTCATGAACCGCTTGAAGTTCGGGCCATGGCCGCCGTTGCCCTCGCGTATGTTCATCATGTAGCAATAGGCATGGATCATTTCATGCTGCACAGAACAAGAGACAAGAATGGTTGCAAAAGCTGCTTGTTCGTGGTGAGGCGGGGCGACTCACCAACAGAGTTTCTACGAGGTCCTTGCGCGGACGCAGCTTGAGCAGCGGCTCGCTTAGCCGTATTGTAATCTCCTTGGTGTATCTGTTGCTGCGAAGATAGCAGATCCCAGCGCACGAGAACATGCGCTTGCTCCACTCCAGCACGACGCCGCCCAAGCGCTTCTTGAAGAATTTCTCGTCGAAGCGCACGAACATAGAGAAGATGTTGGGTGTGGGATCCAGAATTTCCCAGTCGGAATGTACCAGATTGCTGGTCTGATTCAGGTAGTCCTCCTCGTGATTCACGGCGCTTGCAAGGCGCTTTGGCGAGCTCTCGACCAACGCATTCTAAAGGTGTTTGAAGTGTTGTTTCTATATTGCAATCAGTTGAATGAGTACGACCAACCCTTACCGTCTGTTTTGATGGATAAACAAACTGAATGCTGCCGTCCAGGTCGTCGGTCGGTTCGGAGCTCTCGCCCTGTTCCTCGGCCTGTAGCTTAAGAGCCAAGATATAGTCGTCATCTTGCGATGCCGCCGATTTGGCTGGCTGCGAGTCCTAAAAACATATGCACAAATGGGAATATTCAGCAAGTTCTGGTAAATTTTAACTTCGTGCCGCAACTTACCAGACGACTCTTGTGTTGTATGCCGTCTTCTCCGTTCAGTTCATAGCTTAGACGGAGGGCTAACAAATAGTCGCTTTCTTCGGACATCGTACACACTTTTGCAGCAGTGTAGCTGCCCAATTATATCTAAATATTACGCAGTTCTTCAAAAATAATTTTGGGGCCTAAGAATTGGCGCTTCACGACGGCAGTGTGCCCGTTTCGCGAAACCAAGAAAACGTGAAAGCGCTTTGTGCAGCTAGTACATAGTATGCACTAAAAATCCATAAATAAAAGAAAAATCAGGAAAATAGCGATTGTCAATGCAAATTGTACAATTTCTCTTGTTCTAATATTCAAACACATAAAGTTATTCAACGGAACGAATAGGAAATGCTTTTTTCTTTGCTCTCTGCACAGCCATTACTGAAATTACCATTGCCATTCCTCAAAATTTGACTTTCATGTGCTATTTTATACTAATGTACATATGTATTCACTTTTAACCGAGAAATTTAATGGCCGAGATCAATGTGGAAAATTACGAGTGATGGTTGATAAATATTTAAGTTAAACTGAGGCCTCGAACTTGCTAATTCACCGATGCCGATGTCAGTGCTAAAACTAACTCAGACTGCTCAACACTGGCCCTTTTATTCAATTTTTTTCCGGTACATAAAATGGCGTCGCGACAAAAGAACGCAGGAGAGAGATAAAGAGAAATAGAAAAAAAACGAACTTGCCAAAAAGGGAAGAACCGATTATGCGAACGGCAGACAGAGTGGCTCACGCCTGCGTCTTTTCTGGGGGATAATATTTTTTAATTCAATGTTTACAGCTACATAGTACATATATAGATATAGCCAGATACTATTTACATATATACATAGTTCTAATTCGGTTAACTCACTGATATTAGTCTTCTTTGACTTCCGCTTTTTTCAAATTTTATCCTGTATTTTTTTTGATCAATTTAATATAAAATACAACTGTTATACATTAAATTGTCTCACAATTAATGTGTCTCAGCTGTTGTTGTGCAAAAAAGGATTATGATTGTGATGTATTGAAGAGATTCAGTTTGATTCCAACGCGTATCAGTCACGGTAAACTGACATTTTCAAGTGCACAAATGTGAGTGCATATGTGTGTGAGAGTGTGCTCAAAATGGAGTACACTTAACATAACCAAACTTTTACCGAATTCGTGCTACAAAAACCTTAAATGTTTGTAAAATCCGAAAAAACTGCTAAACTCTCCAGCGACAAAATCGAATGCAGATAAATTTGTAATTGCTTTCCATTTCGCCGCTGGAGATTTAAAAAGGAAACATCATTTATGAATTATATGGATGTTTTGATATATATATATATATATGTATATATTTCTTTGTGTATGTGCGGTATGTATATATTTATATGGTATATGGCGTGCCTTACCTATAGATTTACCAAAGTCGCCAAATCCCAATGCTCGTTCAGCGGTGTAAAAAAATAAATATAGATGCGAGCAGCATACAAACTTCGATTCAGACTTTAATTTTTTGTAGAGAAACAGAAAATCAAGGGTTTCTGCCTTTTTTTTGGGAGTAAGAACAACTCTGGGCCTTCAATCAGGCAACAACTCGTCCGCGTCCCACTTTCGGCGTTGCGTGCCGTACCATCTGTTTTCTGCCTCCTCCTAGCCACCACACACACACACCGACATCTGCGGTGATCTCCAGCAGCAATGAAGTTTATAGCGAAACGAAAGCGCCAGCAGCCACAGAGGGCCTCAGACGGCTGCCGGAGTGCCAGAGTGCAAGCAGGAGGCGGCCAGAGTGGGCCAGAATGGGTGCCGGCAATGGCCAGCACCCGCCATCTGACCTCCAGGATCGACTCTCAGTGATGGTAACTGGTTCATTACCCGCAGCAAGACGACTTCATTTCATTAGCCGCGTCTTACCTTTTTTGTTTTCTCGGTTGCGGATCTATAGAGGCAGATCAAATCACGGACAGGGTTAAGGCGGCTCCCATCCTGTAAGGCATTAAGTGCTTCAACGCAGGTCCTATTGCCCACAGCCAACCGCCCGGGTACTGGACAATCCTCTACAACATCCGCCAGTGCACCAGGACTACACAGACTCCTTCCATGGGCCAAAATTCACAGCTGCTGGCTGCTGCCGGAACAGGGACAGGCTTAGTCGCAGGGGAGCAGCAGCCTATGGAAAGCCCACAGTCCATTTGTAGTCGCGACACGGACACTGCACAACCACGGGCAGCGCTATCCCAGCCTCAATCTTGTGCGTCCAAAGCTCTACCTGGGACAGCAACATCATGAACTCCTTCCAGCAATCGAGGGGACCGCTGCAGGGGCGCCATGCCGATGAATCCGAAATGTAAGTGCATACATACATGTATGTATGTATGTATGTATGTATGTTTGTATGTATATGTAACATGACAAAGCCAGTCTGGGGAATCGACTGACCCATCAGTAGCATAAACAAATAGTCAAGCTGATAAACAAAAGACCCCAAGACGGAACGGAATGGACCCTCGGCGATGAGCCAGCCACCCACCTTCCATTCATCTGAAGCCCGGCAATTTCGCTGATTTCGCTGAATGGGCGGCAACTGTGGGTGTTTTGGGGGGTGGGTTTTGGGAGGGTGGAGGGGACGACGCACTTGTCTCGGGTCTCGGGTAATGAAATTCGATCCATAAACAGTCCGGCGAGTCAAACAGTCTGCCATTGTTATTATTATTCTTTACCCTACCTCGATATCATCATTTGATTGCAGTTAGTTAGCTTGAAAAAGTTTGCGATCGCAGCCTTGGCCTTAGATAAGTGTTTCCCGATCCCGATCCCGTTCTCGGTTTTGCCTCTGTTCTGTTCTGTTCTGTTCCGTTCTGCTCTGTTCTGTTGTGCTCTGTCCGAATCGAAGAAGGTCTTTCTCTAGCCGAGCCGAGCCGCGAGGCGAGTCTCTTTGTTTGGCTGTTTTCCAGCAGTGTTGGCAAGCCGCGCTCAAAAGAGCTTCGAGCGTTCGAATCTTCGAATCCACTGCTCAGACTCGGACTACAGACAAGGAACAGACAGTGGAGTGCAGTGCCGTGCCGTGCCACTGCAGTCTTCCATTGTTCAAGGATCGAGAGCGGAGTTCTGTTGTTAAAGCAGCCACAGCCAGAGATCTTTGGACAGGTGACAACCCTGGGTGGCAAGCCGAGCAGAGCAGAGCACAAAAGCTACTGGGCAGAAATATATGTAATTGATTTGAGCCTTTTCCCCCTTTACTTGTTGCAGGAGAATGACGCAGCCTCGGCCATGGCTCGTCGTGTAACACATCCAGATTGGCCGCGGGAGAACAGCAGCAGCCAGAACAGACCCATTGTGGTGCAGCGGTGGCAGAGTGGCTCCGGGGCCAGCAGTGGGCAGCGCATACGCATATCCATCGGGGAGGAGAACGCCCTCTACTACTACAACCGCATCAAGCCCCTGACCTTGAACAACTTCTTCAACTTCGAGGAGCTGGACTGCAAAGCTGCCGGTGGCAAGGCGAAACCCCCGTCCAAGACAAGGCCAGACAAGACACCAGGCATCAGTAGGTCCGTGCCACCACCGTGCCCCATCGCTGGTCCCAATAGGCACGCCAATCAGAGGCCACACCCAGGCAATCGCATTCACGGGCCCCATCCACATACTCTGCCATCCAGCAGCGTCTCGCTGCCGCTGATCTTCGGTCTGCTGATAGATGGCTATACATGGGGCGGTGGAGGCGGAGGAGCAGTCAAGATATGGCGGAATAAAGTGCAGTCCAAGTTGGACCAGGACCAGGACCAGGACCAAGAAGCCAACGACCAACGAAGTGAACTGACACTGAAGCCGGTTGGCTTCGAGACGCAGAGTGCTCGGCGCAGGATTGCCATGGCAGCGCGTCAGAATCCAACCATGGACCAAAGCCAGAGCGTGTATTTCATCATAAATATATCGTTGGGTGGCACGGAGAACGGCCCAAGCAACCGACTAGAGAAGGGACAGGAAAACGGTCCAGTCTGGCGCGGAAATTACCACCACCACCAGCAGCAGCAGCAGCAGCAGCAGGGAATAAACAGAGACGCCAGACATCCCACACATCCCACGTACTGTGGCAGCCAGCAGCAGCGGGGTCGTGCCAAGCCCTGGGACATGAGTTCGCCATTGGGAAGGCCCAACGCCAACGGACAGGTGCCCATCTATCAGGTGGAGCGAGAGCGCCACTACCATCACCATCCGCAGGATCAAGCGAACCAGCACTTTGCCAGTCGGTACCATGGCCGTGGCCCACCCAACAGTGGCTTCGAGCCACGTCCATACAACTACAACACGAGCACTGGCGATCAGTGGCGGCCCATCCACCGCCAGCAGCATCCGCATCCACCATCTGAACACGTCCAGCATCAGCCCATGCAGCACCCACAGTTCGGACAGTTCGGACAGGAGACTCAGCAGCTGGAGACCCTGATGGAGGAGATGGATGAGGCGCATGTGAATCCGGACGAGAGGCAGCAGGCAAAGCTGATGGAGCTGCTCGAGTTGATCAGGCAGAAGGAGCAAATGCTACTGCAGCTGCAGCAGCGGGCTGTCTTCGATCCGGTCGTCAGTGGCTGCTGCAGCAACTGGAACTGGCTGGAGAACAGCAGACAGATCGAGATGATTACCAGCCTCGAATACTTTCCGGTGGGGGCCTCGCGGGAGCTGCTGCTCGGGGCCACCCTGTACGCCCTGTTTGACGAGCATTTCTACAATCTGCCCGAGGGCTGGTGCTACAGGGGCACGCTGGAGCCGCCCGTGCAAATGACAATGCCCTACCATCCAGTGTACAACACGTATCACCATCAGCCGCCTTGGCAGAGCTGGCAGTGGCACTGGCACTGGCACCAATGGCCACCGCAGCAGCAGCAGCAGCAGCAGCAGCAGCAGCAACACAATGGGTGGCAGCAGCAGCGTCAGCAGCAGTGGTATTGGCAGCACTTTTATTGGCAGCAAGAGCGACAAAATCAATGGCAGCAGCAGCAGCAGCAGCTGCAGGAGCAGCAACACCACCAGGGACACCAGCAATACCAGGAACACCAGATGCAGGATCAGGGACAGTGGCGTAGGCAGTGCATCCAGAGATCGAGGTCGAGATGGAACCACCACCCACCGCCGTATACAAATAACCAAACTTCAGATGCTATAATGACGTTCGATGCGTTCCCGCACGGGCAGAAAGATTTAATAATGCGATGCAGGCAAGAAGAAGCCACCGCCAGCGCCAACTGGAAGCCGCCAGCGCAGGTGAACTTTCAACAATAAAATGAATTGGTGGTTCACTTTTGTTTATTAAGCTGCTCTTTTCGATTCTCGATTCAGTACAAGACCCTAGCAGAGACACTCGCAAGTATGGAAGAACCTTTCAGTGAACCGACAGAGGAAATTCTGAATCTGAGCAGACAAAATTTTCCACCGTTGCCAAAACCGCAGAATCGTTGATAGATATAACAGACCGAATTCTATTACACATGATCTACGCGAGATACAATAAATAATTCAATATTATTCGAGTTTCAAATTAGTGCCGCCAAAAAGGGTAGTGCCAGTGCTGTAAAAGGAGCTGGACTTGTCGTTTGTGCACACTTCTCACTGTTCAGTGACGATAGCCCCACTGATATTAAATACTTTCCGCTATATTTTGATATCGAAATTGATTCGAGGGTATTTTTACGGTATATCGGTACGTTTAAGCGGGAGAGCAATGCTAGCCATTACTTCTAGTGCCAATGTCAATTTTAGTATTTAAACGAATATCAAAATGTCATGTCGGTCAGTATATTTACGGTATATTTTGATATTGACAAGCTTAATTTCGCTATATTTCTGAGGGTCAGGCGGTATATTTGATCGACAAATCCGCGGTCACACTGGTTGGGCCTCAAGCGATTCAATAAATTTTTGGATCCCAATTTCGGCGCTTAAACGTTTCCAGAAGGCCAAATAATGGAGGCTCTGGTCAACTATAGCAGCGAAGATGATCAAGACGAAGCTGGCTATCAAATACGGGTAAATATGTCAATATACAATTACTGGAAGAAGCTGAAAAAATGCACTAAAATCGAACGCCAGGGCTCATTTTGTGTACACATTTTACCAGAGGCGTGCGTTGTACATCCATTTGTACCAGGTGCATGGTGTGTGTGTGTGTGTGTGTGTGTGAAAAACCGATATCCAAAATGAACTAAAAAAGAAAAAAGAAGAAAACCAGAAATAGTACATATAACTAGAAGAACTTCCGTACTATAAATATTTGTTCCATTCCCAAGAGTCCCCACATCCGCATCCAAACCCACATTCAAACCCAAAACCGAAACTCCAACCGTACTGTCCACCTCTCTACTTATGTAGTTGTATCCTAGTGCTTTAGTAAAATAATACGAATTTGCTGTGTTTCTGAATAGTTGAAAAATTCCCCTAGGCACCACCACCACAACCAACGAGATCAGCTGCTTTGGCAGTGGCAGTCACCGCTGCCACCGTTGCTTCTGCAAAAGCCGCTGCAACCGCCGTAAAGCATCAGCATAAGGCCAAAAAGAACAACAACGAAGGCAGCAGCAGCAGCAGCAACAACAACAGCAAGAAGCAGCAACGCCAGCGCCAGCGCCGACGCTCTAGCAGCAGCAGTAGTAGTAGCAGCAGCAGCAGCGGTAGCGGCAGCAGCAGCAGTGGCAGCAGTAGCAGCGGCAGCAGCAGCGGTAGCAGCAGCGGTAGCAGCAGCAGTAGCAGCAGCAGCGCCAGTGAAAAGTCCAAGAGACGGAAAAGTACACCGCAACTGGCGCCGCAGCCAGCGTCCACGGTGGCCCCCGGCGGGAAGCAACCTCACAGGAGCATCACTCGCACGCGCACTCGCACTCGCAGCTCGTAGTCGCAGTCGCCAGTCGAACAACAGCAGAACCATTGATAAGGTAATAATGACGTTTCCATAAATCGATTTCTAGACAAATGTTCATTATTGAAATATGTGTGTGTAGCTGCATAAGTGCATGGGGGTGGCAACGGATGGCCAATGCTCGGAAAATAGATTTCCATATGTCCTCCGCCTGTATAGCCATCGATCTGAACGATCTACCGCATTCTCACATTCGCTCCCAATCCTCTGAGGGTGTCCGCCCTGCCGCTGGCACTGTCTTGAACGTTTCCAAATGAATAGCCCAGCAAGCAAGGCATTCTTCGGTGGACCGAAGGCTTTGGATAGACCCTTGCATAAATATTTGGATATCGATGCGGTTCCCATGGCACCTACATGACATAGTTTTCCGATACAATACAGCCAGCCAGTCGTTGAGCAGCGATATTTCGCATGGCTATGCCAGATGTCAGTTGTCGAACCCGATTAGGCATTAGAATTAGGGTACACCCCTCTGTGCTCTGTGCTCGCTCTCTGCAAGGGGGGGGGCATTGGCATCCGTATACGATAGGGTCGTCCGTCTGTATTTGGTGCACCGTACAGTGGACACCGTGGCGGACCGAGTGGTGTGTGTGGCTGGACAGCTTAGATAAGTCTACTACAACTTTTAATGCCACTTAATATTTAAATGACTAAAATCTACCATTTTATTATTATCATTATTGTTGTTATTGTGTAAACGAAACCGAAACAAAACCGAAACCAAACCGAAACCAAACCCAAAAAACACAGACAGAAACAGAAGCAAAAACAAAAACATAAACAAGAAAAGAAAAGAAAAATTATCTCAAAACTTGACCTACGACGTCTGACCCAGACGATTGATTGGTTCGATTGATTGATCGATCGATTGCATCGATGACGCGACGATGACAGCTCCGTTCAGTTTCATAGATATTAGAGTTGTGGTGTGGCCTGTGGCCTTTGGCCGGTGTCCTGTGTCCTGTGGCCTGTGTCCTGTGGCTGCGGGGTGTGTGACGCGTCCGAGGTTTCCAAGAGTTTCCAATCAATCGAACTCCTGGATCGCACCCAACACAAAACCCACACGCACACACCCGCATCCGCATCCGCACGCGAACACAGACGCACACGAACACGAACAAACATACCCTCATATCCACCCCCACCACCACCACCACCACCACCACCCACCCACTGAACCGAACCGAATGAGGTGTCGGAAAAGAGATTGAGAGAAAGATAGAGAGAGAGAGAGAGATCGACCGGCACGAATGTGAGTATAACCCAAAACCAAAGTGATCAAAAAGCAAATAGAATAATTAATTCTCTTAGCCAGTCAGTCGCCAATCGCCAATCGCCAATCGCCAGAGAAGCCCTGAGTCAGAGCATTCTGTCCTGGTGCGAGCCCAGAGGCCCAGAGGACGCACCGCCAATTGATCCGATCCGATCCCCCTAGCTTAGATTTAATTTCCCGCCTTTGGATCGTTCATTTAATGTGTGTACCATTTCATTGGTGGGTTGCCTCCTCTTCTTGTTGCAGGAGCCCCAACAGCGCCAGCGCCAGGAGCGGGCAAAGGAAAAAGAGAAGGAGAAAGAAAAGGAGAAAGAGAAAGAAAAGGAGAAAGAGAAAGAAAAGGAGCGCGACCGAGATCGCAACAGGGAGAAGGAAAAGCGCGACCTCGACCGCAGCCGCGACAAGGAACGTGACAGGGACAGGGATCACAGCAAGGTGAGTGCTTCCCCTTGCCGTCTTAATCGCAGATATTCTCATGATTGTATGTATGTTACGTTTCCATTCTAGAGCCACCATCGCACCAAAGAGATTAAGCAGAGCCACAGGGATAAGGATAAGGACAAGGATCGGGAGCGAGAACGTGAGCGTGAGCGAGATCGGGACAAGGACAAGGACAAGGACCGCGATCGCCATGGTAATCGCGATCGCGAACGTGAAAGAGGAGACCACCGCCGTGAAAATATCAGCGGACGGCATCAGCACCACAGCAAGGATCAGCGCCACAGCGAGAACTCACGCTCACACATCTCATCCACATCCGCGTCTGCCAACGCAGCCGCGCACAAATCTCAGCGTCGCTCCTATGACGAGCGCAGTCGACGGCGCCGCGGCTCGCGTTCCAGATCCCGCACGCCGACAGGCACATCGCCCACTCGCCGCCGCCATCATCAGCCATCAGGAACTGCTGGGACAGGCAAAGGGAAAGGCATAAGGCACTCAGCATCATCGTCACGCAAGTACCGGGCACGCGACTCGAGGAGCCGCTCCGGGTCGCCGCTGGAGCATGAGAAGAAGCCAAGCGGCGAGAAGCTGCTGTCCCGTGCTGGCAATCAAGGGGCAGCGAGTGCAGGCAGTGCCTCTGGAACTGGACTGATGCTCCCCAAGCCGCTTTCCGGGCCGCCCTCAGCAGCCGCTTTGGCAGCTATGAAAGCTATGGCCGCCATTCAGGGCGGAACAGGAGGCGGGGGACTGCTGCCCACGCCCAACTACTCAACAAATACTATACCCTCACTGATGTCCCTGGCCGTGCCGCCAGTGACCAACGCCCCCATCAGGCCATTGGGTATGCCCCCAATATTGACCATGCCGCCCATCCAGGCGATGTCGCCCGCGAAGCCCATCCAGCTGCCCAGCTACTACAATCCGGGCATCATCAATGCCAATCGGTACGCGGAGCAGCAGCAGAAGCGCAAGTTGCTGTGGGGCTCCAAGAAGAGCGATCCTCCGGCCAACAAGTGGGGCAACGCGCACTTCTCCCAGGACTCGGACGGAAAGGTGGCTTCCAAGTTTATGCGTCTGATGGGCATCAAGAATGCCGCCGGCGGTGCCGGCATAAGCAGTGCAGATGACGGAGCGGACGGGCGGGAACACATCGACCCGGGAGATGCCAGCAATGGCAGCTCTGTGGGAGCAGCTGGCGAGGATGCTGGTACTGGCGAAGCGACAGTAGCGGCGGCGGCGGCCGCTGCTGCAGGGGGCCCAGGAGCAGGGGTGCCCGCCGATGTGGAACAGCGCCAGCGCATGTTTTCCAACATGGAGCAGCAGTACGAGATGGCGCGTGCGGCCACACACACTATGCGAGGCGTCGGCCTGGGCTTTGGCTCCCAGCCGCGCACCTTCTAGAGAATCCTGAAGTAGGATCGGAGCAAGATACAGGAGGAGGAGTACGAGGAGGAGCACAACTTGGCTGTAAATACGATGCCACACTCATTAGTCACTTGAAGCTGTTTACTTTCACTTTTTTTTTGTGTTGAGACAAACTTTACATATAAATAAACGTTGCCACAGAAGAATGTTCCAAAACCAAATGTGTATTCAATTGTTTTATGATTTTGTTTGTTTTAAACGAAATATGCAGCCCGCCACAAGGATTTCGTAGCAGCCAGAATCTGAACTGATGTTTGTCGGCAGACTATCGCAGCATCGCCAACTATCGATAGCAGCGCCCATTCATCGCAATGAAACAATAACAAAATCAGCTGCAAAACGTTTGCCACGCAAAAAAATAGGAAATAATAAATTGATTGTTGAAAGCACGTCCGTCCAGGAAGAACTTTGGCCAGAGAGAGTTAGCTAAGTTCGCACAAGGTAGAGGAGCAATCAGACAGCAGACATGTCCTGGCTGAACAACAGCCTCAACTCCATCAAGGGCCAGCTGACGAATCTGGCCCAGGAAGTGCTGGCCGACACGGCCGGGCCAGGCGACGAGGACTACCGCGGCGCGGAGACCGATACAAAGACGGCCCTGGACCTGCTGGCGGAGTCCCAACAGCAAAAGGAACAGCTGGACCAGCTCTGCGGGGATAAGGATCGCGAGGTAGGGCCTGGAAGTGCGATGGGCACTTGTGCGACTTCCTGCCACTTCTCATGCTCACGTTTCTCACTCTCTCTCTCTCGTTTGTCCCTGCTCAGATTGCTGCCCTTCGAAAGCAAATCACAAAACTAAATAACCAACAAATTGGCGACGGAGTCACCACGCCATCATCATCATTAGCAGCTGGAGCAGGAGCCGGAGCCGGAGCGGTAGGAGCTGCCACAACAGCCGCAGAGCCTCTGGTGAGTGCCAATGATGTTGGATTGAAGAGGGCAGGCGATTGGGCGAGTGGGCATTCGAGACAAAATACCTGCAGCTGTTCCCCATTTGTCCGTTTCCATGAAACATTGCACTCTAGTGTTTGCTCAACTTTATCGCCTCTGCGATAAGCCTCCGCCTCGCTATCCTTTGAGAGCCGCACGCACACGAGTATTCCTGAATTAATATTTAAATTGTGATAAAGTTTGGCAGGAGCAGCCTGTCCCATGTCCCATGTCCACTGTCGACTGCCAGAGCGGAGTGCTCTTTTATCACCTTGCTTACCTGATTCCACACAAAGTAGAGCCGATAAGCAGCGCTCTCTCCCTCTGTTTGTGTGCTCCCCTCCTCTTCCACATCATCAATCCTGACCGGGTGGGTGCCATCTTTTCCGTGGAAAACGAAATTATGAAATTTCTATTTGATTTCACATAGTTTTTTATTTGCTCGCCTCTGTCATAAATCCATACGAGGCCAAACGAGTCATAGATTTCCCTTTTCTCTCCCGGTTTTCGTCCATATGTTGGGCCCCAGCCACACGCTTCGCCGCTGCCATCGCTGCTCCCTATCTAAGCATATCCCTATCGACTGGCCCGTCCTCCCACTGCCTGCCGCCTGCTTGTTTAATTTACCGAATTATTTCTGATTATAAAAGTCTCTGACAACGACACCAAGTTCTGATGTCGCGTTTGGGGTCCCTCTTGTCGCAGCTGTACCTGACTAGGGTTGACACACTGCCCAAGGCTGCACGGGAACTGCAGACTAAAGCGCTAATACATTTGTTTGTTAGCTCATAATTAGGTTCATAAACCAAACTGTGGTTGCAGAATAGATACATATGTAGCCTTGGGGTGGTTAGATATTTGTTCTGCTGTTAGGAGCTGCCTTTTGTCGCAGCTGTATCTGGCCAGGGTTGACACAACCATACTGTAGCCAGAAAACTGCAGACTAAGTGCTCATAAATATATTATTGTTATTATTATTTTGAAACATAAGAGAACGAAATTAGTTTGGGCATTTGAAGGACACATTTTTGTAAAGCAGATATATCTTGTGCAGGATATTCATCGAGCGACGCACATAAAGTTATCATCCTGATTAATTTATTTGGGTAGCATTTGTGTTCTCGTAGGAAGAAACGATCTTTTTTTATTGAATATGCATGTAAATTCCCTCACCTAGTATTAACTTTTATCTTAATGGTAAATTAGCCAAGAAAGATTATTAACGAGAAGGAACGTACTCAGCTGTATATATACAGCTGTGATCATTGAAATAGTAGTGCCGCGTCTCACTACTTTCAGGACTGTTTTTGAGACACTTCCAGCATTCCAAGTTTAACATGTAATACCTTTTTGAATAGACAGGAATGTAAACAATAAAAAACGAGAAGGAACGTGTGAGTCGCTTCTGTGGACGCGACTCTACTTATACCCGTACTCAGTCAGTATATACATTTTTGAGCTTATAATTTGTTTTTTTTTTTATACCCGTACTCAAAAAAGAGTTAAGGGGTATATTAGATTTGTGGTAAAAGTGGATGTGTGCAACGCAGAGAAGGAAAAGTTTCCGACCCCATAAAGTATATATATTCTTGATCAGCATCAATAGCCGAGTCGATATAGCCATGTCCGTCTGTCCGTCCGTCCGTCCGTCTGTCCGTCTGTCCGTCTGTCCGTCTGTCCGTCTTGATGAGCGCCTGGATCTCAGAGACTATCAAAGCTAGAGCAACCAAATTTTGTTTCCAGACTCATGTGATATCACACTGCTACAAGTGTATTTCAAAATTTCGCCCCGCCCCCTTCCGCCCCCACAAAGAACGAAAATCTGTGGCAGGCACAGTTTTAAAGATACGATAAAACTAAAAACGCAGTATCGTAGAGAATGACCATATCTACCAGACTGCCGAATCTGAATCAGATCGGATTATAATTATAGCCAGAATGAAGAAATTAATTTTCGTTGCTTCCCCTGCCCCCCTCCCGCAAACGACAACGCAAGTCATTTTCCTTCTCGCTCGCACACTCTGCCGCGTTCAGTGCGCGAGCAACCCCTAGCGGGGGAGATGTAGAATATGAATGGTACATCTAGAATCTACATGTTAGATGTAAAATATACATTGTATATGTAGAATAAGCAGATGTAGCAAAAAAATGTAAAATGTACAATTTTTTTTTTTCTAAAATACAAAAAATCTAAGCTCAATAATGTTATACTGACTACGAAGGTGTATAGAAATATCGTGTCCCCAGAAACGACTCACACGTTCCTTCTCGTTTAGGTTCTACATGTGTCTTGAGGTTTTATATCTAGTTTTCAATCCATTTTATTATCATTACGGCCTTACACCGACCTGGCATGGGTCAATAAGGTCCAGAGAACGGTTCAATATGTTTTGAGTCAATACTCCTCTGACCACTTTCTAAAACTTTGCTCTGGTTGACGGATTTGAAGTTGCTACAATTTATTTGACATTCTCCCATAATTATACCCGTACTCAAAAAAAATGTATTATGGTAAAAGTGGATGTGTGTAACGCAGGAGGAAACGTCGACCCCATAAAGTATATATATTCTTGATCAGCATCAATAGCCGAGTCGATATAGCCATGTCTGTCTGTCCGTCTGTCTGTCTGTCTGTCTGTCTGTCTGTCTGCCGTCTTGTTGAGCCCCTGATCTCAAAGACTGTAAGGTTAGGGCAACCAAATTTGGTTTCCGCACTCAGTGATATCACACTGCTCAAGTGTATTCAAAAGCCCCGCCCCCTTCCGCCCACACAAAGGACGAAAATGTGGCAGGCACATTTTAAAGATACGCTAAAATTAAAAACGCAGTATCGTTGAGAATGACCATATCTACCAGACTGCCAATTTAAACGGATCGGATCATAATTATAGCCAGAATGAAGAAATTAATTTTCAGTCGCTTCCCCTGCCCCCTCCTGACAACGACAACGCAAGTCATTTCCTCTCGCTCGCACACTCTGTCGCGTTCAGTGCGCGAGCAACCCCCCCTAGAGATATGTAGAATCTAAATGGTAAATATAACACTTGTTAGATATAGAATATACATAATATATGTAAGATGTAGATAACAGATGTAGCAAAAAAATGTAAGGTGTAAAATTTTTTTTTAATTCTAAAATTCTAAAAAATTATATGCTCAAAAATATATATATTGACTGAGTACGGGTATAAGTAGAGTCGCGTCCCCAGAAGCGACTCGCACGTTCCTTCTCGTTTTGGTTTGGTTTCCAGACTCATGTGATATTACAATGCTACAAGCCCCCACCGCCTCCACAAAGAACGAAAATCTGTGTCAGACACATTTTTAAAGATACGATAAAACTGAAACGCAGTATCGTAGGGAACGACTATATCTACCAGACTGCTGAATCTGAATTAGATCATAATTAATTTTCAGTTGCTTCCCCCGCAAACTTCAGCCAGAGACACGCTGCTCATTCTCTTTCTCGCTCGCACACTCTGCCTCGTTATGTACGCGAGCACCCTCTAGCTGAGGAGATGTAGAATATACATTGTAGATGTAAATACCAGACGTAGCAAAAAAATGTAAATTGTAAAATTTTTTTTTTTAATTCTCAAAAATGTATATACTGACTGAGTACGGGTATAAGTAGAGTCGCGACTCACACGTTCCTTCTCGTTTAATTTTTGTTAAACGTTTACAGCAGATTTGATGGGTATTTTTTAAGTCATGTAAAACATGAAGATGGAATGCAAATGCAATAGGATTTCTTTAGGGTTCTAGTGCTTACATATTAAGCTTTCCAGAAATGTATTACATGTTATATTTGGAATACTGGAAATGTCCAAAAACACTCTTGAAAGTGGTAAGGTGCGGCACTACTATTTCAATGACCACAGCTGTAAATATGTGAGCTTATGATATACATATGTACATACATGTAGAACGAGAAGGAACATATGAGTCGCTCTGGGGACGCGACTCTACTTATACCCGTACTCAGTCAGTATATACATTTTTTAAATAATAATTATTAAAAAAAAAAATTTACATTTTACATTTTGTCATGTATCACATACATCTACAATGTATATTCCACATCTAACAAGTAGATTGTACATGTACCATTTATATTCTACATCTCCTCCGCTGGGGTCGTCGCGCACTGAACGCGGCAGATGTCGAGCAAGGAGAATCGTAGCGTCAGAGCGCTGAAGAAGGAGAGGGAACCAACGGAAAATTAATTTCTTCTGGCTATATTATGATCCGATCTAGTTCAGATCGGCAGTCTGGTAGATATGGCGTTCTCTGGTACTGCTTTATTTATCGTATCTTTAAAATGCAGGGGCGGAAGAGGGCGAAATTTTGAATGCGCTTATAGCAGTGTGATATCACATGAGTCTGGAAACCAAATTTGGTTTCTCTAGCTCTTATAGTCTCTCAGATCTAGGCGCTCATAAGACGGACAGACGGACAGACGGACAGACGGACGGACGGACAGACAGACGGACATGGCTATGGCTCGGCTATTGATCTGATCAAGAATATATATACTTTATGGGGTCGGAAACGTTTCCTTCTCTGCGTTGCACACATCCACTTTTACCACAAATCTAATATACCCCTTAACTCTTTTTTGAGTACGGGTATAAAAATAAAATATTTTACATTTTAAATTTTTTTGCTACATCTGTCATCTACACCTACAATGTATATTATACATCTACAACGTAGATTTTACATCTTCTCCGCAAAGGTCGCGCACAGCACAGGGCAGAGTGTGTGCGAGCGAGAAAGTAGCGTGAGTAGCGTGGTCGCTAGCTGGAGGAGGTGGGGGAAGCAACTGAAAATTAATTTCTTCATTCTGGATATAATAATGATCCGATCTGATCCAGATTCGGCATCCTGGTAGATATGGTTATTCTCTACGATACTGCGCTTTTATTTTTCCCGTATCTCAAAATTGGATGCCACAGATTTTCGTCCTTTGTGAACGCGGAAGGGGGCGTGGCAAAATTTTGAAACAGACTTGACTCAGTGTGATATCACATGAGTCTGGAAACCAAATTTGGTTTTCTAGCTTTTATAGTCTCTGAGAACTAGGCGTCAAACAAGACGGACGGATAGACAGACAGACATAGACTCGGCTATTGATGCTGATCTAGAATATACATACATATATACTTTATGGGGTCGGAACGTTGTGTCGTTGTCTCTCCTTTAAACTCATCCATTTTTACCGCAAATGGGTTGTCCATGTATTACATAATCACGTTTTCGATGTCTTTTGACCTCCTCCCCCCTCATTCAAGGAACCCCATGATGATTGATTAATGATTACGTAATCATTTTATGTATTTAATTTTCAAATCTCTAGAGATCCGATCCGGATTTTTCAGTTGAATTAACAAATCTCGAGAGTCAAAATCTCTATAGATTTCTGATGCACCGTTGTATGTTTTCGATTTGGTTATTGCTTGTTTCTATTGCGCCGTTGGTGTTCGCTTTTATTATTCATTGATCCAGCTGGTGATAAATGAAGCTGTGAAAGCTCAAAAAGATTACAATTCTTTATATTTTTATGGAATTATTTCGTTCAATAAATATTTTTGTTCCATTATCGTATGTACACTTGTTGCGTCTAAGCCCATAAAAACATAGCAAGCGAAAGTATTGTATGTTTAAAGAAACGCGAAATTGGCAACAATTAAGTTGAAATTCGTTTTTGTAGCTGAAGCAACATAACCTTAAAGGGTTGTACCGGTTTTTTCCCATTCTAAGCTGAGTAATCTAAAATAACTTTCTCCTCTAAAATTTGATTATTTGACATACGATACTTTCGCGAAAATGCGTCGATATGGCCATTTCTGTGAAAGCGAACAAAACAGTCGTACGTATTGCAAGTGGTAGAAAGGTAAAAAAAAAACTGATTTTCAAAATTGTTTTACCTTCATGATAAAACTTTTGACTAGCCCTATAGCTGGTGCTAAGATCGAATTTGAGCAATTCGTTTTTAATATTTTTTGCAAAAAACTAATCCACTCGCACGGGACAATTACACTAGTCAACACGATTTTTCCTCAAGGAACAAAACGAACTTTTTCTTAAAGATTTGGGGCTTAGAAATGGTTTGATGATATTTTTTTTTGTTTTTATGGCAGAACTTTTTTTTAAAGAATTTTTGAAAACTGGTATTTTTTTTAAAGATTTTTTCAGGGGAGCGCGATCAGGTACCAAATGTACTACCCTTGTTCGTTTGCTTTATTCCAATTGGCAGTTGGGCCCGCCACCTTCAAAAAGGTATTTTTTGTTCATTTTCCATATTTTAGGTTTGGTTAACGAATTTTAGCTCCAAAGTCTCTCCATAGATTTTAATGAGCGATACCTTAAACGACGCCAAATTAACGCACCTATACACGAAAAAATTTTTTTTCCTGAGTTTTTAAAGTCAAAATTTCGTAAAAAATACCCCACAAAAATCATCATTTTTGCATTTCAATGCTTTATATTTCCCAGACGGTAAGCTGTAATCACAAAGTGTTTGGCATCAACTTCTAGCTGTTTTAATTATCCTTTCAAAATAGCAAACCAATCTTTACCACCAGACGTACCAGAGGTAAAATGAGTTGGAAAAAACAAGCGCTTCCTCTGAAAAAATCTTTAAAAAAAAATACCAGATTTCAAAAATTCTTCAAAAAAAAGTTCTGCCATAGAAAAAAAACCATAATTCTTGAAAAAATTAGGTTGGAAAAAAAAAATTGGGCCACAAAAGCAGAAGTGGACACGGCAATTTGAAAGGTTAAATTTTATGCAAGTACTAGCAAGCCCTCAGCGGCTTCGCTCGCAGATAATTTTGAAAGGAGATGTGTAAATAAAATCAAATAAAGCTGTTGCAGCCGACAATGCAGCAACAATGCAAATATACCATTTTTCTCGAATATTTTTAGATAGTTGAAAGTTTAGATAACGAAAAAAAGACCCTTTTGAAATTGAAATCATATGTATGTTAATTGGGTACATTAGTTGTCGTTTTATAAATTTAGACTAAAATATCGCAACAGAATTAATTATATGAAAATGTTTTTTTTGTAGACATTTAATTTTTTGGTCTCGGTGGACCTATTTAGAAGAAATGCCCATATGTATTGTATGTACATATGTCCATAATGGTCGTTTCCACTATATGTACTTCAATACCAGTATAGTATGAATATGTCGTAATAGTCTTAAAATACTGCATACTGGGCATTTCAATGGAAAGTCAATAAAAATAGATTTCCACATAAATTCTGATCCGATATATTAACATAGGGGTAGATTAGATTTGTGGTCAAAGTGGATGTGTGTAACGCAGTGAAGGAAACGTTTCCGACCCCATAAAGTATATATATTCTAGATCAGCATAAATAGCAGAGTCTATGTCTGTCTGTCTGTCTGTTAGTTAGTTCTCAGGCACAATAAGAGCTAGAGCAATCAAATTTTGTTTCCAGACTCATGTGATATCACACTGCTACAAGTGTATTTCACTATTTCGGCCGGCCCCTTCTGAGTACGGGTATAAAAGTAAAGTCGCAGCCACCGAACCGACTCACAACGTTCCCCCTCGTTCTTTATAGTATTGATGGTGTATAAATTTAAGCACTTTGCCTATAATTTCATTTACTTTGATGTGAGAACCTATTTAAATTAATTATTATTATCTCCTATTAGTAACATGATTAAGGATCAAATTTCTTCCAAAAAGTCTCTCTCACATATCCCAGAAAACTGGGCCAATATTTTGACTTGTTTTTACTTTTTTTTTGCCCAAATCGGAAATATAAATTTTTCGTTTCTGTGGACAAAGAGACTAATCCGAATAAGAGTGGAAAAGGGAACTGAAATATCATTACCCCGATCGCTGCGCGTACCAAGGAAGGGTCGAACGAAAATTTAAATGGAATTTTTTTCCAATGCAACCGTCTTGGTATTTTATTGACTTATGGTTCTTTGGTTGTGTTTGGTTGCAGGCAATGATCATAATAATACTTAACTGCGATTAAAGCGCGAAGGACAGCAACCCACTCACTTGGGTGTGCCTCTGCCCCTGTCCCTGGCGCTCATAAAGATATCACTATTAATTATTATTAATATTCTTAAAAATATAATACTGCAGGCTGAGCTGAATCAGGGATGGCTTTCAAGAGTTTTCTTTGGTTGCATACAGCATTTAGTCCCGCACTCCTAGAGTATATTGAATTCGTGTGGATGGATCTGCATACATGTGTATGTCTGTATCGTCGAGATATCAGAAGCTCCCAATAACAGCTGGTGGTGCAGTGTTTTTATTTATTGTCCCCCTCTGCCGTCCCCATGTTATGACATCGAAAACTATGAGATCGGCGATTTTAAAGAAATGGAACACCGAAGTAAACAATTATTCATTTTCCTTTGCATTTGTTATTGTCATTGCCATTGCCATTGCCATTGGCATTGGCATCAATGCAAGCGAAGCGTTTATCGGCTTAGTAGAATTTTCGACTATTCAGGAGTTGTTGTTCTTGTACAGATCCGTCTTAGATCCGTCCCCTCGTTGAGAGGCGGCAAGTGGCGATTTCTGGAGAGGAGCGGAGACGCATGTTTTACGCAGTGCCTGCCGCTTTATCAATCTCCACGTCATTGCCGCCGCTGCCACAATCAGAAGCACATCAGAGCAGAAGAAACAAAGGCTGGATAGAGTCTGAGTCTGCGTCTGCGTCCCCCCCGGCTGCCATGAGTTTTTCCAGCGACGAGGTAAACTTTCTGGTTTACCGATACCTGCAGGAGTCGGGCTTCCTGCACTCCTCCTACGTCTTTGGCATTGAGTCGCACATCTCGCGGACCAACATCAATGGGAACCTGGTGCCGCCGGCCGCCCTGCTCTCCATCCTGCAGAAGGGTCTCCTCTACACAGAGGTGGAGTGGAGCGTCGGCGAGGACGGAGAGGTGGGGCGTCTCATTGAAGGCCTCTCCCTGATTGATGCTGTGATGCCGGAGGCCAAGGGGCCCAAGCCGGCGGCGAAAACGGACGAGGACGCAGCCGCAGCCGCAGAAGAAGCCGCGCAGCCATCCAGCAGCACCTCGGAGTCCACCAAGGAGGGGGCCTCCAGTGGGAGTGCTGCATCCACTAGCGGCTCCAGAGGCAACAAAAATCCAAAAGCCATCGAGACGAGCAGCGACGACGCCGTCCCATCCACATCCAAAAAAGCCGCCGCTGTCGCCACTTTCTTTCCAATAAAACCGGAAAAATCAGCCCCAGCCCCAGTCCCAGCCTCAGCTTCGCCTGCAGCTCCAGCCCAGAGTACAGCTCCGAGTGGGACCGGCGCCCCTGAGTCCCTCGACCAAATGGAGATTGATGGGAGCATTGAGATCCCGGAGTCCGAGGCGTGCGCTCTGCGCGGCCACGAGGGCGAGGTGTTCATCTGCGCCTGGAATCCGCATCGGGACCTGCTGGCCAGTGGCTCGGGCGATAGCACTACCCGCCTCTGGGACATGTCCGGATCAACGGCCAGCTCCCATCAGCAGCTGGTGCTGAAGCACTGCATCCAGAAGGACGGGGAAGAGGTGCGGAGCAACAAGGACGTCACGTCCCTGGACTGGAATGGTGAGGGCTCGCTGTTGGCCACTGGTAGCTATGATGGATATGCGCGCATCTGGAACACAGACGGCCGCCTGACCTTGACGCTGTGCCAGCACAAGGGGCCGATCTTTGCCCTCAAGTGGAACAAGTATGGCAACTACATTGTCTCCGCCGGCGTGGACAAGACGACGATCATCTGGGATGCCAGCACGGGGAAGTGCACGCAACAGTTCGCCTTTCATAGTGCCCCGGCCCTGGACGTGGACTGGCAGACGAGTGAGGCCTTCGCCTCGTGCAGCACAGATCAGAGAATATTCGTGTGTCGGCTGGGCGAGGCAGAGCCGATCAAAACGTTCCGTGGCCACACCAACGAGGTGAACGCCATCAAGTGGTGCCCGCAGGGGCAGCTGCTGGCCTCCTGCTCGGACGACTTGACTCTGAAGATCTGGAGCATGAATCGGGATCGGTGCTGCCAGGACCTGTTGGCCCATTCCAAGGAGATCTACACGATCAAGTGGTCACCCACAGGGCCGAGCACGAACAATCCGAACATGAACCTGGTGCTCGCCTCGGCCTCCTTCGACTCGACGGTTCGCCTGTGGGACGTGGAGCGTGGCAGCTGCATCTACACGCTCACCAAGCACACGGAGCCCGTCTACTCGGTGGCCTTCAGTCCCGACGGCAAGCACCTTGCCTCGGGCAGCTTCGACAAGTGCGTGCACATCTGGAGCACCCAGACTGGACAGCTGGTGCACACCTACAAGGGCACCGGCGGCATCTTCGAGGTCTGCTGGAACTCCAGCGGCAACAAGGTGGGCGCCAGTGCCTCCGACGGCGGTGTCTTTGTCCTAGATCTGCGCAAGCTCTGATCCCTTGCCTATGCAACATTTATATTACCTAAACGAGGGGCACATACACTGAGAAGCCCCAGATAAACGCCATATTTGTGAACTATTTTTTTTTTTTGGAAAAAAAACCATTTGAATTATGATATTCGGTTTTTACATTTCCATTAATTTTTATTACATTTCTATTAAAATACGATTTATGAGAAAATATATTTAATGTTCACGGGATATTTCATTGCATCGGTCATCGGTTGAGTGCCTCGAAATTTCATCTTTAATCATCAGAGTTTAAAGATCATAAAAAAATAACCAAACAAAACAAAAATAATAACAACAGATTACTATTATCCATGCTCGTAGATTAGCCATTAAATTTCTAGTTGATCGGTTCAGTGGCTGCTGAAATAATTTGGTCAGCAGTTTTCAAACACACAAATTTTATTCGAGCTGGATAGTTTTGATATTCTTTCGATGCTTTGCTTCAAGTGGTTTAATTCTGCCCCTTTTGGTTGCCGAAAAAGTAGTGTCCACGTGTTTCCCTCTACTTAATATGAACGAATATATAAAAGATTCATCCAAGGACCCGGCATCTCGCTATGGAGTCATTAGATTAAATGGAATTCATAGCATGAGTAGAACCTACTCAAAGCCCAGACTTTTGATCAACCCTCGTATTCTTTGTGGTTCATCTTACAGAAAAATAATCCATTAATGATTGGAAAGTATTCCATGAAATTAATCTCAAATTAAGTCCCATCCCAGAATTGTGCTATTCCTGCTCCCCCTCGTTGATCGTTCCATATCGATAAAGGGGCGGAGTTAAATCATTCCATGTATTCCTGTTGCACGCCCGTAGATTACACAGTGCTACAAAATCAAACATTTTGAATGTACTTTTCAAAGATCCTGACGTGGGTTATGGATCTGGTTGAGTAGTGCAGAACCCCTCCTGGAAGCACTTTAGTGCAATTTATTGCTGACAAGCTTAATCGGAACAGGCTCCCTTCTCTTGGGCGGATCGTTGCTCAGTCGTATCCTTCGGGGACCATCAATGCTTTCCGATGTTTTCAAACCCTTTTCTTTTTTTGTTTGTCTTTTTTTTGTGGGTTATCTGCCTGGTTATCTGTGGCTATCATTGGATCGATAGCTGGTACCCACCATATTGTTTTGCATAATTGCGCCAGGCGGCCGGCGATAAGCGTGCCCCCTTCATCACCATCGCTAGAACCATCAGCGTCTCCACCTCCCAGCCATTATCATCCCCATTAGTCGGGCATTTGGGACATCTGCATGGAACCATGCCCGGTACGTGGCCCTTATCTTATCCGGGCTGGGCTGGCCAGGATCGAAAGGGTTCAGATGCCAGGGTTGGGGTGGATGGCCTGGGCCTATATAAGCCCGGGCCACCTGCTGGCTGCCATTCATTCGGTTCCGGGAATCGATCCACGTACCCCCAAAGTGTAGCCCGCATAAAGTGGTAATTTTTATACCTTCACAGCCCCAGTTCCAGCCCCAGTGCGTTCTGTTCCACTTTTGGCCCAAAACCCAAAAAGACAACGGCTGTAAGAAACGTAAAAGAAAAAAACGCAATTTGCATTTGAAAATCGTGTGAAATTTTCCAAAAGAAGGTCGACAACTTTTTTGTACATTTTCCTTATTTTTTCTTCAGTTCGGTTTTTGTTTGTTTTTTTTTTTTAATTTTTTTTTATCTAATTCTATTTCGTGCCGGAAGTTGCGACGACTGCATTTTTTTTTTCGAGTGCCTTTTTTCGTGTGTACTCGTACACTTTCGGTATTTATTTTGGGTGAGTTGAATCAAAAGTTCTCTAAATTCCTACATGCAACAGCTGCCCCGGCGGCACAGTAAAATTAGTTTAATTGTTCAATTTTAAACGCAACGATTAGACGAGCCCGAGCAGATAAAACCAAAACTAAAACTAAAACTAAAACCCTCGACACGAGGCAGCGAGCACGCACCTGGCGATGATAATGAGGCTCCACGGCCCCCAATGCGGGCTGCAATCCGAGGCAAGGGCTCGAGTATGAGCCCCCACTTAGGGGGAGAGCGCATATATTATTTATTCGGTAATTTTAGAATATTTCAAATCAAAGAAATTGGCAGCAATCTATTGAGTATTTCATAATTAAATTGCCAATTAAATTAGCTGACAAATAATTAATTTTCTGATCGGATCTTGAATCTTTATTCTATTCTACAAAAAAATGGTGAAGCAGGTACCTATGGTCTCTATTAACGATCTCCATATTGAGCACTGATCGAATATCAAATCGATTTAATCGATAACAGAAACCATTTAGGTTATTCCATTATTGTAATTCTTTAAAGCATATGTACATATTACTTCTAAACCATATTCCAAGTGCTTACTATACAAACATAGGATTAGACCCTTTTTAATGAATTAATTTAGTTTTTGTCCTTCTACCAATCGATTTCTTGACGATTTAATCGATATACTTACACCAGGGAGGAACTGCAGATCGAATACTCTGCTCTCCATGTGTTCAAAAGTCCACATCATATTTATCCGACATCCAACTCCCTGGACATACATATGTACATACATACATACACGTGCATATGTATGCACTTCATCTTGCATAGATTTCATTAGAGCGGAAATGCTGATGGGTCGCTTGGCTGGTTGGGGTCAGTGGGGTGGTGGGGTGATGGGGAAAGGGCTGCTGCTGCTGCTGGGGGTGGATGGGTGGGTGGTTGGACTAGGTACTCCGGTTATAGTATATTTTTGTTTCTTTTTGTTGTTGTTTTTTTTTCGGACACGTCAACAGTCAACAGTCAAAACCGAAACCGAAACCAAAACCAAAACCAAATCGAGTTCCATTTGATAAACGCGGTTTGTTACGCTTGGTCAAACTGTGTCAAATGTGTCCCAGCAGCTGCACTTGTTCCGCTCCCTCTGGTCCTCTGCCCCTTCAACTGCCACGACCTCCTCCTTGTTCCCCCTGTTCATAATTAGCGGGGAGAACTGGGCTGGAATGGACTGGAGTGGGAGTCGGAGGCATCTGGGTAAGGTAAATTTTGCCCATTGGCTATGCCCGTCAGCCATATGAGGCGGGCTGGTCGTTGACGTCAACCCGGCATTAGACTGGAGAAACTTGCAGAACAGAAATTATTTTATCCCTCCTAAGAGTGTCCCCAGGAAGACTATATTGTTGGCTGCAAGGCCAGGCTTTTCATTGGCATCATCCAACTGTGCCACATATCATTCAGAGCTAAACCAAAACCCATTGCCATATTGCGATGGGTTCGAACTTCGAACAGCTTCTGGGCAGTGTGGGAGGTGGAAGGAACGGCCGAAGAATGGTTTTAAATCGAATGATCTGTATGAATTAATAAACAAATGGTTTTGTTAGTCATCCGATCGTGAAACCCCCAATCCATAGCCAGATGCCGTCGGATGAGGGCGTTATTATAGTTGCTTGCTTATCGAATTAATTGGGTTTCGGATGTCACCCCTTCATTGAGTTTGGACACTTGTTACCTACTCATCATTATTTTATGTAGGATTTGTTCTTGCAGTCTGCAAAGGAGCGAGCTTATCGACGGCATGTTTGTTGTTCTACTTTTGTTTTCATTGCATGTCTCCGGCAGTCATCGTATTACTTTTCTTGGTTTTCTATTCATTCACCATTTGTTTATGCTTTGCCTAATTTTCAAGAATTGTCCCCCTCACTCATACGTATCTGAATCATGTCATATCTGAATCAGACTTCATTTCCTTTCCCCTGGTATTCTTTTCATTCGGATTTGGCTGCCCCAGATGCCCATGGATACGTATGTGTATGTGTATGTATATGCATACTCGTATATTTATTATTAATGTAGGTACATTTGTGTACTTAATAATCGCTGTAACAATTGTCGAGACCTCCACTTATGGTCAGCAAAATCATTCAGCTATGATGATGACGATGATGATAATGCACTCATCAAATGTTTCTGGTGGCTTCTGGCCATCAGGCTCGCTGCTCGCTGCTCACCTGAGCACGGCACGAATGAAAATGACAATTTGTTGTTGCTTTTGCTGTGGCTGCTGCTGTGACTGCTGCTGCTGTTGTTGTTGCCACCCACGCCACCCATCGCCCCACTGGGCGGGATTCCCACCAAACAACTGACCCACGGCCAATGAGAAGTCAAACGTTGCATGTCGCTAAGTGCAGCTAGAGTTGCCTCCGACTCTGCTGCTGTCAGAGGAGACCTGCAATTAAAGTACCCACTACGGGAAGATCAGCAGAGTATATTGCGCTGGTTTGGGCGTATGTAACAAGTGGAAGTGGAGACCTCTCAAGTATGTAGAATTCAGACATATTGAGAGAGAATCTTTGGATCCGATAAATGCCTGTCTGTTCTTGCGGATGGTGCGAATAGATCTCATCCGTTTTTGGATCTTTTAATATACATTTATCCCAGTACCAGGTATCTGGTTGCAGCAACACCACGATCGAGTGCTGCTTTGCGCTTGTTATATGTATTTTTGTGACTGTGGCTGCCTCTGATGACTGACATTGTACGGCTGCCGTACGTTTCTATAAACAATCAGCGAAGCGAGCGGACAATTTTTACTAACTGCCACTGGCTCCAGCAACAGCAGCAGCAACAGAAACAGAAACAGCATGGAAAAAGGAAAATGCCAAATGAAAAGCTGCAACAACAATGAGCGAAAGAACGTGGACAGGTCTGAAAACGAATCTTGGCCAAAATCAATTTGCTACCCTGTGAACGGGGACAGGGATAGAGATACAGCGACAAGTACAGAGTGAGAGAGCGAGAGAGAGAGAGAACTAACTAGTCACACACATAACTCACGCACAGATGGCGCTACAGATGTTCTCTCCACCTGCTGCACTTCCACATCCCCACACATCCCCACATCTCCACATCTCCACATTCATTTCCGTTTCCATTTAGATTCGCGTGTTTCTAACGAGCTGCGCTCACTTTAAGGCCTAAATGCGGCACGGGAGGGGAATGGGCTGCGGCTGCGGCTGAGGCTGAGGCTGAATTGGGCTGTTGGCTTACTGGTTGGGTGGTTGTGGCTGTGTCTGTGGCTGTGTCTGTGGCTGTATCTGTGGCTCCACAACCTATTCTCTATTCATTTGGGCGCTGCCTGGGATGCAGCTGCTGTCGAAACAGCTTCTGTCTCTGCAGCTTGTCTCTCTCTCTCTCTCCCCTTCTCTCTGTCTCTCGCTGAGTTGCTCAATTTGCCTCGCGTTTAACCTTCGTGTGTAATTGCATATGTTTGGGCCACCTCCACCTGAGAGTTTCTCGCACTGTAGGTGCTGACATAGCTGACCTGGCAGAGGCGGTCGCTTTGCAGGGGGATTCCGAAGAACTTCAAAGAAGAAAGAACAGGGGAGCATTGCAAAGGCAACTGTAAAACGATTTTCATAGAATGGGAATATATAATGAGTAATAATAATAAAAACTCACAAATTGGAGCAATAAATTAGAAATAAATCCAATCAAAGAGTCATGGAATCAATTAATTATTGAATATAATAGAACGTGGGATGGGTATGGAAAAAACGAAGTTGCAAATATTACAAAAATTCATATATATATATAAATTAGGGAATAATGTGGGGATATTTATGGTAGAACTTTGCTGCCTGATCGCAAGTATCACAAAAATGTTAGCCATTGAAACATGCTTCTGAATGGGTTGTAAAAAACCGGGACAGGGCGTTCAATTCTTAAGTTCTGTTTAATTGTGAATTAAACAACGTCTAAATTGCTTACTTTCCTTTTAAGTAATTTTCTCAGCTTTATCTTGTATGACTGATGAGTGAACTGTAGATGGTGGCAATGAAAATTGAATTTGGATAAATATCCATGAAATGTCAGCAAGTCCTTGGAATTTCGCTGTGTTTTCGCTGTGCAAAAACAAAAGACACAAAAGAAGCAGGAATATGTGAAATACAAACGGAATGGAATTTCTGGCATACTAGTATTATCTCTGTTTTTTTTTTTTTTTTGCTGTTTATTCAAGCGTATTCACGTAATTTTTTAACTGCATTCCAAACCCCTCCAACCAGCCGCCTGTGAATTGTGTTTAAGGTGTCCATTGAGCAGAATCAAAATTGTCACGCAATCTGCTTTGGAAGATTCGAATTTGTCGCTGGTTTTTGTTTTGTTTTTTGTTTTTGTTGTTGTTGTTGTTGTTGCATGCATTCTTTTGGTTGATTTACATCGAAGGTTGGCGGATCTGCTATACGAGTACGTCTCGGGTGTTTCAATTGCAGTTCTAACTCTTTGTCTAACACTTTTTCATGCCGTTTTGTCTCTTTGTGTTTGCTTCACATAGCCTTCCTCTCGGCCACGTTTGGAAACAGCTTATGGCTCTGGGTCGACTGTCTGTCTGTCTGTCTGTCCGTTCGTTCGTCTAGGCAATTACGCAGTGCCACCTCCTACACCCTCCTGCAACGATCGCCTCCCTGCAAATTTTCTCCTGCTGCCCGGCCGACTGGCAACAAATGCTAATAAGCATTAAATTATGAAAAGATTTTGTTCGTTTGCAGGCCAGTCAGGCCATAAATGACGAAATTTAAGCGCCCATATATTTATAGCCCAGACTTTTTGCACTGGAAAACTAAGTGCTAACTGCCCGGGGGAGGCCAGGGGCCAGGGCGCACAGCGCAGAGCGCAGGGCAGCGCTGCCGAAGGGGGGTATGGGGTGTTGGGGGAAGGTGCTGCGTTTTGGCCATTTTTATTGGCAAGTCGCGCAGTTGCATAAACATGGCCAACGAGGCGGCAGCCGACGACAGCAAATGGAAAAATGTTCGCCTGCTCTCTGCTTTTTCGAGTATGTAGCTGTTGTAACACTGACTGTACCATATGCTGATGATGATCTTTCAAGCTTAACAAAACAAACCGCAAAAATAAATATCAATTTTGCATTTTGCAAAACATTCTTCGCATCCATTGGATATTTCCATCACTGTTTTATTACTTTTGATATTCATTTCCCCATTAAAAGCAGAGCCAACAGCAGAGCCATGTCCATCTGGCTGTCCTGCCGGCTATCTACGAGCATCTGGCTTATTTTCACAGAATAAAGTCTGTGTTCTGCGCGATATTGGGGCCGTGTGCTTACCCTCTGCCAGGGTATCTAAAGGTTCGGCCCTGAAAGCAGTGCGCCCTTCCACATAGCTTTTTGTTTCTGCGGTGGCAGCAAATGAAACTAAAAACTAAAAACGAAAAACTCAAAAAACGAACAAAAAAGTGGAACGCCCAAATGGCTCACCGTCCATAAAATCGTCAAACAAATTGAGCGAAGCGAACGTCAACGCACGCAGCGCTTTTCCAGCTTTTCCACACTGCCCTCTGTACCCGTACCCTCGGCCCCACCAATCCACTGAGATTTTCCAATTAGTTATTAACTGAATTGTTGAGCGCGGAGGGTTAGCAGAATGGAGGTTAAACGATGGCCATTCGATGGATAAAATCGTTCAGTAAATACTGGTAGAGATAGAGAAACGGAGATATTACATACGGAATATACATATATAAAATAAATGCTCCATAAATATATTTGATCTGATTGAAGGAGTTGGGGAGTAAATATCCTATCCATAATGTATCTTAATTCTTACCTCTCCTCCACATCTGTCTACCATTCTGGGGAATCGATCGATTTGATTATTTAAAGTTTCATCAATTTTCTTGACAACAGTTCAGATTGGCTTCGGTTAGAAAAGCGATGCAGTTGACCAGGCAGCGGCGAGTGAATGAATTTTGTGGCGAGAGATAAATAAAAATCGAAGTTCCACTTTTTTCACCCCGTATTTTGGGAGATTGTTTGCCATGGCTTCAATGTGAAATGGGATTTGTTTGAATTGTCTTGTGGTGAAGCATTTTCCCCTGGTTCGTGTTTATTTTTTCATTTAGTTATTGTTGAATGTATTTCAGTTGACCCAAAATGGGAACCAACCCATGGGATAGATGTGACTGGAAGAGATAAAGAAAGATAATGTGTATGTTTAGGAGCAGGCTACTAGGAAAATATTGAATACAATTAAAGTTCGAAGGAAGTCGAAGATTTAAAGGGAAAGGAATGTTTCGAGGTTGACGTTGATGTTGAAGATATAAAGAGATAGATCCATATGATATGTACACATGGACAAAAGCAATAGAGCAATATCTAAATCTGGAATTAAATCTTTAAAGGATACAATAAGGATCATAGCTTAATAGCTTTACTTTGGGTCCCTTAACAGACGATTGCATATATCTTAAGCTGCATTCTCACATACATATGGATGTACCTATTCGGGCCCGGCATCCGTACACGTATCCGCATCTGACTCCGTGAGAGAGTGCAGAGAATCTGTGTGAATGTGGAACGCTGTGGAGCGACCGAATTGAAGCGCGTTATTTGAATTCGATTTCTTCTCTGAATTTTAACAGCAACGTGTTAAATGAATGCCAACACAAAACGGGAGAGACTTAGACGCAGACTCAGACCCCTCAGACCCAGACCGAGTCCAAAATCGTCGGCAGTTTGGTCTTCATCTCTAGCGACAACCACCGCCAGGTACCTACATACCTAACACGATCTTCGCTCTCCAAGTGCTATGTACCCAGGCACTGAACCAATACCCCTCGTACCTACATACATACATATGTATGTATGTATCGGCACCTCCATGTCCAAGTCCATGTCCATCTATATCTGTATCTGTATCTCTACCTCTATTCTGTTTGTGTATTCCGCTGCGACTTCTCTTCTTGGTGGCTTTGATCTGCTCCACATCAAGTTGATCTGGCGACGTCGGGCGAGGTTTGCCATTGATCAACGTGCATCCACATCCACATCCGCATTTGTATCTGGTATCTGGTATCTGTATCTCACTTCTCTTCACCTTCATCTCCAATTCCATCTCCGTTTCTATCTCTTTCGCTTTCTTTAACTTATGCACGTATCCCAATGTGTTTTTGGGGCAGCGCAGCCTGTCCCACATATTGATCAAACGTGTGCAAATACAATGTGCGATACAATTTAAATATTTATTATCTTTGCAGTTCGTTAGCATCTTGTACATACATTTGTATGTACATATGCTTCAGGCAGGGGAGCGTACACACTTTTTTCAGTGGGTGCAAGAGGGGGTTTAACCTAGATTCTAATCGAGTGATCTTGCTATAAGAATCGACAGAGTTTCATTGATAGTTACACTAAGCAAATCGGAGTTTAGGTGGCCTAAAGTTTAAATTTGTATGGGTAACGGAGATACGGTGATATATGTCTCGTAATCGGTTTACTTTTGAGGCACACCAAAGGCATGCGCATTTCTGTTAATATAATATAATAAAAAACTCAGGGTTCTCAGGGCTAGAATTTTATATTCATCCACTGCAGTTTTAAGTTGGCTCTTTTTCGATTTACTTCAAGCAATAATGAGAAGTAATGCTAATAAGGCACTTTTGGAACTTCGGTAAAACTTAAGATATAATATATTCCTGAATCCCCTATAAATATTATAAATTTCTATTGTTGTTCGACTTCTATGCTCTATGGGAAATAATGTTGGGGGTCACAAACCCCCTCTAACCCCTCCTCTAGGCTAAGCCTCTGACTGGTTTGGTGTTTTCGGTGGCCTCAATATTGGGATTGGGACTTACTTCTCGTCAAAGGTTTTCATCGAAGGGTTTTCCATTGACATTTTCTCCCCCGAAAAATAAAGAGAAATAAGAGGCAAAAGGAGAAGAAGGAATCAGTAGCCAAAAGATAAAGCACAAAGAGGAAGAGGAATAACTGATTATACAATCGATTTGAACAATTGGCGCCGCCGCGACCATGTCCCTGGCGGGGGGAGTTGTTCAGAAGAAGGGGTCCGTGGTTGGGGCAGTACTTAACGCATGTTAACGCTGACGCCGATTCCATTTGCACGCCTGATTGTTATGGATATGGAGCAAGGAAACTAAAGGTAGAGCTAGCAGCAGAGACAGACAGCGACAGCGACAGAGAGAGAGAGAGAGAGAGAGGCAGTGTTAGTGGTGGAGCCAGTGGCACACGGGGGTGTCAGGTATAGGGGTAGCGAGAGGAAGGCAGCACCAGCAACGATTCGATGTGCATTCGCAACAGAACGAAATGCATTAGAAAAACGTTTGTTCCTACATACCCTTGTCGGGGGTCAGAGTATAATGATTGTGACTAGGCGTGTGTAACACACAGAAGATACATGCATACATATGTACGTATGGCAAATCTGATAATATTCTCTGTACAGTTCCACTAGAATGTTGCATGCGAAGTTTTAAAAAGTGCAATAAAATATTCAAAAAATCGTATGACATCTTCTGGTTGTAGTTGGATCTAGAACCCAAACATCTTGTACTTTTTCAACAAATATTTGAAAAACTATTCCGGAAGATTCTATTACCCTGTTAATGATGAAATTTGATTATATTTCTATGCCATACTGGTTTTTTTCTTTCTGATTTCCTCGTAAAAACAATCCCTTATCGTGCCGAAGGTGTCCGTCCGCTTATGGGAATGTTGTACAGCTATACTTAGACGAATAAACCCCTTAAAGAACTGGGGAATTTGGTTGAACATGCCAGTCATATGAAAAATTGTATGCAAAATGGTACGATGAGTCGTATTAAATTATGTACATATGTACATTCATACATATGTACATACATATGTATATATAGCTGCCAAAGGAAAGATACATAGATCTGGAAGGGTATCCATGCAGAGCTTTGCCCTCGAATATCTTCTTTCTCCCTTGTTTTGTTTTGTTACTGTTACAGTTGCTGTTGCCGCTGTAGTTGTTCTTGTTGTTGTTGTTGTTGGAATTGCTGATAAAAGAAAAGCCCCAAAACTAATTAACGCCTGCAACGTGTTTTCCTGACTCTGCATGTGTATGTGTGTGTGTTGGGTGTGTGTGTGTGTGTGCGGGCCAACTGTTGATTGTGTAAACCAAAAAGGTGCGAAAGGGATGGCCATAGTGTGCATGTATGTATGCCTATGTCTACCTTCATGGAACTGGCTGTATTTTTATCTGCTAATTAAACACAGACGCTCGATTGCGACAACAGCGGTAACAACTACAGCAACAATCAGCGGCCGGCCGGCCGCCCGCTTAAAGCCAACGCGACGTGGCCATATGGAATACACACACATAAGCACACAACACACACATACATAAATGAGCAACGTAACTACACATGTATGCAAGAATGTACAAACATAGATACGCGTATTCCATTACATAGTGCTGACGGGGCAGAAGCAAAGCCAAGCCATGCACCCGTACACCTCCTAACTACATGACGATGTAGTTGGCCATGTCGATCTACGTGTAAGTTTGAGGCGAGGATAACTAACTCCTGCCGGACCCTTTACATCATCTTCGTCTTCTGCTCACACACAGAAACACCTACCGCGTAGTGTATGTTTGTGTTTTGCTCTTAAAAGTAGCCATCTGTACGCTCTCTCTCTCTCTCTCTCTCTATTACTCTTATTTAAAATTAAATTTACATGCAGTGCTGCGTCAACAGCACCAGGGTGTACCAAATAGAGGTACGGTACACCCTTTTATTTGGGTACTTCCGCTTCCTGCCATTATTTGGTGTTACGCGTTCCTAACTTTAAGCATCTACGCAAAGAGCAAACCATATGCACATTGGCACCGCCGAGTGGCAGTGGAGGCCGGTCCCTCGAACTGACTTACCTTTTATTGAATATACCTTGGGCAAACGCAGTCGTCCCCACTGCCGCCGCTGCGGAGAGCACATACAGCTCGCCGCTGAGAACAAACAAAGTGAGCAAAATGAGCAAATAAAGCGAACGTTGTCGTCTGCATCATTACACACACAACACACAAACACACACACACACAACACACAAACACACAAACACACACACACATGCATAGAAAACATTAACAGTTCTGAAAAAAATAAATAAGGGGAAAAAATGAAAGAAAATAAATAAAAGCAACAACAAACGTCGCTTAATTTCAAGTTAAATAGCCGACGCGCATTATTTGAGTTTTGAAATGGAGAGCAAGTCGAAGTTGGTTACACTACCGACATGCACATGTGTGTGCTTAGGGTATGTACATACCAACATACATACATACACACTAAATGGCGTGGCTATGATGGATGTCTTTCCATTTACCTAATCTCACTCAACCTCTACCTCGTTGAGCAGGGGAAAACGATCCTCTCGCACATTGCATCACCTATGTAGGTGAGCTCTCCGTCTTGTCTTCGACACTCGAACTTATTTCATCCCACTCCCCAAAACGATAGCCTGTACTCGGCGCTTGTACAACGACGACAGGAGTCGCCGCCGGCTTCGGGAGCAGCGAGCGATCTTCACCTGCTCTCCTCCTGCTCTCTCCTGCACAACCAAACTTGCTGATTACGCCGCCTCTGCCTCTGCCGCGGCTGCTGCTATGCTATCTCTGTCTCACGCCGGCAACAGCTTCGGCTCTGCGCTTCAGTATCGGTATCGGGCTCGGTTTCGGTGCTAACTTCGGCTATGTGGGTTCTCAGCATTCTGCTATTTTCACCCAACGCCCATTGCACGTTGAGTTCATTCCTCGATCGGTCGCGCAACGGGAAAGTCGTCTCTGGTCAGTCCACCCCTTCTGCTCCCACTGGAAGAGATAGATAAAAAAAAACAAAAAAACAAAAAAAAAAAGAACACTTTCTCATTCCTGTTAACGTTTATTTTTTGGTTAAACTTTTATTTTTTGTGACTGCCTTTGTTTTAATTGCTTACAATTACAACCGCGCGTTGTCGTACATAAAACGCGCAATCATCGCCGTCTTCAAGTGAAAATTAACCGATCTCCATTTTAATTTTACCTTGCCATATTTTTTGCCAATTTTTTTTGCTTGTGAGAATAACTGCAAACTGGAAAAAAAAGAGTTATCGAATGACTAGCGCGGGGAAAAAACGAAGGCAAAAATTCTGCCGAGTTGCCAGCCCGAAATTGGAAACGAAAAACGAAAATCGCTGCACATGCTGACAAGTAACTGTAAGTGGAAGGGATGGGCACGGATGGCATCTGCATTAAAGTGCAGACTGTAGACTTTTCTAAGCATTTTAAAGTGCTTAAAATGTGCTCATAATTTACACAAACATGTGTAATGAGTTTTACCCTCAGATCTATCGAAAATCATATTGATTGAATAAGTAATTAATCCAGAAAAAGATGCGATTGTTGTTGTAAGTCTGTTGTACTCAAATTAAAACGTACAAATCGTATGTATTTTGCTTAGTTCGCACACTAAATATATCGGTATAGTTCGAAGAGCGTTCTAAGTTTTGTATTTTTTTTTTTATTTTGTGGCTGTGCCCGTTGCTGCTGCTGTTGCTGTGGACGACTGTGTTTTGGCCCGCCGCCTTGACTTTCGACTTTTGTCTCGACTTGACATCTTCTCTTATTAACTATGTAATTTTCCCTTTTGTTTTATTGCACTGCATACACTAACTTATTATTACTTTTATTATTACTCATTTGTTGGCCCGGCAACAGTATGGGCCAGGGCAGAGGGAGGGACTCGGCTCGGCTCGGCCTCAGACACGGACTCGGAGAGAAGTGCTGTTCATGTCGAATTCGAGCGCTTTGCTAAATTGCAAAAAAAGCGAGATGAGCACGTTTGTTTTATGATGTATGTCGTTGGGGTGATACCCTTCCCTAAAGCTCTGGGCCCTAAGCAGTCGTGCATCTTTTTTTTTTATACCCGATACTCAAAGAGTATAGGGATACAAAATATTAGTCTTGTGTTAGATGTGAGTAACACTTAAAAGGAATCGTTTTTGACCCCATAACGAATCTTGATCAGCATTAATAGCTGGGTGTTCCGTCTGTCCGTCCAGAGAGGCGCCTAGTTCTCAGAGACTATTAGAGCAAGAGAAACAAAATTGTGTATGCAGATCTCCAGATCGGATCGGATCAATATGATAGCCAGAAGGAACAAATCATCCTTTTGCAGGGCTGATGTTGCTGCGAGAAGAGGGAAACAGATTAAATATTCTAATATTTGAATCAAAAAGGACAATAGATGGAGGGACTAAATTAAAATAAGAACAAAACAATTGGTCTTGGTTTCTTTCTTTCTCTCCCTGTTTTTCCCCTCTCTTCCCCATGAAAAGTACGAGCATAATTGAGAGATATATAAATCATAAGCTCACCACGCTTGTTGTGTATGGGTTATAAGAGTAGAGCTGCGAGTCTTGCCGCTCTTTTTGGGTTCGATTTGATTTCATTCGATTCGGAATTCCTTAGATAAGGATATGGGAACTTTCCACAGGTCGCGTTTCGTATCAATCCCTAATTGACTTACTTGTTATCGCCTTTGGCTTTCCGCTATCAAACCATTGGTCACTTTCCAATATACGAGTATTCCCAGCAGACTTCCTGCAGGGAGCGGGTTTCCACAGAGAAATGTTCCAAGGTTCTTATTTCACTCTCCTGCTCGACATTATACATACATATGTACATATGTATTTTTTCTCCGTTCCAAGGGCACTCGGGGTTCCGTGTGGGGAGCCACCAGCTTGGCTTCACATTCCCATCGTTGGCTTGGATCCACTCTGCGAGCCTCGTCTCCGATTAGCTTTCAACAAAATTCTCGGTATCGCTGACCCTCTGTTTGAATTTCGTCTGAGAATAAAGTAAACCAAATACCCCAGAAAGAACGATGGCGACACAAACCCCAATACAATCCATTTCAACCCAACCCAACCCAACCCAAGCCCAGCACATTCTGATAGATTCAGTTACGGCTCAGAATCAGCGTGCTGCTCCCCTGGGTCCCATTACCACATCCTCCCATAGACCAAGCTCACATCCATACCCTGTACGTAACAGGGTATTGTTCCGTCGGAAAATGTAGGGGGGGTGGGGGATTCAACAACATCCATCCAAGACCGAGCCGAGAACAGAGAGGAGCTCTCTCTCAGGAGGTAACAAGCGTTCAATGTTTATTTATAAACAAAAAAAATATGAAATCCCAAAGCCGTTGCCATCCCAGGGATTGAGGGAGCTGCGATCGAGGGGTGCTCGAGCACCACCACCCTATGGATATACTCGTAATTGGTATGTGTCTGTGTGTGTGTGTGTGTGGTATGAGGAGCAGACCGATTAGATAAGAAGTCACTCGGCTCGGAACACAGAGTGGAGAGGCGGTCGTGACTAAAGCGATCTCAATTCAATATTGATCGAGTAAGCCGCAATGTTTGTTTATACATAAGTATTTCCTGATAAGGGCCCCCAGGTCTTTCCCCCGCGCCATATGCTGCTAAGAGTCTGACTCTGATTTCTATGTACTATGTATATGTATGTACATATGTCGTGTATTACCCGAAAATACCCCATTCTGTTGTACATATTTTGTGCGCTATGGGCTATGAGTTGTGGGTCTCATCTTGGAAACTATTTGTTTTCCCCACTTCCGGTTTATAGGCGCCTCCTCCAACCCATGCTATCTCCTCCATGCAACAGCAACCTGTTGAGCCGAAACTCCACCTCTTACCCACTCAGCATTATCATTTTATCTTATCGTCTTTTGGCTTTTTGGGCCTGGTCTTGGTTTGGTTTATGGTATATGGTTGCCATTGGGCATGGACTGTTGTACATATCTCCCCATCCCACGAGCCCATACATCCCCTCTATACAGCCGAAAGACACACACTATAGCACAGAGCTATCATATCGAACCCGTTTGTGGGGGCGGAAGGTTGATCGATTGTTTGGCCCAGCCTGGGCCTAGAGCGTGAGGGAGAGAGAGAGATCGCTGGCCTAAAAACTGGAGTGCGGAGTCCGTTGCCGGGCAGCATGAATAATTTCACTAATATACGTATTTCTTTTATGAGACACAAGTGTTTTCACGCAAATAGCTACATATGTACATACGTATGAGCCGTTCTCCGATAGCCCAGTTTGTACAAGTGTCTTTTTTCGATTATACCCTAACCCCAGCAGAGGGTATAATTACACAGTCGTCGTGAGGAGACCGTCGACTGTACAAACTGTAGACCGTAGACTAAACAAATGTCTGGTGGAAAAACAAACCAAACCAATTCGAAGTCGAAGTCTGTCTCTCTCTCTCTGGCTCTCCGATTTCAACGCTTTCCTTGTTTGAGTTTCAGATGTGTTACTGGTAAACTTGTAATGGGAGTTGGGACTTGGGACTTGGGCGTGAATAGAATCCAATTATTGTGTGAGCAGTGCTCCTCCCCGACTGTTCCCTGAACAAATTAAAGATAACCAACCAGAAAGAGAGTTTAGCGGCTCTTCTCTGTCAAGTTTTAGCTTGGGGAAATATGTGAAATAGGAACAGCAAGGAAATAATTACTAAAATATGAAGAAAACTTATAGATGGTATAGATGATTCCTCCCTGATTCGATTCCTCGCCAGCCATCCTTATCATTCATTCTCAAGAAACTGAAATTCATATTTATCTCTCTCCTGTGACCAGGCACGCCCCTAGATACAAGTATGAATCATCGGCATATGTATATGTATATGCATATGCATATGTATGTATCGCTTTGGCTACACACAGACACAGTTTGAGTCAATTTTAATTAACCATTTGCCATTTTTCAAATATTTATTTCGTGGCCCGTTTCCCGTTGGTGGTTTTTGTTTTGCTGTTTTATTTTTTTCCACGTTTTTTTACGGCCTCTACAGCCATTTTGTTGGCTGTTAGCCCGCTTAGCGGTCTCGTCATGGGTTTTATGGGGATTTCGTTGCGGGGACCTTATCGCAGGGGCTGTCAGCAGCGGCAGCAGCAGAGGCAGCAACGTCAGCGGGCTGTGCTCTGTCGCCGCCATCTTTGCTCAACTCATCCATAAACTCATTAACGCGCGAATGTCTCACGCGCTGCCATCGCCCCACCTGCTTTGCCCCGCCCTTAGCCATTAGCGTCTGCCAATTGACCTGGTTTGCTGATGAGCTAGCCAAGCTCCAGTAGGGTGGGCGGGGGCAGGCCCAGGCCCAGGCGCAGGCAGGATGTGGGGGCCACCTATCGGGCGACGCATGCGCAACAGTATGGCTTGGGTTCGGACTTCGACTGCATCCTCCTCTTAAGTATTCCCCATGTTCCAAGCATTCCACATATATTCCACATCCATTCCAATCGTTCCAGTCAGTAGGCGCGGGTACAGTTGTGCTGCAATTAACTAAGGTATTTTTATTTATGATAATACTTGCTGAAAACTGTTGCATTCCAATTGTTAACGTGGAAAACGCGGACAAAGACCGGGGCTTAGAGTTTCCAAGGGAAAATCGATGCTTTGGGTTGGGCTAGGTGTGTAAATATCTGAAGCAAAGAACATTGAAGATTGTTCCATTCCATTCTGTTTCTAAGGGCTAATACTAGTCCCGTTTCTCATCCGTCCTTTTTCATTGATTTAATCAACAGAAACAACCGCAGCGGAAGACCGCTGAGGATCAGAATGTGGAGGACAGCTGGGAGTGCTGGGACGATGGCGGCGACGGATCCGATGGACAGGGAGACGCCGCAGCAGCCGGAACAGCTGGAGCCGCCTCGGGATCTGGACTCGTGGACATAGCCCTGGGAAACAGCGATGTGTACCGCCTGAACAATCGCATCGCGGAGCTGGAGCAGCTCAACGGACAGTTGAACGCCTCGCTGGAGGAGCTGGACGCCCAGCACGAGCTGGCCATGCGGGATGTGCTGGGGCGCAAGGATCAGCTGCAGGTGCAGGTGGGCGAGCTGAGGCAGCTGCAGGCGGACCGCATGGTCGAGCACGAGATGGCCATTGCCCGGCAGCAGAAGCAGCTGGAGGAGCACAGCAGGGCGGAGAGCGCCCTGGCTGCGGTCAGGGAGGAGTTGCAGCAGCAACTGGAGCAGCAGGCGTTGGAGCTGAAGCGCGGCGTGCTGGAGCTGGCCGAGATGCAGGAGCTGCTGGAAAAGCGGGGTGCGGACAACAATGAGCTCATCGATCGCGTTCGCCTGGCCGATGCGGAGCGGGAGAAGCTGCTCAAGGAGCTGGACGACCTCAAGCTGGCCAAGGAGAAGAAGACCTCCGAGTCGTCCTCTAACAGCTCCTCCACCTCCACCAAGCACAGTGAGGACGAGTTCATTGTGGTGCGACAGGCGGATGCCGCTTCCGGCTCTGGCTCCGATCCAGACCCCGATCCGGACCCCACGCAGCCGCCGTCAAAGGAGAAGCTGCGCGACAAGCTTGTGGCCCTCGAGTCGCGCATCGCGGAGCTCAGTCTGGCCAACAGTCAGCTGCAGGACGCCCAGCTGGAAAAGGAGCTCTCTGCCAGCCTGCTGATCGATCAGCTGGCCGAGTTGGAGACCCGCCTCCGCATCAGCGAAGGCGAGAAGGAGCATCTGCAGCTGGAGCTGCAATTCAAGCTACAACAGCTCACCATGCAGAACCAGGAGCTGAAGCTGAACGCCGAGGCGGAGCAGGAGACGCACTCGCACGACTTCGAGCAGCAGCTGGACGCCCTGCGCGCCGACAATCGGCGGCTGCGCCAGGAGCTGGACGCCAGCATAGCACAGGCCAAGTTCCGTCAGGCCATTGCCGAGGAGAAACAGGAGATAACCGACCTGGACGACGCCGAGGACGACCTGGAAAAGCTTCGTTCCCTACTGCAGGCCCAGATCGAGGACCGCCTGTCCACGGCCGCTCCCCAGCACAGCCTGGAGCGGGCTTACCGGGTCCTGAGTGAGCGCTGGCAGCGCCTCGACGCTGCCGAGCAGCGACTTGGGGAGCTGCAGGACCAGCAGCGGATCAGCGAGCACGAGAAGAAGACCCTGGAGGCAGACATATCGCAGTACATCCTGCAGTGCGACGAGCTGATGAAGAACAACGAGCTCCTGCTCAACGAACTGGCCAAGTTCAAGCGCAACAAGCTGGAGACCATCGAGGAGCACCACGAGGAGACCATCGTCCAGCTGGAGGGCCAGCTGGAGGAGACTAGGCAGCGCCTTGAAACGGCGCACGAAGCCCAGAAGCGGCTCCAATCGAAGCTGGATGCGGAGGCGTCCCAGGCGGAGAAAAAGAAGGCCAATGAAAAGGATCGAGGCCAGAAGGAGCAGCAGCTGAAGGAGTGCCAGACCAGGCTTGCGCAGAAGGATTCGCAGCTGGAAGGGGATGAAGAGCTGCACGCTGTCCAGGAGCAGCACAAGTCGCAGCTGGCTACGCTTGAAGATCAGATCCAGGCCAAGGATGCGCAGCTGGCGAAACAAAGCGAGCATTTGAAGCAGCTCCAAGAGCAGATCCAGGCCAAGGACGAGCAGCTGAGCAAGATCCAGCAGCTGGGAGAGAAGGAGAATGAGCAGATCATTGATCTGGAGAGGCTCACGGAACAGATCCAGGCCAAGGACGAGCAGCTGGAGAAGCAGGCCGCTGATCTTGAGCAGCTCAAAAAACAGCTGAGCACTGTCCAGCTGAGCGAGGATAAGTGGAAGCATCTGCTCCAGCAGACCAACGACAGCCACGCCCAGGAGAAGGGAGACCTGATCCAGGCGCTCCAGCAGAAGCACGCGGAGAACACCCAGTACTATGGGGAGATCCAGCGGCTGCAGCTCGTCGAGCAGCAGGTCGGTGAGCTGGTGCGCGAGCGCGAGAAGCTGCAGGACCAGGTGAGGAGAGTGCAGGAGCTCAAGGAGAAGTGCGACATGCGCATCACGAATCTGTTGACGGAGCAGAGCAGCCAGGCCCAGGCGGCGCAGGAGGCCCACGAGCAGCAGGCGAGCGTCCAACGCGATTTGGAGCGGCTCCGGGCCCATCTGCTCGAGGTGGAAGAGCTGCATACCCAGGAGACGGTGGAGCTGCAACGCGAGCTAGACGAGTCACGCACCAAGCAGACAGTTCTGCAACAGGAAGTGTCCAAGTCGAGTACAGCCTACACTTCAGCCAGGTAAGGTTACGTTGGAAAAGGGATTGGGACTTGGTTTGGTCTGGTTTGGTTTGGGATCGGGGTCACCTTGGGATGACATTTGGAATGCTAATTGCAATATGTTATGGTACATAGTACGACACGATAAGCGACACGAAGCGTGACAGAGTCCGCAGATGGCACCGCAAACACCTCACTAATTGCATTCACCATGCCACACCATCCACCTATGTATTTCCACCTGTTTCCAACTGTTTTCCAACTGTTTCCACCGCTTCACATTAGGGCGTACAAATTGCCGACGACTATAGCTTCCGCTATTGATTGTACACGCTGTTGCAATCAATTTGAGTCGCTGCCACCTTATATAAAACGCCCTTATGCCAGGGGAACAGACCTCAAGCTAATGCCGAACGTGGCATCAAGTGGAGATGAAGCGGAGTTATCGGTCGTTTCCACTAGTCGCTTCAGTGTTCACTGTTTCCATTCGAACAGTGAGAGCTACAGAGGAGAGCCAGAGTTGCAAAAATATGATCCGTGGCCATAAGCCAGTGGAAACACAGTAGAAAGAGATGGACGTGAGAGGATGATACGAGGTTGCCCTGCATAAGCAAAGGTTATTATGGGATGGGTAGAGATTAATTGTGCGAAGGATTGGGAGATAAGAGGCGACCTCGTCTCACCATTAACCCACCCGCAACTCACTTCTTTCGACCTCTTTAATCCACACAGCATTAGGGCGAATCAACAGGCGGAGACGCTGCAGGTGCAGCATGCCCTGCTTCAGCAGCAACGGGACGAACTGCTCGCCAAATTGGGGCAGTGCGAGGATCGCGAGATGAAGCAACAGGCGGCACTGACCAATCTGCAGTGTGCCCTGGAGCAGTTCCAGAATGGTAAGTACACTTGGCCTCGGCCCCCACCCAGGAGCATAGCATAACCCGCTAGCCATCGCAGACAAGGAGCACGACATTGAGATGGCCACCCAGCGCATCCGCCGCGAGATGCAGGCCCACCTGGACAGGCAGGATCAGCTGCAGACGGAGATGGAGGCCATGCAGCAGCAGCTGGCGGAGGCCAATCAGGGATTACGGGCGGCGGCGCGCCTCTCCGACCAGTTGGAGGCGGGACAGCAGACGATCGCCGTGCTCAGGGATGAAGGTGAGTGAGCTGGCGGGCCCTCCAGGCTGCCGAGGTACAGATCTTGACTAACCCACCAGCCACAAAAGGAACCCACATGTACCTAACCGTAGTCCCAACCCTAACCCATGGTGTCGCCCCAAACCCCCTAAACATTACGAGCCGCCCCACTCCGCCCCTCGATCACGCATCCCAAACTGCACTGCAAGAAAATACCGCTAAATGTTGACTGCCTATCGAGTGAATGAATAAGAGCATGTGAAAGAAAATAAGAGAGAGAGAATGCCAGGGAGAGATAAAGAGAGTGTGTGGGAGAGAGAGAGATGCCAGAGAAAGCGACGTCACTATTCACCTCACGATTCTCAAAGGTAAATATCAGCTGGTAATTCTGGGAGCTAAGCAAGATATGAAACACTCGGAATTTCAGTTGGTATCGACTTTTTTGAATTGCATTTTATCACCAAAGCGCAAAGAAAACACACAAACCAAAGGAAAGAAAAGAAAAGAAAAAAAGAACCAAAAAAATATCACAATTAAAAACAAAAACAAAAAAAATCGCTAATTCGCACCTACGGCACGTGGCAAAAACTGTATTGGCTGTAACTTCAAGTTGCTCACCTCAGCATCAGGTAAACTACAACATTTTGCTTTCTCCCTGCGTCTACAACTATACAACTATGCACCCCAAAAAACCCCCCCCAAAATGCACACCTAACATACTCACTCTCCCCTCGCCTTACTTTCCCCATTCCCCAACCGCGCACCACATCAGACCACATACACACACATATACAGACTGCGTTCCGTCTGTTTGTCTTTATAATGCATTACTCCCCACCCCCCTAGTTGCCAAAAAAAAACAAAAAAACCCTGCAAAATAAACACTCCAAACTGGTGCTGGTATCACAGTATCACACCACCTCCAGCAATCACACAATCCAATTCAATTCAATCCTAATTTAAGGCGCCTAGAAAGTATGTAGTAATATTCGTAAAGCCTCAATATTCAGTTGCTTCATTTGTGATTATTAGCTTTGATTCTTGTTGTATTGTTGTTGTTGTTGGGAAGTACGGTGTCGTGTAAAGAAAGAAATTGAGAATGCCAGAAAAATAAAAAATAAATATATTTAACGTACTATTTAGTATATTTTGGTATTTGTTCAGAATTATTTTGATTTTTGGTATTAAAATTTCTTTCTTCCGTACACGTACACGAAGCCTTCTCCGGTAGCCGTAACACCACACAGCTCTTCCTTGCTTTCCTTGCTGTGCCCCCTTATTTCCTACCCTGTACCGAGACTTTTCTCGAATTTTGTGTTTTTATTTCGATTTGTATACTTTGTTGCTTACTGACTTTTATGATTTAATGCATTTTTAATTTTTGTTTATTTGAATTGCTTTTGATATAATTTGATTGTGATGTGATTGTGATTATGATTATGATTGTGTTGTACCAAATACTCGTATGACTGCATACGACCGTTGGAACACAAGAGAAAAGAACAAGAGGAGAACAGAAAAGAAAAGATAACCGTAAAAACCGTAATCAGTTCGTAAATCGTATTATCCGTAACTCGTAAACCGTAACCCGTATCCGTTCCACAAAAAAAAAAAATAACAAAAGAAAAAAGAAAAAAAAAGAGCCGCTGAAGCTTTCAAAAGCCAACTGTATCTGCAGCATTGAATAATCTCAATTTGTAAATGTGAGCGATTTGAGGCATTTGACACACTCACTTTGCAATTGGAGATTGCTCGAGACTGCGGCATATGCCACATTATGTACACCACACACCTATACAGCCTACAATAAATAGCCTATAGTCTATAGCATTTAGCATATAGCATATACCCCTTTTGCATGTCTATATATATTTGTATATACATATATTTATAAGATTACGAGTATATATGGATAGAAGTACTACTGCTTCACTTACCTTCCTACCTATTGCTCTCTGTTTTCGCCCGCCTAGCTGAATTTTGATTTGTTTCCGTTGTCGTATCGTATTCTCGTTTAATCGTTTTATATCGTATTCTCGTATTCGTTTTGATTTCGTTATCGTTTATTGATTTGCATTTTGCGTTTTGCATTGGAGAGTAGTTCGGCCAGTCAGCCAGCCCCCACCCCCAATGTCCAGGGAACGTACTATGTACCTTTACGAGTAGCAATCAACCCATCAATACAGCCAGCTAGCCAGCCAGCCATACAGACAGCACCAAAGCCACTCGCAGTCGCCATTTTCGCTAACCATTCGCGACGCGTTCCCAGGATCCAGCAGCGTCTGTACGGTTGAGTATTACATCAGGTACTGGTGTGCTTTAAATCCAACAACCAGTACTTATGTTATACTACGCCGTGCACTGATCGCACTAACCGCATGCCAAGCCCACGCCAAAGCCAAAGTCCAAAACCCAGCTCCAAACCCAGGCGCGCGCGCTTTATCAACGGATTTGTAGCCCAAAGATTGAATAATTAACCGAAAACCATATCCACGTAATTATAGAACCGCACTAATATGCCCGACTGTTCGTATATTTTGCTAGTGGAGAGCCTAAAGGAGGCGAACGACCAGCTGGAGCAGAGGCTAAACAGCAGCGAGAGCAGCCAGACGGACAAGATCGACAAGAGCCTGATCAAGAGCCTGCTGATCGGCTATGTTGTGAGCGGCCATGCTGGAGACAAGCAGCAGGTGCTGCGCCTGATATCTTCCGTGCTGGACTTCACCGCTCAGGAGTCGGACAAGGTGGGTCTAAATAAGCAGCAGAGCAGCTGGCTGGGAGCCATACTCGGCGGAGGACCAGCGTCGGGGAGCTCAGGTGTGTACACATGGTGGAATATCTTTGAAGGATCCATATCCATATCTTATTTAATTCTTTCTTTTGCAGCCCCTGGTCGCGGGAATGAGAATCTAGTGCAGGCATTTGTGCAGTTCCTCGAGCAGGAGTCGCAGCCACAGACAGCGGCCCAGATGAGACCGACCCTCCTTAGTATGACTGGTCAGGTGGACACGGGGCCATCGCCGCCGCACCCGCATCCGCAACCAACGCAGGCGGCAGCAGAGTATTCTGCCGCAGCAGTGCCTGCGGGTCAGGATATCGGATCAGCGCCGCCACCTTCTCCTCCAGCATCAGGAATGGGAGCGGGTGCAACACATTCGCTGACAATAAGCTCCAATGAATTTGCACCCTCACGCAACTCCAGCTCGATATTAAAGGATATTCTCAGCGACTCTTGATTCTTGTAGAAAGCCAGACTATATGGCTTACCCTGCGCCTTTGTTTTTGAATAATTTTAACATATTTTTTTTCTATATATTTAAATTGTATGCGTGAAATCTGTAACCCAAACAAATACCCATGTTTATATCGACATACATATATCTCCGTATATGTTTTTACATAAATACCTATAAACAAATATATATAGGAAAAATATATTTATAGTTATCAGTCCCCCCCCAATTGTGCAATGTCTGTGTATATGTGCACCATTAGCAATTTGTAAATATGTAATATCCAACATGTATATTCCTTGGCAGCGTAGGGCATGCCGATGCCTCCCGCCTGCCATGGACACGCCTTCACAGGGGCCTTGCTAACAATCCTAGCCTAGCCGCCAATCAATAAACGAATCAACAACTAAAAAATGAGCTTTATTGAAGATTTTACTGAAGGGAATATGTTTTTTGGCTTATTCAATGGGTCTGTATACTAGCGCACTTACGTATGGGGGCGCTGATGTCCCATACAAATTTCGCATAAGTGAACAGCCACATTTGAATGGCACTAGGTGTGAGGCTGAAAATAAACCACACTGGAAAATTTATTTTCTTTATTCTGGCTTCAACAATGGCCTAATCATCATAGTTTCCTCAACCTGGTAACTGATAACACTACTCGAAAAAATATTATCAAATTTGAATTTGAAAGCTTAATATCTTCGGGACGTTAAGCTGCAGCTACAAAGTGTCTGGTCGGATTTGTAGCTGCATTTGTCAGCTTTTCAGAACTGCAAAGTTCTATGAAACCAGATATAGATATTTAAGTTATGTGAAAAATAGAAGCACTACCTCTGAAAAAAAACATGAAAAAAATAAGATTAAAAAAAATTAAAGACGAGAAGGAACGTGTGAATCGCTTCTGGGGACGCGACTCTACTTATACCCGTACTCAGTCAGTATATACATTTTTGAGCTTATGATTTTTTAGAATTTTAGAATTGAATAAAAAAATTTTACATATTAAATTTTTTTTGCTACATCTGTTATCTACATATAGATCTACAATGTATATTTTACATCTAACATGTATATTATACATGTACCATTTAGATTCTACATCTCCTCCGCTAGTGGGCGCTCGCATACATAACGAGGCAGAGTGAGCGATTGAGAAAGAGAATGAGTAGCGGGTCTTTTGCTGAAGGAGGCGGGGGAAGAAACTGAAAATTAATTTCTTCATTCTATGGCTATAAATTTGATCCGATCTGATTCAGATTCGGCAATCTGGTAGATATGGTCATTCTCTACGATTCTGCGCTTTAACTTTTATTGTATCTCTAAAATTGTAGCTTGCCACATATTTTCGTCCTTTGTTGTGGCGGAAGGGGGCGGGGCGAAATTTGGAAATACACTTGTTGCATTGTGATATCACATGAGTCTGAAAACCCTAGCTCTTATAGTCTCTGAGATCTTGGCGCTCATCGAGACGGATAGACAGACATGGCTACATCGACTCGGCTATTGATGCTGATCAAGAATATATATACTTTATGGGGTCGGAAACGTTTCCTTCTCTGCGTTGCACACATCCATTTTTACCACAAACACAATATACCCCTTAACTCTTTTCTGAGTACGGGTATAAAAAGCCATCTGGAGGTTGACGTGGCATCACTGCTGCAGACGGAACAAATTTTTCATTCCATTCTTAAAGCCTAGTATGTACTCAGACGCGCTAAATTTTCCGTCGACCGAATCAGGGATGATAATTGTATGGAAACGATAATAAGACATGCCGAGACCGCTACCCAGTTCGGAAAAAAGACAAGCCGATAGACACTAGAAAAGCAACCGATGGTAATTATTCTATCTTTCGTCGTCCAAACACAAACACACACACATTAAAAATGGAATGAAAACAAGTGCAAGCCAGCTACAAAAGTTTAATAATGAACACAAATTAAATTTAATTTATTCAGTCGAATGAATACAGATTATATGAATATTAGTATTTATGGATGTTATACCCGGTACTCGTTTTTTTAATTTATAAGGAGATAAGAAGCATGTTGATTACATTTCTGTCTCACAGGATCGGATCTATCTAATATTGCGGTGTGCATTGTCGTCCTCCAGCTCCACGGCACCCACAAACAAGAAATTTCTGCTTGCTTAAATACATTTGTTATTTTATAGCCTTTTTACACAGACATGAGTTACCCATCGATAGTAAACTCAATAACTCAGAAGTGGCGTCTACACTGGAACAAACTCGAGATAGCACGTTCTGCGTGTTTTTGACAAAATTTTATACATAAACCAAATTATTAATATAAGGCCTGTCTCCGGCACCGCGGAAAATTCCTTCCAATTCATGCACTATGACGATGATGTAATTGTGTTTCTATTCTATTCTACATAAATCATAAGCTCACTAATTTATATACCGACTGAGTACGGGTATGAAAGTAGAGTCGCGTCCGAAGAAGCGACTCACACGTTCCTTCTCGTTTTATATGAGTTGGACAGGAATTTTTCGATTCGGCGGGGCTGGATGCTATGCTTTAAGTTGAAAATTTGTTTATTGTGAAAATATGTGTTGAACTCTTATTCAGTTATTAATTTAACAAGCCCCATTGTGCTGCGCTGTACATACATATGTATGTATAGTTGTATGTCCTTGACCCGCGGAAAATAAAACGAAGTATATTTTAAGTACACGCAATATAATATTGCTGCCTTTTACTAATTTTTATTTTTGATTTCTACACATCACACTTAGTAGGTTTGCCTATAACATTTCGATAAACTCTTTGAAATCTTTTGCTAAAACACACATGGGATTAGGATGCGGCTCGCAGCCAACGCTCCATACACATAAATATACATAAACATATACATATACATAGATACTCATATATGGCTATGGCTGGGTGTATCGTATCCTCCAACAACATTTAAACACTTCAACGAATCGTAAATTGGATCTAAACGATCTGTGGGGGAAAACTAATGCCGCGCTTTCGCTGTCCACGCACATTTAAATATCATTTTCATAATTCGTTTTTGCTTTCTTCGCTTTTGTTTTATAAAAAATATACAATTATAAATATAAATATGTGTATATCATGTATGTATGTACACTTAGACTTTTCAAAAAGACAAGGAAAAAAGTACACTCTTCATTTGTTTTTAGATTTCGATTTCTTTTGATTTTTGTTTTTATGTTTTTGTTTTTGTTTTGTTCAATAAATTAGTAGAAAATACTTGTTTGTTTATATAAAAATACAATAGGGTCCATAGGTTTCATATGAATATACTCCAAAATTGTTCGTAGTATATTTTTTCACTGCTTCCATTTTTTTTTGGTTTTCGTAGCGGAAATTGAGTTGCCTTAAGTTTACAGTTAGCAAGTGTGGCAAAAGTTCATTGCACAAAAAGATGTTTATATAAAAAGAATGATACAAAAGACTTATAAAACGATTGTGTCTGTGTGTGTCTGTGTGTGTGTGTGTGTGGGATAGAGATAGAGAGGTGAAAGCTTTTGGTGGGTGTGCGAGTGCGTGTGTGTGTGTGTGTGTTTACGTGAGTGTCATGGGCAAGCAGTCGAGCAGCCAAGCAGTGCCATTCAGTGCTGCTGCTTCCACTTGCCGTAGCATACTTTTGTGCTGCAGTTGCGCATGGGCTAATTAATCGCGAGACACATTCAAATAACTTGTGAGTAACTACGCATAAATACATATGCTTAAACACACACACAAATATATTTATATATATATCCATTTATGATCAACATGAACAACAACAAGTACATACAGGTAATATCCATTTGTTTGTTTCAAAAAAAAAATGTCATATATATATGTACTTATACATAAGTGTGTACTCCCTACGTAGTACTAGTAGATACATTTATAATAAACATCGAATTTACACATAGTCTGTATGCACACACAGTCCACAACTATTTTGCTAACACGAGTATCGCTCTTCTTCGAAAACATTTAAAGCCACGGATTTCTATTAGTTTAGCTTAGATTAGAGCTGCTCCATCCCTTAAGCAAGCGGTAATTATGCTAGGCGATACGATAAAACAAAAAAAAATAATAAAATAAAATAAAGAACTTACAGACAGGAGGAGGGAAAGAGCATTTACATATGTACATAGTTTGGGGCTGCAGATGTATGATCTGCTTTTGCTTAGGACTAAACAACTTGCTAATACAATTAAATATAATATTATATGGGCGCATCGATGCATATCCGAAGATATCCATCCCATCCCCCTACATCTTCCATCTGACCATCTGACCATCCTCCATCGCTTGAAACATACCCCCAACTCCAGCCTGATCAGCTTGATGCATGATCCCTGACTGCACAATAACAATAATCAATCAATCAATCAATATCAACTTTTAAGGACCGTTTAACCTTATCCGATCCCATCGATTCTATCTATTCAACATACTCGTATTCATATTCATATTCATATTCTTTTAGTTACATACATATCACAAAATCATGGTTTGTCCTTCTTTATCCGGAAACCCCCAACCCGCAGTTCGAAAACCCCCCTGCCCACCCCGCGCTCTTCTATTTGGAAAACCGAACTCCAACACCAACCCTTTCAGCCATTTGTCTGACGTTAGCACCCTTGGACTAAGCTCCTTCTTGGCATGCAGCTGCTCATTCCACACCACACCACACCACTCCTGCTTCTGCTTCTGCTCCTGCTGCTGCTGCTTCCTTGGCCTTGTAGATTCATTAAATGCAATTTTGAAACCATTTTTCAAGTGCTTGCTGCCAAGAGTCGTCCGCGCTCGTCACTGTCTACGGTTCCACTGTCGGGGAGGATGGCGGGCTCGTTAACGTTAGCGTTACCGTGGCCGTTGTCGTCGTCGTGAAGTAGTTGCCGCCATTTGGCTGTATTGACTCCTGCGACTTGAAGAGCGTTGTGGTCTCGCTCGACTGAAACTCCTCCTCCTCATCATCATCATCATCAACCTCAACCTCCTTCTTATCCTGCTCACGCTCATGCTCCTGCTCCTGCTCCCGCTCGCCCCCATTGTCCTTTAGCTGCTGCTGCAGCTGCTGCTTATCCTCATCATCCAGCTGTGCTTGCTGCCTCGCTGGCAGAGCCTCGTCTGGAAGCTGGCTCTTGCGGCGATCCGTGTAGAGAAAGACCTCCATGTGGTCCTTGCCCTTGACATAAACGCTGCCGCGGGGCTCGAAGTCGTAGCGAGCGGTGAGGAACGGCAGACAGTCCTTGCCCACCTGGATGCGGTTCGGCAGACCCGTGGAGTCCATGCGCGAGGCCACGTTGACGGCGTCGCCCCAGATGTCGTAGTACAGCTTGCTGGTGCCTATCACTCCCGCCGTCACATCGCCAATGTTCATGCCGATGCGCAGGATGAGGTTGAACTCGAGCAGATCCTTGTTGAAGGCGTCCACCACCTCCTGCATGGCAATGGAGAACTCCATGAGTGTGTGGATGTGCTCATCGCCGGAGCCTCGGTGCGAGGGATCCAGCCCGCTGGCTGCCATGAATGTGGACCCAATGGTCTTGATCTTCTCGACGGCCCGGAACTCGGGACGGGACAGCAGCTCGTCGAAGTCCCCGATCAGCTCGTTGAGGACGCGCAGGAACTCCTTGCCGCCCAGATAGCTCTCGTCGTACATCTCGTTGAAGTTGACGATGGAGGCGAAGATGATGGCGATGTTGTGGTGGTTCTCCGAGTACTTGGCCGTGTTCTTCAGGTGCTCGGCCACGTGCTTGGGAATGATGTTGTGCAGCAGCATGTCCGCCTGGTTCTTCATGTTCTGGACGCGCACCTTGTCCTGGTTGGCCACCGCGTTCCCGTAGAAGGTCAGCCGATAGCCGATCTCGAATTCGCGATTGAGGAACCACACGAGCACCAGGATGAGCAGCAGGTCCAGGTAGATCTCCACGTGGTAGTCGTGGAACCACTTGATCTCCTCAAAGATGTACGAGGAGCCGGAGCCAGAGCTGCCTGCCTCCTCCTGAGACTGCACCTCCTCCTCCGAGTCGGCCTGGTCGCTGCGGCTCGAGTAGACCATCAGCTGCGACACGGCGATCCCGATGAAGCACAGGGCGGCCATGAAGGCCAGGATGTTGCGCACCCAGCAGTTGAGCTGCGTGAAGTTGCAGAAGTGCACAATGCACACGAAGATGAGGAAGCCGTAGTGGTACTCGAAGGCCTCCAGCTGCTCCAGGTCCAGCAGCAGGAAGTTGGCGATGATCAGCAGCACGGGCATGGCCATCAGCACGGCCAGGCATATGTGCCACGGATACCAGCTGGAGATGGCCTCGAAGATGCGGTCCGCACACGACCGGAACTGGGGCCCCCTCCTGCTGCCGCCCCTCCTCAGGCCCGCCTCAACATCTCCACGTCCACGTCCATCTCCATCCCTATCCCCGTCGATATCCTCGCTGGTGGTCGACTTGGAGCGTAGACGGAAGCGGCTGCTGCTGCTGGCCCTGCCGGTGCCATGCCGGCGACACATCTGCCGCGTGAACAGGAAGAGGGCGAAGACCTGGATGGCCGTGAAGCAGGAGAAGAGCGTCACCCAGAGCCGGAAGCTGGGCGTGACCGTGTTCTGGGTCATCAGGAAGAGGGACACCGAGATGCAGAGGTAGACGGCGATGCCCACGAAGATGTCGATGTAGGTGTTGTAGCGGGGCGTGGCCAGTGTGGGGGGTCCCTCGGTCTCGTTCTCGGCCCCGAACCGGTGCGCCTTGGAGCGGAAGTCGCGCTCCAGCTGGCGCGACTTGAAGTACAGGCTGAAGCCGCGCAGCGGCGGCTTCACCAGGTAGCTCCGCTGCGACCTGGCGTTGTCCCGCACGCAGCGGATCAGCTGGAGGTCCGACTGCTTGCGCAGCTGCTGCAGGCAGGCGGCCAGCGGGTCGCCCATCATCTGGGAGGAGCACGGCTGCATCAGCAGCGGCAGCGCCGGCGGGGGCGGCTGCGGCACCACCATGGGCATCGGGATGCCCAGCGGCAGGGGGAGGGGCATGGGCAGGGGCAGGCCCTGCATGTCATTCAAATTCGAGATGCTCGAGGTGGAGCTGGTGAAGTAGCCGGAGACGCGGTGCTGGCTGATGGCCGACTGGTTGAGGGCGTAGATCTGCTGCTGGATGGAGGAGCGGCGCGAGTTGCTCTTGATGCCCGAATCCTTGCGCGAGGTGGCCGACGGACAGATGCTCGAGTTGCGCGAGTGGCCGCCCCCGGCCAGCGGGGCGGGCAGGCAGCAGGGACTGGGCTGGACGTTGCCACTGGTGCTGGAGGTGCTGGGTTCGATGGTGGCCCCCACCCCAGTCCCAGTCCCAGTCCCAGCCCCAGCCGTACCGACGACCGGTGGCCTGCCTGTGGCCAGGGTGGAGGCCCGTGGCCGGGGCAGGGGCGACTGCTCCATGGGGAGCACAGTGCCGCCGCTGGTGGACTGGCGGCCGCACTGGCTCCGATAGCTGCCGGAGCGGCCGAAGGGCGAGATGTCGCTGCGCGACTGGCTGATGTAGGAGCGCACATCGATGATGTCGTCGTACATGGAGTACTGTCCGGGCGAGCAGCAGCCCGCTCCCCCCGCGCTGGAGCCTGCCATGGCCGAGAGTCCTTCTGGGGAGCGGAGCACGCTGCTGGCCAGGGCCGTGGAGGTGGCCGCGTGGTGCAGCATGGGCCGGGACGCGGACGGTATGTCCAGGGTCTGGTGGCCCAGCCGGCTGCCGCTGTAGGTGGCCTCCACCAGGACGGGCAGCTGCTGATAGACGCAGCCGGTTCCGGTTCCGGTTCCGTTCCCGTTCTGTGCAGCGACATCCATGAAGGCCAGGGTCTCCTCGGGCGGATGGCCATGGGCTAGGGCATGGGGATGATGGAGGTGCTGCAGGTACTGGGGATCCTCCTTCTCTGGCTGAGTTTGGCTGCCGCTGCCGCTGCAGCTGCCGCGACTGGCCAGCTCCTCGAAGCGCTTGAGGAAGCGCGGCACCTTCCACACCATCAGCCGGCTCTTGGCCGGTGGCGGTGGCGGGGGCGGCGGTGGCGGAGGTGGGGGAGTGGGCGAGGACGGCTGATCGTCGGAGTCGAGGCTGCCCGGCAGCGACTTGGTGGTGATGATGATCTTCGGCCGCTCCCGCACCACAATGACTGGCGGTATGCCGCTGGCCGCCGGGTGCATGATGCCGATGCCCCGCTCGATGTCCCGCTCCCGGCTGTGGCTCTGCGACTTCTTGCGCAGCTTCATGCTCAGCGAGGTGAGCCGCGGGCGGATGGACAGCACGGGCGAGGGGTTCAGCGAGTTGGAGAGCTGCCCCACCGGCGAGGCGGGCGGCACTTGCGGCTGCACCGCCGAGATGTTGGTCGCGCTCTGCGACAGGGAGCCGGCATGGCCACCGGGCAGCAGCAGGGAGCTGCCCCCAATGGCATTGGCCGGCATGCTGGGACTCAAGCTGTTCGTTCTGGAGAAGTCGCTTCGGCGCCCCACCACGAAGTAGGTGCGGTGACCTAGGGCGAAAAGGGAAAGGCAGTTAGCAGGGGATCTGAGGATCTGAGGACACCCAAGCACTGAGCACTCACCGAAGACCTCCTCGCCCTCCTCCAGGTAGTAGTTGTCGCCCAGAAAGCTCGACGTCTCCTGCGAGATGTGAACCTGCTCCGGCTTGCCCGAGGACTCCATTCTGAAAGCAAACAATGACCCGTTCTGTGAATACGAGGGACGAAGAACAGGAACAGGAACAACGAATCGCCTCTGCCATTTAAGAGGCTTAGAACTTTTCCATCTTTGTTTGTTGTCACTTAACGAAAACAAATTTTCCTTGGGGGACTAAGACAAGAATGCTTCGACTTGGTTTGATCCTCGAGTGCAGAACGTGTAGTTATCAAAAGCGGAAAAAAGTGGATGCTGTGCGGGATTGGCTAGTGCAATATCGCGTTCAGGAGAGAGAGAGACATCTTTGGACATTAAGCGCAGCAAACAATACTCTTAATATTTAGTGAGCAGTTAGAAGAATTTATCTCGAGTCATACAGGCTCATTCTGAGCCTCGAAAGTTGGTTAAAAGTAAGTAGCAATTAAGAAGTAAGTTAAGCAACAATAAAACCATTTTGAATGTCTTTTGGCTGGTCCCCCACCACGCATTAAGCCACGCAATTAATAAAGGCATCCCATGCTCGAGTGAATGATTATAATAGATACGAGTATATTGTAGGTATATGGCTATAATGGAGCTTAACTCCCGGCTATGTAGCATGTACTCACTTGTTGGCCAGGCTGACGTCGTTGCTCCACACGTCGAACTTGACGCGGCGCGTGCCAACGATGCCGCAGAGAACGGTGCCGGTGTGGACGCCGACCCGCATCTTGACGCCCTCGTGGCGCTGGGCGTCGAAGCAGCGCATGGCATCGATCATGCCGAGACCCATCTCCACGCAGCAGATGGCGTGGTCGGCACGGGGCTCGGGGCAGCCGGAGACGCAGTAGTAGCAGTCGCCCAGGGTGGAGATCTTCTCGCAGCCGCTCAGGGAGCAGAGGTCGTCGAAGCGCTCGAACAGGTCGTTGAGGATCTCGACCAGCTGCTCGGCCGTCTTGGTGGAGGACATGCGAGTGAAGCCGACGATGTCCGCGAACAGGATGCTCACGTTCTCCATGCTGTGCATGTGGAAGGGCCGGAACAGGGACTTCACGTCGTTGGAGGCCCGCGGCCGCATGTAGTGCGACTCGGGGGGCATGCCGCCGGAGTCCAGGCCGGCGCTGCCGCCCTCGTTGAGCAGCATGTCCGCCACCTTGGGCGGCATCACCGAGTGTATCATCTTCTCCTTGAGCTGCTTCTCCATCTCCAGCTGGCGGCGCACGAGCAGATTCTGTCCGACCTTCATGAAGGTGCCCCGCATCCGGACCAGGTTCATCACGAGCACGTGCACGCCCACCAGGTGCACGCTCAGATGGGCCATGATCCGCAGTATGAGTATCTTGTGGCTGGGGTCGCTGCTGTCCACCGCTCCGGCCCCCCCGTGTATGGCACTGCACCCGATGACCATGTGGGAGACGAGCTCGAAGGCGATCGAGTAGAAGATGGCAATGACCGCCCCCACCCACAGCGGCATGGGCAGGGCCGTGTAGATCAGCAGCACGATCTCCAGGCAGATGGCGAAGTGGCCCAGCGGACTGAAGGCCCGGCCCGTGTACGTGAGGAAGGCCAGCGAGGCGCCGCACAGCAGCATCGCGGTGACCGCCGAGGTCAGCGTCCGGTGCTCCCTGTAGAGGTCCCAGTGGGTGAAGCACAGCGCCATGATCGTGATCAGGGACAGCATCGAGAACGAGCTGGAGATGGGCCGCCAGAAGTCCTCCGATCCGCCGTCCACCACGAAGTACAGACACCACGCCAGCGAGCAGAGCAGGATGTACGAGAGGGTGAACCTGCAACGGGGAGAGAGAGCGTAAGAGATCAAGATCAGTAGCTGGCACTCGCCCCTCTCATGGAGGAGTACAGTCAGCCCCCTAGCAAGGGGATGCCGCGGCAAGGGAACACTCGAACAGGGCTGGAGTAGGAGATCGCACAATTTAATGTACGGGCCTTTAAGCTCCGACCTGGCCCAGCGTGCCCATTCCCCTCCACAACCCGTTCATAATCCCATTCCCATTTCCATTTGCATTTGCATTCCCATTTGCCCCCCTAACTTTCCCTTTTGAGCTTCCCTCATTCATCCCAATCATGGCAAAGTTCAGCGAAATGAGAGAGCTAACTGAGAGCGGGGAGTAGGGGCAGCCAGGAGCGGCTTGTGTAGCCCATTTTCCACCTGTCACCATGGAAGCCTCGGCAAGCACTTTGCCAACTGCATTCATTACACAGCTTGTTCCACTCGAGAGAGCAGATGTCAGCCCGGAACAGAGCAGAACAGAGCAGAATAGAGCAGAATAGAGCAGATGGAGCTGCCATTCATCAGATTAGGAATACGAGCAAAACGGCTTGTGGGGCGGGCCACAATCTCTTCTCATTGTTCGGGTCAGGTTTGCCAGCCTAACGAGGGCTGCTCCTCCTACGCCAGGCCAGCGCTATGGAGCAACAGGCTCACGGATTATTCTCCATCAGAGCTACGGAATGGAGAACACGTACACCAGCTCACAGCCCAAGAGCAGCTCGGGACTGAAAATAGCTCAAGAGTCGCGAGGATAAGGGTAATTTCCAGCATAAAGGATTATCTTGGGGTTCAAAGAATGCCAGAAATAAATGGGAACTTCTGAGCGGAATTTCGGAGTGGAAGAAATCCCAGGAAAGCATCCATGGAAGAAGCAGGAAGTGGCAAGAGCTTTGGGAATTAAATGAACTCAAGGAGCGGGAATAAATATCCAGTGGGAAGTATCTCCTCTCAGCTCTGGGATCGGAGGAGACACGCACCAAAAAGGTGCAGAGGTGAACCTCCAAAAAATTGAATCGCAATCCGGTAACTGACATGGAACTAGCCCCATCGGAGCTCCAACCTCAATCGATTGATCCGTTGCCCCGTTGCTCTGCTCCTCTGCCCCTCCGCTCCTCTGTTTCTCTGTTGCTTGAATGTTTTCTCGCCTCACGCGAAACTGCTGCAATTGGCCGCCAAATGGCCCGAAATGGCATTGACCTGCAACGACTGCGACCTCCTGTAGCCCCACTGCTCCTCCTCCGCCCTGGGGCCCAATCATCCAAAGCGAGAAGGAGCCAAATGCTGCCCGCCCCCCCCCCTAGTTCCCACACCCTTTGACCTGTGCGGGGCACACGCCAAGCGAGCATTTATGGCGGCAATTTCGCCATCCTGCGCAGTTCTCCAACTAATTTGCCCTCGTTTGCGGCCTCCTCGTCCGCCTCTGGCATCTGCCCTTTCTGTCGCGCCGCTGATTGCATGCACGTGCAGCACAGTTGGTCTAGTACGAGTAGTAGGTGCCGGTGCCGGTGGCGGTGACTCCTGTACATACGTATTCACATTCATACATGCGAGTATGTCGGTTCGTATGTGACTATTGCCCCTTGGCAGGGAGTCCAGCCAAGCCACACGAGAGTGTCGGCGGGAGGGAAGCTATCCAGGGGAAGCCCCACAACGCCACAACCCCAAAACCCCTCAAGCAAGCATCCGAAAGGGTCGCTGAACTGCACCCAAATCTGAGTGTGAATCCTTTAAATCGCGAATCCCTTTAAATGTAGGCCCCACAGGCCACAGCTTCCCCTCGCAACTGGCTCCCAAGAATGGCATTTGGATGAAGGGAATCCAGTGTCTATAGCCCCCGCTCATTGCAGGGGGAAATGTGTGAAGCTGTGCCACTGATGACGTGTGCATTCTAGTCCGAGATGTTAATGTGAATGTGAATGTCATAAAAGAGTTACCCCAACATCGAACGCAAGCTAGTTACTTTCGTGCTCTTTCCTGGCATAGATTCGAGAGGGAAGGGAAACTGATTTTGTTTCTTGTAGCCACAAAATTGCAGCCTTAAATGAATCCCAAAGTGGGCAGATTTAATGCGTACAGCCAGGGCAACAAGGCCTTCAAGCTTCACACTGCTGGTATGAGTTCCATGGAGTTGCCAATGCGTTTGGCCATTTTTGGATATTTATTGGAGGGCAGTGTTGATGCAGTGGGCCATAATAAATGGGACGTAGCAAAGCTATTCAATGGCTGCAGACAGCGCCGGAAACTTCCTTGCAGCCGTTGCTCCCAGGGCGCCCCCAAATGACGCAGACCCTTGACGCCAATGCCCGTGGACGCTGCTGGTGATTGCTTTTCCGGGCCAAAGAATCCGATAGGAAAACCCACAGTGACTGCTGCCAGAGTGCTGTGCCGAGACTGCAGACGGAAGATCGGTGCCGATAGTCCAACAAATATTTGCATAGATTTGTTTTAATTGTTTTAATTATCATAACGTGTCCCAGGTAATATCCTGTAAAATGATTTCTGGTAACACTTAATATTGCAATTGTCCAATATCTAATTACTGTTTCCTCCTCCGCCCCATAGCAGCTTTAAGGCCGTTGTTAGCTGATCAATTTAAATTTAAATATTACGCAGCGAATTGCCCACCGATGCCACTCTCTGTCTCACTGGATTCTAGTGCACAAGCGAATGCTTCAAAAGAGAAACAAAATTAAATGTGCTAGACATGCGGAGGCATTTTTGCTCCTAAGCCAGTATCGAGCGTCGGTCCCTAGAAACCAAAAGCAATCTTTGTATCACTGTTACAGCAAGCGATTACGGATTGGCTTAGATTCATTTTCTTCACCTGTCTGAAGACAGAACCTGCTTCGAAACCATTCGGAGGTACACAAAAAAGGGGAATAAGTGTTTCAAATAGCCAGACGACTATCGAAGTGATTCCTTTGAGTGACGGGGCTTGCAGTGCCCCGTTTTGGCCAGTGCCGTCCCTGGTCTCCAGCCCCAAGCTACTTGGCTTTGAAAGGTCTACCATCGAAGGGCTGACCTTTGAACATATACCAATGGCTTTGCGTTGGGGGTAGGAGGGGGTACATTGCAATACAAACTGCCAGCATTGATGGCTCTTCATTGGCAACGCAGCAGAGATGCCGTTCCGTGGTGCTGGCCCCGATGTACCCAGAGCTGTCATTTGGAAGCGGCAAGAGGACAGCTCAATTCGGATTGGGCCATGTGTGGCAGTTCGATTTGCATTGTTGAACAGGCGTCACGGCCAACTCCAAGCCCAAGCCCAAGCCAAAGCCAAAGCCAAAGCAACACTCACCTGTATCGCATGCGAACGTGGGGAAAGACACTGGCCTGGTACTGCTCCTCGAGGACGGGGGAGTCGAACTTGGGATCCAGCCAGGACTTGGCGGCGGCCCGCTCGAAGGCCACCGGCAGCATGACGCTGCAGCACGAGTGCCGGCGCCCGGTCTGGCTCAGATACGTCTGGATGTGGGGGGCCAGAGCGATCTGTATGTCATCGGTGGAGTTGGCCCGGCTATCGTTGACTAGAACGCCCGGGGGCATCGCCCGTAAGTTCACCGACTGACGGCGTGACTGCAACAAAGAGAGAGAGAGAGAGAGAGAGACACAATGAGAGAGAGGTTAAGCTATAGAAGATGTCATCCCACGCCCAGGCCCTGGCCCAGGCCAGGGGTAATGCTGATTGGTTTGCTCCCCCTCCCCACCCATCAAAGCGCCATTTGATGGCTGCTTGTAAAAATGTTTTCGCTTTGCGATTTGTTTGATTATCACCAAATTTGTGAGCGGGCCCAAGTCACGCGACACCAGCTCTGATTTCTGATTTCTGCTGGTGCTTCGATTCGCCTGCTCTGGCGGCCTCTAATTCCTGCCAATCTTATCTCAGTAAACAGTCACCAGCAACCAGCAACCAGCTACCAAAGTGCAGCCGCAGTCGAGAGCCGAGGCGGGCAGAGTGATGTCAATTGCTTGGCTTTAATCAAATTACGCATACGACCCGCTGGCAGTACCAAAACCAAAACCAAAACACTAAACACCAAACACGCACACGGGCACAAGAAAGAGTTGCTAAGTTAATAATGAAAAACATTCCAGATACGAAACGATTTGCCCGTCGTTCATTAAGAAGCTGCTAAAAAATCAGTCCAAAAATAGACACCCCAAAAAGTGGCTAAGATCGAAGCAGGGAGTACCCTAACGCCCTGAGCTGCAACGGGAAATAGTTGATGGCCAGAAAAGCTTCTCAAACATATATTTTTCGATGAAGTAAATCTCCTCCCATAGCAGCAAAAATTTCCTTTCGTTTGGGCAAGAGGAATTGAATTTTAGCTAATGGAAAAGGTTTTTCCACTGTGGCTTCTGCCTTCGGTTGGAGTTCAAACTCATTTCCCAAATGGGTTGGAAGGCCCTCCCTCCCTCCCTCGGCCTGTGGTCAACTGCTCTTAATAATTACTCAGTGAGGGGGTGGGGGTAGGTCTGATTCGGGGAATGCCGGGTGCTGGGCACCTACCAAAAATCAATCCGCAAAGGTTCCGTGAGTGTGGGGCAAACATTTCATATATTTATGGGCACGGCGATTACAGCAACTGGGGGGGGGGGGCCAACGGCAAGGCAACGCCAATGAAAACAATGAACTTCACTTAAAGTTTGAGCATTTTTTGGGCTGGAATTTGCAATTGAAACAGGGACACACACACAGCAGACACAGCACACAGCACACAACACGAACTGAATTGCTTTGGCTTTTATTTTTTATTGTTATTTGATTGGGATTTGATTTGATTTATTGTAATTTAAAGCCACAGCAACGACGATAAAAAAAGAGGCAAAAAAAAAAAAAAAAAAACAAAACAAAAAGGGTTCAACGATTCCAACGTTGCCGTTGCCGTCGACGCGACGTTGGGGACTGATTTGAATTTTGTTGGGATTTTCGATTGTCTCTCGATGCCGATCGCCAACAGCTGACAGCAGGGCGAAAGAGAGGGAGCCGCAGCAGCAGAAACAGCAACAGCGAATGCAAAAAACTCGCCAGCTTATCGCCGTCTGATAAGGGGCCAGGTGAGAGTGAGAGAGAGCGAGAGAAAGAGAGGCAGCCAGCGAGAGAGCAGCGATAAAGATCGTCCAGGTCTGGAGTCGATCGGCCGGCCTATCACTTGAGATCGATCAGTCGCACGCTGTATTGATGGTCAAGTGGCCAAGGACTTTTCGACCAGCCTCAATGGCCCAAACGAACAACAAATCTACGACTCTCTCTCTCTCTCTCTCTCCCTATCTATGGGAGGTGGGTGTGCGAAATTTGTGAGTAAATTTTAATACAATATAAATAGCGCTGGCCTGGCCTGGCCTGGCCCGTTTATTCCGGCAGTCGGGCCGTAAGATAAGATAAGAGGCGCCCCCAGACACTTGCCCAGGCACAAATATCTTCGCCTTGGTCTTGCGCTGGCATACGAAATGCGAGTGCTACGAGTACGAGCAGAGGCCAGCGCCTTGAACTCTTTGCGGGAGTGCACACTCCCCCCCACTCGCACTCGCCCACGCACTCGCCCACGCACTCATACTCGTAACCGATTGCTCGTCCACTCATTTGAGGACTCGACAGAGTTCTGTCTGTGGCAAAGTCAGGCTTTCCGATTTTCTTTGATGGGATTAACGTGCTGCCTAATCTGGCAATTAAATGGCAGTCGTAATAAGCTCGCCCACATTTGGGCTGTCGCTTATTTCTCATTCAAAGCTCTATTTATATGCACACTCGGGCGAGCGCTTGCATAATGCATTTGCCCGGCTGCCTGGGACAGGAAATTGGAATTTAGCCGTTCTGCCGCTTCCTTGGGGCTCGCCTGCCTGCAAATCAAATGCCAAATATTTGTTTAATTAAACTCTCGCCAGTCACATCGATTCGGCAAAGGCAGACACAGCGACAGCGACAGCGACAGGGACAGCAGACAGCTGGAAGGCGGCAAAGTGTTAAGAAGTTTTTGAATATTAATTAGCAGCAAAGGCAGCAGCACCAGAAAACAGAGACAACCGAGAGCCGTTTCTTATCGGCAAACTGATAGCTTTTGGGCCGTAATATCGGAGGGTGGGAGGGCAGCGGGGGAGAGGACTTGCACTGACAGTGGCAGTGGCAGTGGCGAAGAGATCTCACGGGATCTCATCGGTTTCGGGTGTTTCCATACAATTTTCTCTAATCTCTAAATAAAGAACGGACTGCGGGAAGGGTTCCGCGAGCAGAGGAGCGAAGGGGGAATTTCCGGGAGCGAGTGCAGATCGATCAAAGCTGATAACGAGAACAGAAATTAGCTAACTGCGGAATGCAAATCAACGAGATAAATGCAGCGAGTAAAAGAATAACGAGAAGAAATTTAAAACTTAATTTTCCACAAGCGAATGATAGTTTTCAGGGTGTAGAAAGGTAGAATAAATTCGCAACTTAAGTTAAAACTTGCCACCAAATACAAGCCTCGAAGTGGAGCTAGTGGTGCTTCCAAGCCGAATGTCTACTGATCATGCAGCCGCTTCTAGACACTTAGGGATACTTATTATGGCTTCCAATGATTCTGCAGGCTGCTGTCCCATCCCGGCCAGGCGGGTGTAACTGACTCGGAGTCTTCAGCGACTTAAGACTGCTACTATGTAGAAGTCTCTAACTCCATGGGAGCCAATAAGGTGGGAGAACTTCTTGTACCAGAAGGTATTACATATGTACCTTCGTACAGTCCCACATATGCGATTGTTATTGTGCATGTGGCTGCAAGCGGAGTGGGAAACACCCCCAACCTCACACGGAGAGCAACAGAGCAGCAGAGAGGCGAATCTCCCTCGTGTCACAGTCAGAAGGAGGCTGAGCTCGGCCTGGCCAGTATTACAATTGGCCGCGCGCCATGTCCTGCGGCTCCCGTTCCGTTCCGTTCCGTTCCGTATCGTTCGGTTCGGTTCGGTGCGGTCCACATCTGACGAGTGTCCAGCCCTGTCCGTTCTGGGCCACCAAATATGATTAACTGACAAAATTGTGACGGAGGAGGAGGAGCAGGAGGAGCAGATGGATGTGGTGGAGAATACCCGAGAGAAATGCGAGCGAACTTTGGCTGCGGTGCGGCTGTCGATGTTGTTGAAGTGACTGCGCTTGTTGTCCTCGCTCCGAGGGCCACTCACATGTCCACGCTCACGGACCACGCACCACGGACCACGGACCCGTAGCCCTAGCCGTGCCCAGACACGGCCACAGTGGTGAGTGATGTGATGGTACTCCAGAAGTGGCGATGGGAATGGGAATGGGAATGGGAGTGGGGACGGGGACGGGTCCTGCGTGTCCCGTCGCATCTGTCATTGTGTGTGCGTGCATTGCAATGACGCCAAAGTGTAAATAAGCACTTAAATTTTTAATGAATATACATAGAGCTGAAACCGCATGGTCAGTGGTGCAGGAGGGAAGCGGTTAACCCTTGGATGGGCGTCGGCCCTGTGGCAGTGTGGCAGGATGAGCGGCAGAGTGCCAGAGTGAGAGTGCCAGTGTCGCCGAAATGCAACGCATTAAAGCTGCCTGTCTGTGACTAACTGAGAATGGTGGTGGCCAGTGTAAAGGGTCTGCGGGAGAGAGACTTAATTTAACTCCAGTAAAAGGGCATTTGATTTTGGCCATTAATTCGGCCAGACAGACGCCCACTGAAACATGCATGAGCAGGCTGGCAGGCAGGCAGGCAGGCGGGCTGGATCCTCTTTGCTCTCATTCCAAATGCACAAAAATGGCAAATAACAATAAATGCTGCAAAGGCGATTGCGATTGTTACACACAAAAAGCAGCCTAAGCCTACGAAGAGAGAGGGCGAGGGGAGCAGGGAGGCAGAGGAAGCGAACAAGGAGAAAAAGCTCGTACAAAATGCGACTGCGACAGCGACTGCGAATACGAATTTTTAATGCATAAAACGAAATATAATCAAGTCGAATACAAGTACATACTCGTATGCACGTGTGTGTACGTAAGTACGGGTATACACGCACAGAACAGGCTGCGACTGCGACTGGCACGCACACAATTACACAGCTCCTCTCGCATGTAAGCCGGAAATCAGTGGGTGTGGGTTTGGGTTTGGGTTTGGGGGTGGGTGGCAAAGGGAAAGGAAAAGGAAAAGGGAAGGCCACTGTCGCTGCTTGCATGCCAAATGAAAAGCATCATAATCATCGCATCCCCCGCACCACCACACCCCCATACCCCCACATACAACAGCCCACCCACCTTTGGCCCTTCGGCCCTTCAAGTCAAAAAACAGCAATAACAACGCATAATTAAATTTATGAATTGCCCCACAGATCAATGCGAATGCGAATCAAAATAAAGGAACAACCAAAAGGTCTGACGTCTCTTGGGGGTTACGACAAATCCATTCTCAGTGGAGATTCAAGCTTGGAAAACGACGTGAACATACATATTCATATTCATATTCATATATATATACATGTAAATGTATTGCCATATATGTATATCTGATCAGTCGGAAAAGCCACAGATATAGAAGTTCGCTGAAGAAGGGAGGGCTAGCGAACGAGATTCGCATTCTTCGGCCAACCCATCCTTACCC